AAATTTGGTCAGAAGCATCAATGGAGGAAAAAATCCAGCTTTGTGTAAATGGTTCCTCTGATGAGGATGTGCATGTCCATATAGTATGGGTAATTGTATCTAGTGGATGAAAGTTTTGTGTATCCAGCCAGTAATTTTTAGGTCACCTTAGACAAAGTATCATGGTGACCTATTGCAGTCACCATTATCCGGCACCGTGCATTTTACATGGCGCATGGCAGGTTGTGCTTTCATAAGCAATTTCACTTTTTTGACTTCTTCTCAAATACCTTTGAGTCGATTTCAGTGAGGGTTTGGAGAAACCTTCCCTTGCTTGAGATGAAACAAAATTGGGAATTATACAGTCCCTTCCCCACAGGGGCTTAAGGGGTGGGGCAGGGCGGGGCCAAAAGGGGTCAAATTGACGCGGATTTCAAAAAGCTTTTCCACACCCAGATATGGTAGAATCAAATGCTCTTCAAAAAGGAAGCATCTTAAGGTGCTTTACCAAAATTGTGAAGTTCATGGCCCCTGGGTCTCACATTTTCCTGTGGGTAGGGGATATAGTGTACTACAGTTTATATAGGAAAACAAGATTTTTGAGCATAATTTAATTTCCATTGGAAATGTTTCAAACTTTGTTAGAATTATGAGTGAAGGATGACAGCTTGATGGTATGCCCATTTTAATCCTCACTGACCCCCAGAGGCTGATGGGCAGGGCCAAAAGGGGGTCAAATTGACTTAAACTTCCAAAATTTTCTTTTCAACATCCAGATAAGATAAAATCAAATGCTCTTCATGAATGGAAGCATATTAGGGTACTTTAACTACCAAAATGAGTCTCACATTTCATCCTGGGGAAGATTTTTTTTAGACTTTACTGTAATTTCATAGATAAATTGCATTTTTGATCATAACATTGGTTTTTTCCTAATGGAAATAACTTTAGGAGAATTATCAGTATAGGATTCCAGTTTTGATGGTATGCATGTATTGACACTTGGTTACTTTATTCAGTGTCACAAATTCTGTTTAATGACATTTGATAACTATCCTTTAACTTTTTTCTTCACTATTGCTTATCTCAGGTGATAGTCAAGGTCGCTAGGCCTCTTGTTCTATGTCTAGCCAGTGAGAGTGTGTATATCCCACTGAAAGTGTGTGTTTGTGCATCCAGCTGAAAGTGTGTGTGTATCCAGCCAGTAAATGTATGTTAAATGGTGTGCATGTGTAACCCTGGTAAATACTAGCTGCAATATACCATTCAGCTAGAGAGAACTCTTTAGCTCAAACAGATGAGCATCAGACTTGTAGACCAGAGGTCAGGGTCCAAATCCTAGAGGAGGCATTGACAAAAATAATGATATCTGTTACAATGGCGCCCATGTAAGGACTCGGGAATAACACTTTGCCATGCCCCATGAGTATTACGGTAACCCCTGAGGATGAGTTCTTTCCAGAACGGAGAGTATGTAACCCTAGTAAATATTAGCCCCAACTGCTTCACTAGAGAGAACTTCTCTTCAGCTCAATTGGTTGAGCATCAGACTAGTAAACCACAGGTCCTGAGTTTGAATCCTAGAAGAGGCATTGAAACAATATTACACATGTGTATGTGAGCATTTTCTCTTATAATGCAACCTCCAAACACTTGTAACTAGAAATAAAAATTTAAGTATGCTCCTAAAATTCTGTTTTACCATTGTCAGAATACAGTGGTGCTTGTGTGTAGTATAAATGTCTTTATGACCTTTGAAACCCATATCATATAGAAATTACTCACATTTTATGGCTGAGCTTCGCAAGGTACATGTGTTGTTAATGGGAAATCTTTACCTTGAGCTCCTATTGGATTTTGTGGAATTGTGTTCACCTTAATTTGACCCTATGTCAGATGGATAGAGATACATCTATAAATTGTAGTTATGGTTACCTGCACACTTAGCATAATTACACATCAATAAAAAACAAATCTTAGTGTGTTAGTGTCAGTGTGAGGACTGTAATTACATATCAATACCCAGTCAGAATTATAATGATACTCTGGATATGTGTGTTGGATTAAACCACACAAACTTTCTGTAAATTGCATGTTATGGTAATACAATTCACAATAATGTAACTATGGAGTATGACATTAGTTCATCAAAATGTCATTATTTTATTTAGACGAATGGACAAAGCCATGTTTATTGTCTTTATACTTGCATCATAGCATTTTATTGGATTATCATGCACCACATGACCAGCGTTAAAAATTATATTGATTCAAAAACTTGTTGACATTGTGATGCCTTTATTGTTTACTCAATATTGCATATGTGAAACTGAATGCAAATATCCATTTATGTTGAGCTTCTAAATGACTCAAATTTACCAATAGACTGCAAATTAAGTGTACCTTGCACAGAAGGATGAAAATGGAAGTGCATTACCATATAATGTGATAGTTTTATCAAAGTTACAAACAGGAATCTTGTGCAGCAATACACACTGTGAAATAAGAATCAGCTTTAAATGAAGAGTTTTAATAAGGACCTTTCTTGTATCTATATTTTTTTTCAAAGGAAATTGGTAAATGATTATTTTAAAAAGTTATCTCAAGAAATAGAAAAAATTATGAAACATCATTTTTATATCTGTCCGTTTGTAGTGGTATGAAGCACACAATGGAAGAAGGATTTGTCATTGTTAAGTATACAGAAACTGTGTAGATTAGGTAGCTTTACAGCTTACTAGTATTACCTTAATTCAGTTTACATTCCTCTCTGGACCTTCGTTCTAACGGACTGAATGCTGAGTTTATTTTGGATTTGGTAGTTGTTATGGCAAAATGATGTAATTTACGACTTGACAAAAAATTTAATTACCGGTAATTTGAAAGTGATTGATGATATTATAGGGAATATGTGCTATGAAGATAAGTCTTTCACTTTCTCATAAGTAAAATTCAATTTTGAAATTATGTATTATTTCAACTCACCAAAGTGTTATGTTGCATTCATTACTAAACTTCCCACACGATGTACTGCAAGCCTTGACAAATAGACAAGACTCCTGGGAATATGTTCAAACAGACCTGGGGCTTGTCATCCCTGGTGACCATACTACCAGCATAAGTGTTGGCTCCTGTTTTATATTGTTGTATGTGATGAGTTTGTATAACAATGCAAAATATTGGGTTATTATCTCAACAGGAATAAAGTACCAGGTAAATTGTTCACATCAGTCATTCCTGTAGGTTGATTCTGTAAATCACTTATATTTTGCATGGGATGTATGTTCACATTAACATAAAGGTGAATCAATTGCAAATTTAAACCTATAATGAATATTTGTATGAAAATAACTGTGGATGGCATCCATGATGAGTTGGTTTCTGATATCAGAGTCTTAAAGAGTCAGTGCCTTAAGTAGCTCATCATTTGCAAATTTAAAGTCATTTGTAGATCAGCGTTTGTGAAATCATGTATCTGGGAATATGTCATAAGTGGGTAAAAGTTTGAGAAATAAAGTATTCAGGAAAATCAAAGTGATTTACAGTAATCAACCTAGGGTCTGAGCTGAGCTCATTGCAGGTGACCAGAATTGATTCAAATTAATTTGTTTTGAAACTTGGGTTTCCTTAAAGAACAGGGGCAAAAGTAATATAGATAGCAACCTTAAAGTACAGGGGCAGAAGTGATAGAGAAAGCAACCTTAAAGTACAGGGGCAGAAGTGATAGAGAAAGCAACCTTAAAGTACAGGGTCAGAAGTAATATAGATAGCAACCTTAAAGTACAGGGGCAGAAGTAATATAGATAGCAACCTTAAAGTACAGGGTCAGAAGTAATATAGATAGCAACCTTAAAGTACAGGGGCAGAAGTAATATAGAAAGCAACCTTAAAGTACAGGGTCAGAAGTAATATAGATAGCAACCTTAAAGTACAGGGTCAGAAGTAATATAGATAGCAACCTTAAAGTACAGGGTCAGAAGTAATATAGATAGCAACCTTAAAGTACAGGGTCAGAAGTAATATAGATAGCAACCTTAAAGTACAGGGTCAGAAGTAATATAGAAAGCAACCTTAAAGTACAGGGTCAGAAGTAATATAGAAAGCAACCTTAAAGTACAGGGGCAGAAGTAATATAGAAAGCAACCTTAAAGTACAGGGTCAGAAGTAATATAGATAGCAACCTTAAAGTACAGGGGCAGAAGTGATAGAGAAAGCAACCTTAAAGTACAGGGTCAGAAGTAATATAGAAGGCAACCTTAAAGTACAGGGTCAGAAGTAATAGAGAAGGCAACCTTAAAGTACAGGGGCAGAAGTAATATAGATAGCAACCTTAAAGTACAGGGTCAGAAGTAATAGAGAAGGCAACCTTAAAGTACAGGGGCAGAAGTAATATAGATAGCAACCTTAAAGTACAGGGGCAGAAGTGATAGAGAAAGCAACCTTAAAGTACAGGGGCAGAGGTAATATAGATAGCAACCTTAAAGTACAGGGGCAGAAGTGATAGAGAAAGCAACCTTAAAGTACAGGGTCAGAGGTAATATAGATAGCAACCTTAAAGTACAGGGTCAGAAGTGATATAGATAGCAACCTTAAAGTACAGGGTCAGAAGTAATATAGATAGCAACCTTAAAGTACAGGGGCAGAAGTGATAGAGAAAGCAACCTTAAAGTACAGGGTCAGAAGTAATATAGATAGCAACCTTAAAGTACAGGGTCAGAAGTGATATAGATAGCAACCTTAAAGTACAGGGTCAGAAGTAATATAGATAGCAACCTTAAAGTACAGGGGCAGAAGTAATATAGATAGCAACCTTAAAGTACAGGGGCAGAAGTAATGTAGATAGTATCATCTCTAAATAGTCAGATGTATTCAAAATGCTATAATGTGTTTATTTTATTTGATATGTGCATTTTTAAGAATGACGTATACAATTTATTGTGGCATATAGAACTCTGTATATATTTTGTCTTTCACAGATGAGGCTCCAAAATAGAACTTTGTATATATTTTGTCTTTCACAGATGAGGCTCCAAAAGAAATCCTTGCCCGTGGTCCTGAAGCTGTGCAGGCTTATGAAGAGGCCTGTACATCAGGTACCCAACCGATGTGTCGTACACGTCTGATGTTGGTGGGACAGGATGGTGTGGGCAAAACCAGCCTCAAAAAGGCCATGATGGGGCAAAGGTACTGATTGCATATATAGTCATGAAATATCATCTTTAAAAGTTAAGAGCACATGATGATATGCCCAGAATCATGGACTGGACAAACATTCATAATATTTTAGCTATTTATGTACATGTACCTGCAGGAATTCAGGTGTCCAATTCAACCACAAAATGTTCAATACAACATCAGGCTAGACCTATTGTACTAGTATGTTATCAATACATTCATATTTAATGAAATGTGTTTGCACTTCATGGAACTTTGAACATTCCTTTATTAAGAGACATTAAAAGGGTGACTTAGTTATGTATTTAAGATAATGAAAATACTAATTTCTGATAGGTATTTCTCCATGTTATGATAACTAATATAAATAATTTGTACTGTCTGAAACAGTTATAATTCTGAATCATGAGTTTGTAACCTCTGTCATACAGGGTTTTATTTGAGGACTTTTTGAGCGTGATAACAGGCCCAGTTCCAAATTTAAATTATTTCATATTCAAGATAAATTTTGAAAAGTTGCAATTTACTCCTAAAAATTTTCTTCCCAATTTCCCAATTTTCTAGCCAAAAGAATATTGATAATGCAATAATTCCAAGGGTTCAACACATTACTGCTTCCCCAAGTTTAGGGGTATTTAACAGGACCTTGTAAAGGGACATTGGTGTAATTCTAATTGTAAATTTTAATGACCTGCATAGCTGATTGTTTGCTCTATACTTTAATATATTATTGTCAGTTTGATGCTATTGTTAATTGTTCACATGCCACATCATGTATCCATCATATTGCTTTATACAGCTACAATGTGAATGAAGAGAGCACGGAGGCTGATGGGATCGACTTGTCTGCGTCATGTTCTTTTAGTACCACCAATCATGCACAGTGGAAGATGGCTGTCCGTGGCGAGTTCGAGAAAGAGACTGAGGAACACATTGAAGAAAAAAAACAGCTAGGCATTATGGGTACTTACATAAATACTCATGTCACATACGAGTTTGTTGGAATATATGTTGAATATGTATGTCGGTCTGCCTTAGTAAATTGATTCCTTCTGTCAGATTTGCTCCTGATGCAGTCAATCAAACAGATTTTCAATTCTCATTAATAACTTAGTCTTTTAGAATTTCCCATTCATTTGGTTGTTGTGAATGAGAAATAGATGTTTTCATTTGATGAACTTTCAGAGGCAGTGGTCTTATAAAGTTAATATCCTTCAATTTATTTCATGGATATAGTTTTCTTCTGTAAACTCGTCTTTTTTTTGTAGTATATTTATGAGAAAAAAGTTGAAACATAATAAAAATAGATAGACACTTTTTGTGGAGAAATTCAATACTTCAGCTCTAAGGGGAACTGGAGGATGACATTTTTTTTTTGTTTGTAAAGTTTTACTCTAGTTGTAACTGAAAGGTGTTAAATTTGTATTCTTACTTGGTTAGGGGGAGCTGAGGGGCTAGAGGAGGAATACTATCAGGCACTAGCTGAGAACATAGTGAAGGAATTACAGCAGAAAGGAAAGCAAAAATCAGAGGCTCCCAAGGGGAAATCAGGAAGTCGGGAAAGTGCCAGGATGTCACTTCCTAGTAGTAGAAAAGTATGTCATAATATGTGTAAAATTTTCTCTTTTGTTGAATTTCAAAGAGAGGGGTACATTCCTTGAAAATCAGATGCTATTCATTGTTAATTCAGACTTTAATGTTATCCAAAAATAACTTGAAAAAACAAAATAAGAAAAAATGAGAGGGAAAAAAATAAAAAGGATAAGAGAAGGATTAAAAGAGTTTGAGAAAATAAGAAAATAAAAAGTGTTATTACTCCAAGTTTAAATTTGATGTATTATGTTTTAGTCTGATCGCAATGTCTCCTCACATGGAGACAAGGCTCACTACATCCCTCCAGAGATGATCAAGGAGGTACCAGATCGTGTTGTCCAGCTTGTCCAGGATCTTCTTGATCAAACCCCACAGGTCAACCAGACCAAATCCAATCAGGCCAAACTCAAGTCCTTGTCCAGCTCCAGTCTGTCCAAGGTCAGCCAGAGTCCTGTGGTCAAGGAGAAGGACAGGAAGGTTGTCATGAATATATGGGATTTTGCTGGTCAGCCTGTGTTTTATACTACCCACCAAGTAAGTAAGGCTTTATATCAGTATGGTAAGTCAGTCTTTTTAATACTAGATTTATCCAGAAATAAGCCCCTGTCCACAAAAAAAGCTCCTGCATCAATTTTAAAACAGTAAGCTAAAAAAAGTTTACAAATAACCTCAATCCAAACTTAAATACTAAATTTTTCACTTGAGGAGGGAGCTTATTTGAGGATACATGGGTAAAAAGAAGACTTTACCAACATGTCAACATAATCATAATCCAATCTCAAATTAAGTGAAATTAGCACCAAATATGAACCATAGAAAGATGTACACTGCAACTCCTGAAAAAGTGCAAGAAGTGTAAGAGCAGGTGTTCTGTAAGTGTAGGACTTTGATTTTACTGGAACTATCTATCTGATCAAGCCTGGAGTTTTAATGCAATTTCTATAAACATGTACTGTATTATGTAATCCAGCCCAGGGGGCAACGTCAATGGTCTCATTATTCAACCGTTCAATTGATTATTTCAGGTGTTCCTTACCTGTAGAGCTGTTTATATCTTTGTGTTCAATCTGACTCAAGATCTCAAATCTGTCCAGTCACCACAACAGGTATGTACTCCTACAGTCCAGTAAACAGTTATTGTGCCAAGTGATGGCATAGACAATACCTTCATACCCAATAAAAATAAATAAATATATAAATCACCTTGCATCCATCTGTGTGTATCTTTATGCATGTACCCATACCACAAAGCTTGAATTTATCTCCTTTAAGTAACAGGGAGTCTCAGAGGAGGGACTGATTTTCTGTAAAGTCCATAAATGCATGAAATATTATTTTTAGGCCACTAAGTCTTATGATGACCTATTGCGAACACCTTTGTCCGGCGCCTTGCATCCGTAAACAGTGTTACATTTTCAACTTCTTCTTAAAAACCTTTGGAACGATTTCAATGAAATTTTGCAGAAATCTTCCCTGGCATAAGGTGAACCAAAATAATGAATTAAACTGTCCCTACTCCACAGGGCCTGAGCGGTGGGGCAAATAGTGTCTTATTGACTCAAATTTCAAAACTTCTTCTCCACACGTAGATATGGCAGAATCAAATGCTGTACATGGGCAGAAGCTTAAGATGCTTTACCAAAATTGTGAATTTCATGGCTCCAGGGTCTTACATATTTGAGCATAATGTTGTTTATTTCCAACTGGAAAGAATTTGTAGTTTAGGATGACAGTTTTGGTGGTATCCATGTATTGACAATGGCTTACAATTATCAATGTCACAATTTCTTTTTTATGTCATTTGAAAGCAACCCTTTAACCTTTATAATCAATATTGCTTATCTCAGGTGATCATCAAGGCTCCCCTAGGTCCCCTCTTCTCTCTGTTCTCTCCTTCCATTCCCTTCCTTGCCAGCATTCACCCATAGCACAAGGCTAACTCCTTTGCAGATTTAGTAAATAACCACAGGTTCCACACCTGATTATATATTAGTTGTCATTGGTCAAGGTCAGAGGCCACATTTGTGGATTTTCTAAAGAACCTGGGGGTGGGGGATATCTATTTGAGCCCCTATGTAAGTACTCATTTCAGTTTTTTTTCTAGATTGAATTTTTTTTATTTGCATTTAGACGATATGTTCAGTTGGCAACAGACCTTATAATTGGAACATGTAATCTCTTATCCTGTTTACTGGTTCTGTATGAACTGCTACAAGGAGAACCCTAGGTGTAATATTATAGTTATTAACATATACTCTGTTCCTGAGAAATCTATTTGATTCCAGCTATAACAGAACTTCAATAATTCATATATATAAATTATAAAGGACAAATCTATACCAGCTTAAACAAAACACTTTCAGTATGAGATACTGTTATTGTATAAAAACTTTTACAGGAAAATTCCAGTGGTGAGATGACTGTACTAAGACATTCAATATGAGATATTATTGTATAAAATCTGTTGCAGGAAAATCCTGATGGTGAGATGACTACCCTAGATTTCATGGATTTTTGGATGAGGTCTATATATGCCCATACTTCCCAGAACACCTCTAATACCATTGACAACACACGTTTGTCTCCTCCAATCTTCGTAGTGGGGACCCACAGGGCAAGCCTATCAACGGACCCCACAGAGCAAGAACAGATGGTAGATATCCCTTTTACATAGACTCCAATTTGTTCCTATATTTGTTATTTACTTTATTCCTTAGGAAATGTCTTTTTAAAAGTTATTTTAGTTTGACAGTGTATCTAACATGTTATCAACATATTCTGTATCAGTAAGCCTCTGTCTGGTGATAAGCCTACCAACGTTTGTTGTAGTTTATGGTGAAATGCTGACAAATGATCATTATTCTGTGATTTGTTGGATTCCATACTTTGATCATTTGTTGAGTTCCCCCGGGCTTATTAGGTGATGAATACAGTACTAAAAATGATGTAGAGGATATATATATATATATTTATGGTGCTTACATCTGAAATTATTTGGTTTAGGTTGAAGAAAAATTTGAAGAAATCAGAAATTTCTGTGTGAACAAACCTTACGCCCAACACATAGTGACACCATTTGTGGCAGTGGAGAATAGTATAGAGAATGATGACCAGGTGAGTGGTCCAAGGGCTTCATGCTGTACTGCTATTCTATATGATAACACTCTGCCATCTCTTTCTGAGAGTGATGCAGGCATCTGACATATCAAATAGCTACTGACAGGGTAAAGATGAAACCATTTTGTCATAAAATGTAGGTAGACAAAAATACTTTAAATCTAACGGATTGCTTTCATAATAAAAGAAAAAAAACCTACATTTAGTACTTTGCAAATTTATATACATTAATTGTATATTCAACATGACCTATTACATAAAAACCCTAAAAATTCAAACAATTTTATAATTATCTTAGTACATTGTATTATCATAAATACTCTAATGCATGCATTGTATTGTACAGGTGACAGCGTTACGAGAACATGTTGAGGAGATTGCTGGTAAAGAGCCATATATGGGGGAACAGATGCCTATACACTGGCTCAGGTTTGAGCAGGAACTGGCCAACCTTGTCAAGAATGATTTCAACCATGCTTCTTTCGACCAGGTCAGTTGTAACATTAAGAAAATGAGTTAGTGGTGACCACTCTTCACTAACCAGTTTTAAGTTTTAAGCTTTTATATCTAATGATAAAACTACCAAGTTGATACTAATCAACCTCAGTAGCTATGATTCAGATCTCGTGTGGACTCATATAATCAATTAAAAAAATCAAAAGCATTTTCTTTATGCTGTGTCAAGGGAAACAATCACCTTAGGCATTTTTTAGTTTTGCAGAAATCTTATTTCTTTTTAAACAGTCTGAAATTTGCCCTAAAATCTACCTAACATCCCCTCACCTGGAAGTTTTGCTGTTTTGGATGAAATGGATGAAAAATTAACTGTGACTGGCAAAGACTTTCCTGTGTGCAGTATCAGTGACATACACATTAAATATGTTATATGGCTGAATCAGCAAAAAGAGAAATGCCACTTTATTATGGAAATATATTTAACTAAGGTAACAACAATCTTTCAGTGAGAGGCTTATTACAAACAACATATAGATGCACAGTATGACCACATCTTTTCATTGTTATCTGTTTATTTGATTTGTAAGCTTTGTTTGTGATATTGTTACATGTATTGTCTGTAGGTGATGGAAATAGCTAATAACTTGGGCATCACTTCGGATAAAGAAGTTAAGATCATGCTGGAATTCTACCATGACCTAGGCGTGTTGGTATACTTTGGAGGTACTGGAACCATGGACAACCTCCTAAGGAACACTGTCATGTTAAACCCACAGTGGCTAGTTGAGAAGTTTACACGCATTCTCATCGCCAAACAGACAGACGACAAGGTATGTAGCACCTAGACAAGGTAGAACCATAGAGGCCATACTCACTATTTAATTACAATACCATTGAGATGTTGATCTAAGAGTTTCAGAAATTTTGTAGATTTATTTTTGTGTAGATGTACTTTGTGCTTGTCAAACACTGTTGTTTAAACAAGTGTGTACTCTCCTTGCTGTTTCAGTGGGATATGATGAAGGAGAAATGGCGCCTTTTCCAGGAGAGAGGCATTCTTGAAGAAGCTCTCATTGACCATCTGTGGATGGATGTTGTTGACCAGAAGCCTGTCCTCCTAGGACTCATGGAAAAGTTTGACCTTGTGTGTCAGAGGTCACTGGACCTCTCCTTGTCTCAGGTACATTTATAGGTGTGACTATGTGTAACAGTTAAACATACTGGGCACAATTAGAGTATGGAATTACTTTTCAAAGAGAAAATTATTTGTATCAAAATTAAATATAAAACTTTCAGAATATGAAATACAAAAGTCAAGTCAAAGAATGAAAAAACGATTTCATTCAACTGTGTCTTGTATAATAATATAAAATTTGTTGTGCATTGGTGGTTAAACAGTGGTCAAGGAGTGTCAAGCTGAATTTATCTAAATGGTAGAAAAGTTACATATATTTATGATCCTTTACTTTTTGTACTCATGATATTAAATGTCTGTAGTATGTTATGCATTTTTTATCCCTGCCATTTTTTTCCCTTGTTGAGGGATGCGAGGGGGGTCATGGTGAGGGGTTGTGCTGTGTTAATTAAGACAATACATCAGATGAGTTCTTTTTTTCATTGTTTCCAAGGTTAAGGTCAAGTTCATCGCTATATATTTATAGATATTTATCAAACACAGTTACTTGTATGTATTAAAGCTTCGTCATTCATGTATTCATGTATGTTATTGTGCTTAAATATCCTGATGAATATTTGTATTCATTCACTTAAAAGGTAAGATTTTCATGTAATGGGGACATATATTTATGAACAGATACCAACAAGACAACTGAGGGTTGATCTTGACAATATATTCAAAGTTTGTGGCCAGTTATTATTATTTTACGACACAGAAGATATACTTAGGGGGACAATTTTAGGTCCAATACACTACCAGGCAGGATCCATAACAATTTCTGTATTGGGAGGTTGGTAGCACCAACAAGTGTCTTGTCATCTTCAGTATGTAAGATTTAACAGGTGCTTCTCTAAACATGGAAGTATGATTTGTCTAATTGTAGGGAGTTGATGGATGTGTGTAGTTGTACACAATCGTGTCTCTCTATTGTTCAATTGTGTTCTTAACCTTTGTTTTAGTCCAATGGAGGTCAGAAACACCTTTCCTATTATGTTCCCTCACACCTGGCAAAATGTGGAGACAACAAACGTCTGTATGCTGCCTATGACACTGATGTTGTATTTTACATCAACTTTTGTGGTTTCCTCCCAGGTGAGTCCTCAATATATATTTATGGCCAATTTTTCTTCCAAATTCATTATACTTTTTTTTTATATGAACTGTATGCTGTAATAGAATTTAGTGTATGAATGATAATAATGTCACATAACACATGTATTAACTTGTCCTCTGTTGTATATTCAGATGATCTGTTCCATCGAATTTTGACAAGGACAGTCCGTTGGACTCTCGGGAAAGCAGGAAAAGAGCCATATAGTATGTTCCGGCATGTTGCACGGTTCTACCTTGACCAGGAACATGATTTTGTCCTACAGATGGCACCAAGGAGGTGCCATCGTATCAAGGTCTGTACCTGGTGATATTGTATGTACTTTGATCACTTGATATCAAAAGTATATATTAATCATTAGGTGAGATGAAGTTTCACAATGACCTATTGTGATTGCCTTTTGTTCCGCAGGGGCTTAGGAAAACAGGACTCAAATTTAAATTAGTACAGTAAAATTTATTTAAAGACTTGTATGCCTAGATATTCAGTGTATGGTTGGTTTGAAATGAAATGAATGGACGGTTTCTGTGTAAGTTTAAGAAAAGATTCAATTTTGAATAATTTTGAGGATATTCATGATTTGAGTTAAAGTGTTTCTGAGGATCAGTTTAAAATAGGTGTATAACATGTATACATAACAGGTTGTGGTGATGCGTATAGCCAGTGACGATGACTTCTCATCTATAGAATCTGATGATAATGACAACTACCGTGACAGGATTCCAAAATCTGACGCTTGTGCCAGGGTAAGAATTAGAGATAGACAGAAAGTGATAGGTATGAAAACCTGATGTCTGTGCTTAGGTGAGTTTTTGAGAAAGACAGAAAGTGATGAGATATAGAAATGTGATGTCTGTGTTAAGGTAAGTATTTGAGATAGACAGAAAGTGATGAGATAGGAAAACCTGATGTCTTTGCTAAGGTAAGAGTTTGAGATAGACAGAAAGTGACAGGATATGTTATATACAGGGAAAATCTGATATCTGTGCTAAGGTCAGTGTTTGAGATAGAGAGAAAGTCACAGGATTCAATATCTGATATCTGTGCTAAGGTAGAGGTGTGAGATAGACAGAAAAACACAGGATTTAAACTCAGAAATCTGTGCAAAAGAGGATATAAAGACCTGATGTTTGTGCCGAAGTAATATTTTATAGTTTATTGTTAACATTTCTAACAGTGTAAATGTATATATATTACATAAATGATGTATCACTGAATTAAAATTGCTGTATAATGATGTACATGGTAGCTCTTCATATCATACTGAAGTCTTTAATCAGATTTTTTTTTGTAGCTACGCAACTTTTTGGAGGCAAGTCTGTTTGAACTGAAGGAGATGTGGATCAAACGCCTGTATTATACTATATGTGTAGCGTGTCCTTGTGGTCGCCCCTGTTACTCCCATGATGCGCCAAATTGTCAAGAGGAACTCTGCATGCATTTTCTCAACCTTGATGAATGTCTGTCAAGCAGGGTAAGCTTTTTATCATGGCAAATCTACCAGGACAAGTTCTTTTTGGCCTTTCTCAAAAAGACCTTGTGAAGTATCTGTATAAAGCCAGTAAATTGATTTTGATATAAATGCATTTAAAACTAAAAATCCTAATGAAACATGCATCTATTTGTGATCATGTACTGTTACAAAATTACATGGATAAAGCCAAGCTATCTGTTGTAAAAGTTTATGTTACACTTTTGCTAATTGGTCATGTTTGCTTACAGGTTGTATGCTGTGAACATAGAAGAGTAAAAACCAACTTGTTCCGTAAATGGTTTCCAGAACCTTTTAATGCTGGTATGTTATGTTGAACGGTTAGAGTTGCCATTTAATTGGATGTTGTGATTATAGTATCTTCAAAATGTGACACCGCTTTTCCCAAACTATTCCAATGTGGAAAGTTTGAATTTGATTCTAAGATTATAGTATATATATATATAGTGTAAAATATAGCTACCTTGAATAATACATTGACTGGATATAATGTGTTTTTCTCAAGTATGTCCCACTTATAACTTTCCTGAGTGTTTTGGTCTGTATTGTGGTTCCTTAGTGATGTGGTCTGAATTGTGGTTCCTTAGTGATGTGGTCTGTATTTGTGGTTCCTTAGTGATGTGGTCTGTATTGTGGTTCCTTAGTGATGTGGTCTGTATTGTTGTTCCTTAGTGATGTGGTCTGTATTGTGGTTCCTTAGTGATGTGGTCTGTATTGTTGTTCCTTAGTGATGTGGTCTGTATTTGTGGTTCCTTAGTGATGTGGTCTGTTTTGTGGTTCCTTAGTGATATGGTCTGTATTGTGGTTCCTTAGTGATGTGGTCTGTATTTGTGGTTCCTTAGTGATGTGGTCTGTATTGTGATTCCTTAGTGATGTGATCTGTATTGTGGTTCCTTAGTGATGTGGTCTGAATTGTGGTTCCTTAGTGATGTTGTCTGTATTGTGGTTCCTTAGTGATGTGGTCTGTATTGTGGTTCCTTAGTGATGTGGTGTGTATTTGTGGTTCCTTAGTGATGTGGTCTGTATTGTGGTTCCTTAGTGATGTGGTGTGTATTTGTGGTTCCTTATTGATGTGGTGTGTATTGTGATTCCTTAGTGATGTGGTCTGTATTTGTGGTTCCTTAGTGATGTGGTGTGTATTGTGGTTCCTTAGTGATGTGGTGTGTATTGTGGTTCCTTAGTGATGTGGTGTGTATTGTGGTTCCTTAGTGATGTGGTCTGAATTGTGGTTCCTTAGTGATGTTGTCTGTATTTGTGGTTCCTTAGTGATGTGGTCTGTATTGTGATTCCTTAATGATGTGGTGTGTTTTGTGGTTCCTTAGTGATGTGATCTGTATTGTGGTTCCTTAGTGATGTGGTCTGTATTTGTGGTTCCTTAGTGATGTGGTGTGTATTGTGGTTCCTTAGTGATGTGGTGTGTATTGTGGTTCCTTAGTGATGTGGTGTGTATTGTGGTTCCTTAGTGATGTGGTGTGTATTGTGGTTCCTTAGTGATGTGGTGTGTATTGTGGTTCCTTAGTGATGTGGTCTGTGTTGTGGTTCCTTAGTGATGTGGTGTGTAATGTGGTTCCTTAGTGATGTGGTGTGTAATGTGGTTCCTAAGTGATGTGGTGTGTATTGTGGTTCCTTAGTGATGTGGTGTGTATTGTGGTTCCTTAGTGATGTGGTGTGTAATGTGGTTCCTTAGTGATGTGGTGTGTATTGTGGTTCCTTAGTGATGTGATCTGTATTGTGGTTCCTTAGTGATGTGGTCTGTATTTGTGGTTCCTTAGTGATGTGATCTGTATTGTGGTTCCTTAGTGATGTAGTCTGTATTTGTGGTTCCTTAGTGATGTGGTGTTTATTGTGGTTCCTTAGTGATGTGGTCTGTATTTGTGGTTCCTTAGTGATGTGGTCTGTATTGTTGTTCCTTAGTGATGTGGTCTGTATTGTGGTTCCTTAGTGATGTGGTGTGTATTTGTGGTTCCTTAGTGATGTGGTGTGTTTTGTGGTTCCTTAGTGATGTGGTCTGTATTGTGGTTCCTTAGTGATGTTGTCTGTTATGATTGCAGAGTTCAGTGGCCATATCTTACCCAGCATAGACATGCTGGAGACACATGGAAATATAGAGAAGCACAATCCCAACCTGCCTATTTGGATCAAAAGTGCTGCCAAGCTGCTCAATGGAGGAGAGGAGAACCAGGACTGGCTAGCTTTGGCCAAACTGATGGGTATGAAGCTTAATCCTCTCATCCAGATATTGTAGAGTACTTATTTAATCCAATCAGTACTCGGTACCCTGCTTCTATAAATGTAGAGATGTTTGTACAATCTTGACCAACCTATAACTGACAAAAACTCTACCAAGTTTGATATGGTGTAGATGATGATTATGCTGAGTATATACTGTAAAGCTTTACTGTATAGTTTTTATGCTACAGGTTACAAAGAGGCTAAGATAGAAGTGATCACAGATGATCTGAACCCTGGCCTGGCTCTGCTGGCGGACTGGATATTAACCAGTGGTAATACTGCCTTGTCAGTGGACATGCTGATTGGCTACCTGGAGAAAATAGACAGAGATGATATTGTGGAAGTCATACAACAGGCAAAAGGTAGAGAACATGTGTAACAACAGAGGAAGAAGCATGAGAAAATGTATGATAGATCAGGAAATTGATTCAGTAAATTTCTTCAAAACATTCTAGGTCATTAGAGATCATATGTGATGTTCCATTTCATATGAGACTTATGAAAATTGTACAAAAGACATACAAGTGAATAGCACCTTTTAATACAAAGTTAGAATGGAGCCAATCAATGAATTCCACTGCATCATACAGTTGTTTCACCCCTCTGGGGCTCTTCAGTGATGTTAAGGACCTAAAGTTTGAAGCCTTGGAGGCAACTGAGGAAAATCCAAAGTGATCAAAAGAAAAATCCAAAGTGATCAGAAGCAAAAATTTTAAAAAGTTATATGAAGAGATGCACCAGCCTCTAGCTATAATAGATTTTGTAATTTTCATATTTCAAATAATTTTAGAACATTGTCAAGTACTTGTGTATATTCTGAAACAAAACTTTTTGTTTTTATTTAAGCGAGCCTTTAGCAAGTTAAAATGAAAAATTTGTGACAAATTTTAGAATCATCTATGAACTGGAAATGAAATTCAAATCCTTGTAATATGATCAGAGTTTGTTAAAGAGCTATAAAAACATACCTCTCCATGTCACAATTGAAGTCCTCTCGGCTCTATATTTATGGTCACCATTGCTATGTCACAATGTAATCTACAATTATGTGATGTCATTTCATTACCTTATTCTGATGTCAAGGCAATAAACATGGATATTGCGGTTTGTACATGGATATATTCGCTGAATAAAACAGGCAATTATGAGATATAACTATTTAGATTGTCATGCATATCCACCCCTTTGGTATTTATCTCCCACTCCTACTTTTCATATTCTGTAATTATGATACCTTGCTTTCAAATTGATATTAGGATTATTACATTAGAATCGAATTGCCCCTATGTGTAACATTTTAAAAGGAATGGAAATGCTGCTATTTTTTTGGTATGTACAGGGGACACAGAATTATTCCATGATTAATGACTGTATCATGGAAATGTACAGTTTTTGAATTTCCTGCAAACGATAAACATTGATTCACTGTAATAAAATGTCCCCAATTGCAGACTGGAAAAGTCCAATTTATTTATGATTGATAAAGAGGTGTTATTGCTGAACCATATGTTAGAAATCTCACAGGGAAACCAGCAGTGTTTCTGCTTTTTGAAAATAAAGACCTGTCTCCAAAGTAAGGAGACAAGTGCCTTATATGTGTTGTATAGACCACAAGGGTCCCTTCCGTCCTTATCAAGGGGAGTGCTAACCTTCTCTCCTTTCTTACAACACAACAGTATAGGGGTACATTCTTGTATATATACACCTTGCTTATAGGGGACATTCTGGTAATGGTATGGATTATTTACATATCTAATTTTTATGCATCAATGTAAATTTTCTTTACGTAATCAGAGGTTTTCATTTATCACAAAGCAATAAGAAATTTTAAACTATGTATTGTTATGAAGCTTATTTTAATCTAGTTATCATGGTGTTTATGATAATTATCATTTTTGTTACATTTTGTGGGTAGAATTATGAAAAAAATGAAATGAGAGTTGTCTCCCTTGAACTCTGTGAACTCTGTACATAGTTAAATATTAATACTATCTATTAAGTTCCCAAATTAGATGAATGATTTTAAAATGAAATAATCCTTTTGAAATAAAGGTACATCAGAATTTCCTTTTTTTTTCAAATCTGACATTATGTTTTTTTGTGGTGTTTTCCAGAATCTGAAAATGGTCATGATTGTATTTATCTTAATTATTTCTCTCATACCTGCATCATTCTCATTAATGTACTTTTCCTGTATCTAACCTCTTGTACAACTTATGTTTCCACTAGAATCGACTCAGGACCCACCCCAAGTGTTCATCAGCTACCAGTGGGACTGCCAGGATGAGGTGAAGGCACTGCGAGACCGACTGGAGAAGGTTGGATTGTCCTGTTGGATGGACATTGGTCAGATGGGAGGAGGTGACCAGCTTAACATCAAGATAGATGAGGGAATCAGAAACTCAAAGGTATGTCTGCAATTAAGATAAAGTTCACTTGGTATATAGCAATGGTTTGTTATATTTGTCTGTTGTGTAATATTTAATGTATATCTGGGCAGGTTTACTTCATCGGCAAGATATTAATGTGATTGAGAACTGAATTGTGTAAAGCCCTGTCTTGTGTTGACTAGGTGGTGCTTTCCTGTGTGTCTCCAAAGTATGTCGTGTCTCACCACTGTAATCGAGAGCTCAGTCTGGCAGACCTATTGGCCAAGCCCATCATCCCTGTGATGTTTGAATCAGTACCCTGGCCGCCTCCAGGAGGAATGTCTCTGATCTTCTCACAGCTTGTCTACATAGATATGAAAGGTACACAACAACAGATCATATTTGATCTCTGTCATCTCCTTTATCAGGAATTATTATTGTTTGAATTCAAACTTTTAATGTATAACATTTTTGTATATATGTATTTTCAATTTATAGTAAAAAATTCATTATTTATATAATCATTAAAGATATGTGAAATTTTATTATCAAACTAGAGTTATATTCATATTCAGGAATTACTGTTTCCCATTCTGATATTATCATCTGTGATATCTGGCCAAAATTGTTAGAAGTTTATTAAAATTGATTTTCTCATTGTATATCTAGCTGGTGTCAGTTACTGGGGTTTGTTACCTGTCGGTTGAAAATTGCAGTAAAGGGGATTATTTTCTTTTGTTTTATTAATGTTTGAACGGGATACTTAATATAACCTGGATTGGTGAGAAATAAGATTTCTCCAGTTCCTCTAACTCTATCACAACTCTTCATTAAAGTGTCTGAGGGATAGGATAAATTCATCGGCAGGAAAAATTGTTTTGAAATAATAAAGGGTGGAAAATTATATGAAGCTGATGTACATAAATGTACTGTGGTTTGCTCTGTGTTATTTGATATTCACCAGTAACCACAGCAACAATCTCCCTTACAGGTGTCGGAGGACATGGAGGAACTGGTATCCATGGTGACCTCAACGACAAATACAGGGAGATAATCCAACGAGTGATGAACTATGCCAACCCAGACCTCACAAAGTATTATGACACGGAGACAATCATAAGTAGCAAGGAAAGTAACCAAATCCATCACGAATCTTCAAGTCTATCCAGCATGGAAAGTATAGACAACTCCCTCAACAACAATCTGGAGCAAGCCAGCATTCACCATCCCTACCCCATCCCAGTCTCCATGGTTACCCAAGCAGACTATCCCACCCCACAACAGGTCACAGTCACCAAGTGTGGGGTGTGTACCATTTTATGATGTCACTGACAGATACACTTCATTATGTATATATTCATTGTCACTTCACTATGTACAAAACACAGGTATTTACCATTAGAGAGGGCCAACATAATAGACGTATCTTCAATGATTGTCAGTATTGAGACATATGTTGTGACTGATCATATCCGTTATATCATCTATTAATTCTAGCCACAAGCTCATACACCTGTTACTTGTTGTGTGTTGTATGACAGTGTTTGGAAGAGCTGCTTGTATTCAAACTGCTTTGTCTGATTATGAAGAGATATCAGGATCCTTGAGATACCAGGATACGAGGGATAAATGAATTATATACAGGTTTATGGTTATTTTTGTTTTCTCTACATGAGAGAGTTTGATGTCTGGATTTAGAGAGGTTACATGTATCTGTGTAAGAATGTTAGCTGTCACAAGTAGTACTGAAGTGTTTGACCAAACACCATGGTCACAAGACACCATGTTGTTATTTTACATTTCAGGGATTTCACAACACAACAACAAAAAGTGTATAAATTTTCAGCAACGTGAATGCACATTCAGGCTAGGAGAAAATCCTCCAATGAAGGTTACTGTTTTCTGACATATTCACATCTTTTTGAGTGAGATGTCAGTCATTAACATTGTATAATGTATTAACACAGTGTAGGTTTGAATCTCATTACCTTTACAATGTCACTTTGATCTGTCTATAAACTATGAGGGATATTAGTTTTCAAGGAAGAGTGATTGTTAGTTCCTATTATCTTTTATTTTATAAATTTCTATGAAAATTATCTTCAATGTCTAGAGGAGGCTTTATTTTTAGTACATAACTTTTCCAAGTGTTACTTTAGGCTATTCCAGGTAAAACATATTTAATGTTCTATTTGTGGTCACAGCTGTGCCCAGTGCCCTCAAGGTTCAGGTTTTGGTCATTGTCATGAATAGCAGTAAGGTTGTATCTCTCTCTTCTCCTTTATCTGCTTATTATTGGGATTTTGTTTAGTTTGTGAGAAAGATGGAACATAGAATTTGTGATGTGTGATGCTGTTGACATCGGATAGATATAGAACCTGTTCAGAAGAGAAATTCTTCTCTGATGTAATTATTCATTAAAAAGTCACAACACAAGAAATGGTTTACAGTTGTTTGATAGACATTAAGACAAAAGGAATTTTATACAATTGTTTGATAGACCTTAGGACAAAGAGAATGGTTTACATTTTTTGATGGACTTTAGAATAAAAGAAATGGTTTACATTTGTTTGGTGAACCTTAGGGCAAAAGGAATGGCCTCCAGGACAAAGTACTCTGTAATCACAAATGATTGTCTCCCTGCTCCTTATATCTTATTTGTATTTCTGGAATAGTCTGGAGGAATTATTTGGTATAGAGATAAGGTTATCACCATCTGTCGTGAAGAAGTGATGGGAAGTTCTCTCTAGGTATGAAATATGTATAAGAAGCTATCTGTGATATTTGGATTTTGATATTTATATGGCTCTGCTATTGAAAGCTTGATGTATATTGTCCTCAGATATTTGGGTACTTAGATCATTTAAACAATTTCTGAAATTCACCCTAGTTTTATTTTGAAGATCATGAATCCTTAAAAATTGGAGCTTATGATAAAAAATAGCTAGGTATTGTATTGATGGTTTATTTTGCTAGCTTTGAATTGCTTAATTTATTCTGCAATATGTCCAGGAGGCTATCACAGAATCTCTGAATCATAGTAAAGAATAGACCCTTTGCATGAAAATGAAATCTGGATATGATTTTAACCATGCGTATGCTTATTACAGGAGATAGAAGGAAGTTCTTCCCGGGGGAAACACATTGTAATAATCTAATCCTCTGACTTTGATTCAAAGATAATGTTTTATTGCCCTCAAAGAAGCCCAGACAAAATTTGTGTCAAATGTATTTTTTGCCCCACATCATTCCTCCGACACATCCTTGACTTCCCTCACCCCACCCCTGACTTGTTGTCGTGCAATAAGCCACTCCTGACTTTGGAGTCAGTGGTAATGCATTGGGCTTATTGTAATAAACCCACTCCTGACTTTGAGTGAGAAGTAGTGTTGTGGCCCCTTGGACTAATTACAGGATACATACATGAGCACTGCTTTGTAATTGCTGTAAGGGATTATTATTTCCATGATAATATATTTACACATTATCTGATGACATTTTATAAAGATCTGTTATATCTACTGTATTTTTACTATTTCATGCTTTTTATTGCTATATATATCTAAACATTATATATTACATTGTACTCTATCTCATACACGCTGTTTATTATCATCTGTTAAAACCATATGCTACAAATTGGAAATTGTTGGTTATCAAAGCAGATTGAATTTATTTATTGTAAAAGTTTGCAAACAAAAAAAGAAAGGCAATTTGTTCTCAATATACATCTCATTGTTTGTTATGTATACATCCAATTTTTTTTTAACTTTAATTGTTTTTTTACTCTGTAATTTAATTTCCGTCCAGGTTTGTAACAGTTGTATGTAAAGTTTACATTTATTGTAAAGGGGTCAGCTGAATGAGGCTTATCTAATATGGACATATTGTGGTAACATGAGGGGCCTGGAGTTACTGGGCATTACAGAAGTTCTCCCACTACTGTCAGAGTATCCTTCTTTTAACCTATCCAGAAAATCCTTGTCCACAATGCCTTAGGATGTCACTCGGGACTCCTCGAGTGTGAAGCACACCCGAGGAGTTCCGAGTACTTAGGATGTCAATAGTAGGCCACATGCCAAACCAGAAGTATGGATTATTGATGACCTTTGACATGTAAAAACAGAATCCTCCATGAAGTATATTTCTTCTGCAGAAGATAATTGATGATATTTTTTTCTTTCTTGAATTAAAAGAGTTACTAGTAGATATATATGATATATGTAAATGTGTCAATCTTTTTGGTTTGTTTTTTGTTTGTATTTTTTGTTTTGTTGCTTGGTTGCAATGACCTGAGTGAAGCATTGGGCAAAGTTCTATACATAACTTATATCTACATGTAGTTGTATTTATCAGGTGACAATGAATAATTGTTCCCCACCTTAAGGGTGAAACAGAAAAGGTAAAATTCTTAAAATGTATAACAAAGTGAAAGTTCAGGCTAGACATTTCTCAATCTCTCTGTTTGGGTTAGAATTCTCAGTCTCATCCTTGGGGTGGGAAAATGTTCTTGTAATTCAACAGATATGTGAATACCATATATGCATGGTCATTATCTTACAAATGAGTAGACTTAATGATTATAGGTGTGTTTCAATGTCATTTTAGATTTATATAATTTGATATTTATTCTAGTGCTGCTATTATGAGTTACAAATATTTAGTATTCATATTTTTAAGTGCCAGTAATTTGAAGCTTGTAAATCAATATACTCTAGTTAATCCCATGAAGGTCAAGGTAATTGTTCATATGTATATTGACAATGTTATAACTGGATTTTTCATTGGTTAATATTGTGATATAAATTCCTTGTTAGTGAACCGTATAGAATTCTGTTAATTCTTCAACAGATCATTTAGTTTTGTTTGATTGTATATTTCAACTGCTGTTGAATACACTAACAAAAACAGCTTTTGATTAGAAATGATTCAAAGTTTCGAAATCATGTGGAAATTCAAGCAGATTTAAAAATACCAATCTAACGAAAATAAGATCATATCCCTCTGGTTTACTGGTACGCTGTGTTGAAGGTCAAATTTTCATTAGATTTAAACAACAATGAACAGTTTTTTGCTTTAAATTTGATTTGTTACAAAAGTGCAGCATATAAACCAGTGAAAATATCAACATCTAACTGCCTGTACCAATTAGCAGAGATCAATAGATATAAAAATCTCTAATTTGCTTGCTGACTTCATGACTTGGCACTTCCATAGAGTTTTCAGCAGAATATGACCTAAACACAATCTTTACCATATGCTTGACTGATGGTACAGATTTTTGGAAACTTATGTTACAAAATTTAATTCAACTTCTATTAGCCACTGTTTTTGGCTCAGTTGGAAGCTTGCTAAAGGTCTTACTGTGGGAAGAATTTGGAGAACCCAGTGAAAACCCACATGGTCGGGCAGGTGAACTTATACCTTTTCACATCCATTCTGGGAATTAAACCCCAGATCGGTGAAACGCAAGTGCATTGCCACTGCCCCGTCTGAACCACTAATGCTACAAAAACATATTGATAACAAATGATGATTTTCTGAAGTAAAAAGCATAGATATTGATGAATGTCGCTCCACATTTTCTCAGTAGGGTGGGGGTATGGATTAACATCCATGAAGCAAGGGTAAGATGCTCAAAATCTGTACTTGTTAAATTTTTTTTTTTTTTATAATGCTCTTTGTTAACATTTGAGATGAAATACTCATCTCATGGTAATCTCATTCTACCCTTTGTGTTATGTCAGAATATTCACTTGTTTCACAAATATAAAACATCCAATATCAGTGAGTATATTGTTTAATGTAAAAAAGAAATGTTTAGTTAAAAAGGGACGTTTGGAATTATCTTAACTATGTTAGACAGATTGATGTAAGCATATAATACGTGTACATTCATTAAAGGTGCTGGCATTGATCTGCTTCCTGCTCATATGATATATGTACATGTATACACAAATGGTAAGTGCCGAGGACACCCAAGGATGTCCCATATGTCTAGATCAGGGAGTAGAAGAAGCATTACAGTAGTTGGTGTTTTAGGGGAGGGAGGGGTTGTTGTTGCCCAGAAGATACTTGTACATTAGATATTAATACAGAAAAATGTTTCCTGTTAAAATTTGTGTACCGGTACTTGACAAGTGTAGCCATTGGTCTTATAATTACATAAAGGGAGAAAACTGTGTTTGATAAGAGTCTCAATGGGAAGTCAAATGTGTGGTTATTTCAAACTTATCAATATTTGAAGAAAAAAAAAGCACATTTGTTGGTGTATTAGCTTACTCATAAACTCAAGTGATAAATATTTGGGTACAATCAATGGCTCTAGTTTTTATTTATTACTGGTTAAATTTACATTATTTCAACCATAATATTTTTCTCATCACTGATCAACAATGTTAGTGTTACTAGAACAACAGACATTTTACCCAACTTTCATTGTTTTGTAAGAGTATGGTTTTCCAGTGATTAAAATGTTGATTTCCACAGTTCTTACATCATTTTTACTTTTCTTACCAATTTGTTCTAGAAAATGACTTAAGAATATAACTGGGAATGTCACACAATTTTAGTAACCTACACAGATATTTACGTAAAGAATTTAACAATTAGTTGGTGACAATAAAGGAATCAGTCTTGACACACTGATGTACAAAGTGCCAATCAAGAATCTCATCGTATCATTTGTAGAACTGGGAGAGAAAGTCCTTTGTAGGAAACTAATACATTATATCATCAGGGTACATTCTATATGTGAAAACGACTATTAAGATAAAAATTATTTAGTCTTCTGTGAGTCAGTAATTTCTGTAATATGAAGTTAGAACTGTGAAATCCATTCTTGAACTCATTAACCTAATTTGAAATGAAAATAACTTGTCATTGATAGAGATTATTGTTTATTGTGTGAGGTTGTTTACAGAGTATTTTGATTGTTAAACATTCAAAGTTATTTCCTTGATTTTTGTGAAAAGAAAGGAATAAAGATTCATTACTATTAACATTGTTGTTCTCTTTATTTGTAGCAGGAAGTTCTATGTATTTACAAGTTTTTCAGCGCACCACTCTCAGTTGGTTGGCTATTTCAGTTGCCTGCATCAGTCATTTGTCTGTCCGTACTATAGTATATAACTTTTGTTATCACTGTTTCTGGAGAAGTACTGGATGGACAAATCTTCAATTTCATAAGGAGGTTTCCTTTGGTCCATAGCTGTACCTATCTAATATTGGAATATATAAAACAAAATGGCTGACAGGGTGCTATCTTGAATTTTGACCATGAAAGATTGCTGGCAATGCTCCAGCAGAAGTTCTAGGTTGTTCTTTCTCTAATTTCTCTTGATCCCTGGTAGTTGTGCACTATTGATTTTGATATTGATCTGAAAAACAAAAGCACTGACAGGCAGCCTTCATGGATTTTGACAAAAGAAGGTTATCACTTTTTCTTTGAAAGTAGTTGCTTAATGGATCTCTTTTAAATTTGAAATATTGGATGCCTTGGTCCTTAATTGTGCCATATTTATTTTGAGACTAATCAGAGAAATAAAATCATTGACATACAGCCATCTTTGATTTTGAAGTCATGGTTTTTATTGATTTTCTTGTGAGCTATAGGTGGATATTTCTAAAATTCTATATATATGCTGATCCCTTGGTCCCTTGTGCAATGTGCTTTTTGAGAATGATAAGAAAAAATGGCCAACAGGAGACCATCATTATTTTTGATAGTTATAATTTACCACTTGAGAAGTAATTGATGGATTTCTCCATCTCATGTTTCACATCTAGTTGTCATGTTGTGCAAAAACAAAATGAACAAACAATCCATCCTTAAATTTGAAACATCAAATTAATTATTTCACAGAGAGTACTTGACAGATCATTCTGGAGTTTTGTACGCTGGTTTCATCAACTTGGCTGTCAATGTTAGAAATAGTTAAGAACGAAAAAGAGGAAAGAAGAGTGAAAAAAGGGAAAAGATCCACCTTACATAAAACTGATAACATACAATTATGGGCACCAGGATCAATCCTGGGATTGCATGTTGTTTCTCTGCAGTGATGCAGCAGAAGTGACTTTAATTACTGCTCCATCAGCTTCAGAGGTCATTTGATTTCAAGTTGACAAAATATGACAGAACTCTTTAAGTCATGTTGCCGGTTTCTCCATCGGTCAATGATTTTCATTATTCTCCATTCTGATGAAACCTTATGAACTAATTGATCTTGAGAATGACAAGATATTCTGCAGAACCACTTTATATAGAGTAGCCTCACATCCACCTCTAAAGTCATATTAAACGACACTCACATTTGGTTAGACACATCATCTGCAGTCATTATGTAGGATTCTTGTTTATATGATTTTGTTATGGGCAAATTAAAAAAATGATCTGTACATTAATGACAAAGATTATGCCATATATCTTCACTATGTAATGTGTGGTTTCCATCTTTTTTTTTTGTAGCATAAACATTCAACATATTTCTGATGAAGTCTGTTAAGAATATCATAATTTCTCTTTGTTTTAATATATTACATGAATTGACAGAACAACAAACAATGTGCCTTTACTTTATTACAGAACATCACTTTTATGATAATTTTCAATCACATTATTTTAAGTGCTTGTATTGTAACAAAGGCACCTTCATCCTCCTTGTTAAAATTAAAATAGTAAGATTTTTAAGAGCAAATGTTAAAACCCTCAGCCTTATAAATCAGAACAATACAGAGATATCTAGCATTTTATCAGTTGTTCGTTCCATAACCTTCAGCATATCCCGATTAAAAAAACTTGGAAAAGCAATCGAAATAAAACAATATCTCCCAAGAAATACGGTCCTTTTTCTTTGATGCTAAAATTTTATATGCAGTGACTAAATGCAATTTTAAAAAATGTTGCAGCTTTTCATTTTTCATATTTCCATGGAAGTACTTCTTTCTACTAGACAATGTCTGTTCAGTCATGCACAGAAAGTTCACAATGTTATTGACATATTGCCAATAACATGAGCTATCGGAGGCTTGTCTGTCCAAAAACTGGTTTCCACATAAGCCAGGAGATTCCATATGAAAGTATCATCATGTGTGTACAGATGAAATTGTCTCTTTGTCCAATCACACAATACACATCACTTTGTCCAACTCACTTTTGGAATATCAAAATGCTCTGTCATTGCATCCAAATGACTGTTGAATAACTGAAAAATAAATGAAGGTATTTGAAATGATGCTTCCTGTTACATAAAATATCTATGATATACAGGACACAAAGTTGTGTATTACAACAGAAATTAGTTTTATTGTAATGTTATCTAGAAGATAATGTATTAACATTACCAATATACAACAGTTAATGATGTGAAGATGGTGAACATAATGTATTAACATTACCAATATACAACAGTTAATGATGTGAAGATGGTGAAGATAATGTATTAACATTACCAATATACAACAGTTAATGATGTGAAGATGGTGAAGATAATGTATTAACATTACCAATATACAACAGTTAATGATGTGAAGATGGTGAAGATAATGTATTAACATTACCAATATACAACAGTTAATGATGTGAAGATGGTGAAGATAATGTATTAACATTACCAATATACAACAGTTAATGATGTGAAGATGGTGAAGATAATGTATTAACATTACCAATATACAACAGTTAATGATGTGAAGATGGTGAAGATAATGTATTAACATTACCAATATACAACAGTTAATGATGTGAAGATGGTATTGTCTTTTTGCTGTAAAGTGGGTACTAAAATAAACCTTTCTCTTGTAAATTATCTTCATATCCAGATATGATCAGTCAATAGGGATGGTGTTGCATGCTATCTCTAGTGATAATATCACTTTTTTTTCTCTCTCCTCCTCCCTTTTTATAATAGTGTGTGCACTAGTGTATAATATACACAGCAGTTTTTTTTATGAATACATCTAAAATGTTCTAAAATAAAATGTATTGGCAGTTCAAATTAATTTGAAGCAAAACTCTACCGAAGAAAAACCTCCAAATTATATTCCTATTTTCACAGGGTTTCAACAGATATAAGCAGTCTGCATTCATCTTTAGAAGTTCTCTATTTTCTAATATGAAAAAAATGATTTCCACTCGTGAAAGAAATTATTTTCAAACTTGAAAAGCTATGAAAAATTATCCTTTTTTCAGTAAAAAAAGTTTTTCACTTAACCTACTTCACAGATGGCAATCTGCATGAGCTGGTATATATGGAGAAAAAGCAATCTGATTAAACTCATTTCTCTGTCCATGCTCTTGTTTCAAAAGTTTCACTACAAAACAGACTGAAGTTTGTGAAACAGGAGCAGGGATCAAGGAATGGTTTTAATCATATTTGGAAAATATGTTGAAAATTATTTCTAGAATTGCATCTGTTGGTATATACATATACAACATACAATACATGTAATTCAAACCTACCATGATTCGTTCTTTGTGAGTTTTACTGGCTTTTTCTACAATCAATTCTGCTTCCTGCAATTACATGAAAATAAAGAATGCATTCAGATTTAACAAACTATTATCAATATTGTGTTTATATCAAACAATAGGCCAAGCAGACTTGAGGGTCACCTGAGATAAGCAATATTAAGGATAAGTAGCTCTTAAGTGTCATGAAAAAGAAATTATGACCTTGATGATAGTAAGCCAGTTTCAATACATGCATACCATCAAAACTGTAATACTATACCAATAATTCTTTCCAGTAGGAAGTAAACAACATTATCCTCAAAAAAGCAATTTTTCTATTAAAATTTAAAGTAAAGTTTACATCCACCTGGGGAAGAAATGTGAGACCCATTTAGCACCTTAAGGTGATTCCATCGATGAAGAGCATTTGATTTTACCATATCTGGGTGTTGAGAAAAAAATGTTTGAAATCTGAGCCAATTTGACTCCTTCTGGCCCCACCCATCAGCCCCTGAGAGTCAACCAAGATCAATATGGGCATATCATTAAAAACCAACTTCCTTCGCTAATATTTCTAACAAAGTCTGAAATATTTCCAATGGAAATTAAACTAATCATCTCAAAAAGCTATTTTTCCAATATAAACTACAGTAAACTTGACCCCAATCCCATGAGGAAATGTGAGACCCTATAGCCATTAAATTCACAATTTTGGTAAAGCACCTTAAGATGCTTCCATCAATGAAGAGCACTTGATTCTACCATATCTGGGTATTGGGTTATTTATCTACTGTTTGTTTTAAGGCAAAAGTCTTCTAAAATGTTCAGTAATATGCAGCATTGATTTTAAAACCCAGATTATGTTGTGATAAACATTGACAATAACAAAATATCCCCCTGTGTTTTGAAATTTGAGTCAATTTGACCCTTGTTGCCCGCCTCTCAGGCCCCTGTGTAGTGTGGACCGTATAATTCACTATTTTGGTTCATCTTAGGCAATGTAAAATTTCGATATTGTATTGAAATTTATTAAGGAGTGTCTGAGAAGGAGTTGAAAATGTTAAATTGCTTACAGACACATGATGCCTGACAAAGGTGATTGCAATAGGTAACCATGAGACTTTGTCTCAAGTGACCTAAAAACATATTACCCGGTAATTGATTATAAGAATGAGGAGGAAGTGATAAGAAAAATAAGCATGTTTGTACACAATTATCAAGTGTATAACATAAATGGACAATAAAGTCTGTACTACAATTTGTGATTTTCTATTTGACACTTGACATACCGATATAGAATTTGATATTATCTTGAAATTAGCAGCAGGAGTTTAAGTGGCAGTCCCATTGTATGGAAACATTTATTTCAATTGCAGATGTAAAGAGATGTTCCAAGGAGATAAGATTTGAAGTCGATCAGCTTACCCTCTTTTCTCTTGCTCTGTCAAAAGCTTGTTCTGCCTTTGTCCGTTTATCCATGGTCTTCATCTTCTTTCCATCTTCTTCTGATGACTTTGAGTTAGAGACCTGTTCATACATTTTCATAGCTTCTCGTTCTTTATCCTTCTTTTTCTTCTTCCTAAAATAACCAATTTTTTGGGAAAAAAAAGGGTGGAGGGTTATTTATCTACTGTTTGTTTTAAGGCAAATGTCTTCTAAAAATGTTCAGTAATATGCAGCATTGATTTTAAAACCCAGATTATGTTGTGATAAACATTGACAATTACAAAATATCCCCCTGTGTACTGGTAAACATTTCTATCTTTTTAAAATATATACACATTTATTAAATGCAGTTTAAGAGTTTCAGTCTACATCAGGTTTGGTGATTTTTTGGTGTCACTTATTCTCATTGGTCAGTGCCAAAAGGAGCACTGCACGTGTAATCCAGAAATTATCGCAAGATAACCAAGAGGATGGTATAGCGATAAGCTTGACAGCCAAGGAGAACCAAGAATGCTATCCAACTGCATAATGGGAAAAAAGACACAGTCTAGGAATATCCTTGGATATCTTTGTGTACAGACAAGTCCAAAAGGGTTGTTTTCTTTTTAATAATTGGACAAAAAGGCACCTTTTCATTCACAGGCTGAGACATTTATGTGATAAGCTACATTTGCAAACGAAACTTTCTTAAGTATGTCGTCTACTTTTGAAAAAAAAACCATATCACTATTTAATATTGCCATTGATGACAATGAAACCCCGAATCAGAATAAACACAGGTAAGTAGATTCACTTACCTTCCGTGATTTTACTCTTGACTGTCAATTAGATTACACCGATGTACAGTGTATGGTTTATTGAATATTGGAACAAATTGAACAAAAATCATCGAATGTTATTTTTTCAAAATGAAATTTAAAACAAGTATTTGACCATTTATTGTGTGTATGCCATTTCGACCAGTTATTTTAAACAGTACTTGATGACCAGCTCGTACACCTATGTGTCCGAGTTCAGAGAGTGAGAGGACCGAGTAAGTTACAGTGCATCCCCGCAGATGACTGGGTATTTCTCAGGTTGTTTACATTCCAGATAAATGTCTGTTGTTTTATCTCGCCACTACTCAACATCAAAATGATAATCAGTGCCAACTTACTTCTTCACTTTATGATCTGAAACGCCTTTAAGCTTCAGAGAACTACGAGATACAGAATCATACTCCGACATTCTCGTCTCTCCTAAACATAAACAGGAAGTCGTCTCATGATAGCGCCATCTAGCAGTATTGATAATCCAATGAAGGGAGCATTCCTTAATTACTTTGATATGAATTATTAAAAAATGATAACAAGTCTTTAATTCCTTGGATCTTTTTTTATACTTATTACGTTTGTCTTATTGCATTTTGTATGTTTTTAATACGGAATGCTTTAATTTATTTCATTTGATAAATGCCCTAATTGTTTATTACCTCCCCTTGTCTGGTTGCTGACGTAAAGCGTCCCTGACATCGGAGGGCCTTGTGCTGGGGTTGGTTCCTGACTTGTGTGGTGTCAGTGTGGTTCAGTTTAATTAGAAATCGTTTTCTACCTCCGTAATTGCAATCATGCCACGAAGGGCTATGAGATGTCGGGTGGATCTTAAAATCAGAGCGGTAAGTAAACTTATTTTTATATGAAAACGTATTAGTAAATAAGGTAAAGTACTGTTTCGAAGAACAATACCAAAGGACATGTCGTGTCTTGTTTACTTAAAAGACCCGCTTAACACTGCTACCGTTTCTAGTAGTACAATTCCTGTTTTGGTAACAATTCTTACTGCAATATTTACACATTTTGATATATAATTTCTAATGTTTATGTCGCAACAAATTTGTGAGAAGTATTTTTGACATATCATAAGATATACAACTTTGAAGACCATAAGCAGTTTCCCTCTTTAAAAGAACTAATATGCAACAGGTTGATGCATATCATCATATCAATGGAGCATAAATGATACAAGAATATAATCAAGCCACTTAATAGCCATGGGAACGGGAAAACGGTCAAAATGGAAGTTTTACTTAATATTTATATAAATTGTATAATAACAAAGACTACAATACAGGACGAAACTTGTGATGTTTTTTCAAACAGGTGACTGCCCCAGGAGTATGGTTAAGTAGTCGAGAAGATGTCTACCTCAGTATTTGTATGTTTGGGGAATATAGAACCACCAATCTTGTTCCTTCAATTTTCCCCTTATTCATAAAGGAAGAATTGCTCTTTGATAAAGTAAGTGTAATCATTATCATTGACACTGTGATCAATTTGTCTAAAAAACAGTCAATTCATTATATCATATGTTATATTAATAAGCTTCACATTTGCATAAAACAAGTATCTAATATTTTATTGTTATTATTGATTTTATTAAATTGTTCATGGTAAGATATTTTTCATACACATTTTATTTAGATGGTAAACAATTCAGCATTTTTTGTTTCACTCATTTGACTTCAGACCTACTACACAGCATTAGACCCTTCATCAGTGGCTGATTACTTGGAAGGTAATACCTTAAACATTTAATGTCATCTTTAACATGTGAAAAATATGTCACATGATGTAGTCTTAGATTTGTGGTTGGGATCAATAATGTATATGAGAACATTTTCCCCAACATCTTTGACTGTCTGTGGTGTTTTTGTTGCCCTTTATGGTTTTATAGTATATATTATTAGACTCAAGTCAATAAATGCAAGTATTTTTTCATCAGATCCATATAGATAACATATAATGACTGGTAATATTCAGTCATTATGACAATTCAGTCTTTTTAACAGAACAAAAACAAAAATACATTACATATTTTGAATGTGAATTAGAACTGTGAAACCATTTTTTGCAGATGAACTGGTGATAATAGAACTTCTACAATTACGTGACGATTGTGATGGTGCTACTCGCCTAGCTTCCTATTCTTCCAATGCTCGTGACTTCCTGTTTCCATATCCAACATTAGCACCTGCTTATGCCTCTAACACTAGAGAATTGCTCCTAGCTCGCACCTTGGACTTCCCTGTGAGTAAGATATTCCTCAGTACTAGCAAAACATATTACAAAGAATTTCTCTTGTATTTTTGTTGTGATTAAAGTTTGAATTAATTTTTTTTGTAGATGTTTATTCATTATAATTTGTTTTGTAAGATTAAGTAAATAGCAGTAAACTGTTAAGAATGTTCCTTTAATTTCTTCACTTGTTGTAACACAGGGAATTGCACCTAAGCTAGAGTTTATCACTGTGACCAACATTTCTGAGTCTCTGTCCCCTGAACTTGATGCCTTGGAGGATGCTTTGATGGATGAAAGGGTAATAAGCATTAGATTATACAGAAATCCAGTTAATTATACTTTCTTGATCTTAATATTTTACTTACTGCAATCTGTTTAAACATTCCTTCAACCTACCTGGACTATGAAGATATATTCAAAGTTAAGTACATAATCATGTTGGTAAATATTCAACTGAACCACATTTCATGGCAAAGGATTTTCTTTCCATTTTTTTTTTGAGTGTTTGATAAGTACATATACTCATCTATTTCACACAGAAATCAAGGAGGCGTTCCAGATCTCGACCAAGCTCAAGAAACTCCATGAGGTTTGTCATCCATATTTGCGTGTGTGAGATTAAACTTTGTTGTTATGTACATGCTAACTTTGGTATAGAAGCAGTTCACTTTATCTCGGTTTGATCTGGTTTAAAAAAAAAAAAAAAACTTAAAAAAAAAAATTTTTTTGGCTTCTCTGACATTTCAAAATTTAAGGCGACCTTTTTATATATAGCAGCAGAGGAGTACACCGTTGGGAAGTTATATGGGATGGGAAGTTGTTTGATGAAATTAATGTTCCTTGTTGTTCTAGTCTATACTTTATATAATTATAGTTTGTACCCATGGTACAGCATGATGTTTGTGTAGGAAATGTGTTTAAAGGAACATGATTAAATGGTGTATAACAATGGTGTAATACTGAAATAATTTCCAAGGAGAGATCTTTCTTGATAGCTTATTCATATTTTATATTTATCAATTTTAAAGTTGTCTATTTGCTTTTCAAACTTACTTGGTTTATTGTGTGGTAAAGAAACTCCTGGTACATGTGTTCTGAATCATAGTATACCTACTGTTCATGTTTTAATATGTACCGTTATAACAATTCATACACATGTTGTGTTTTCTGTAGCTATCTTATGTAATATAAATAGTTTATTTTATATTTTGAAAATTATTGAATCAGTTTAAAAAAAAATATCAAAATTTGATACATCTTTATAAATTCAATGAAAACGTCATCATATCAATTTTGAAATTCAATTGATAAGGTTAATATTATGAATTCATGTGATTTCTGTAATTTAGTAGTAATTATTCAATGCTTGTTATGTTACACAACCTACAAAACCCAGCTCAGTCACTGTAATACATCCTTAATTTTAGAAATTTATCATTTCTTTCATCTGTTATCAATGTGTTCGTGTATCAGAGCTATCTTGCTTTTGCTTTTCTATATCATTTTTGCTTTTTTTTCTTTGTTTTTACACATATGTTTCTTGTTTGGTGAACTTGCCGCAGTCATGCGAAATCCACCAGCCATACAAAAGACAGTGTAACTGTCACATGATGTTCCTGGCCATAAATATCATGTCATGTGATGTCATCAACCTTGTCATGTGATGTCATCGACCTTGTCGTGTGATGTTTCAGCCTTTTCATGTGTTAACTTCAAGATTTATGTGGCTTTCAACCTAGGTGATAAAACACATACTAATTCTCCCATATTATAAAAGTGATATGGGAACTTAACAAGGAAATTTTAACATGTCCTGTATATACCATCAAACAACTGTACTCTATCCTCACAAACTATCTGATCCTAATATTGTATACTGTTGTACCCTAAATATTCCCCGCACTTCCTCAGTTTTTCCTTCACCTATATACAATGGTAAGTAGGGAACATTATGTTATTTATATAAGGATTTTTTCTGTACCTCAAAAGTAAAATTTATGTTATATGAAAGGACTATCTGTAAAGTTGATCTGAGAAATGTGAGGGCCAGATACTCTTATACATGCACTAACTAATTTGCCAAGGTGACATGTAACTCTGCTTGTAGTGGATGATTTCAGATTTTATCCTATACTTTATGTAGTAACATTTTGTAATAGTTACTTCTCAAAGATTTGTTTAGTCATGTTTCTATATCCTTGCATATCCTTTTTTACTTTTGTATTTCAAAGGTATTAGTTATGGTCCTTACTACTTTTCGTAATGATGGTTTACTCAATAATACAATAATGATACAAATATACCCTTACAACTTCTATTTTAGTTTGTATAACTTTAGTACTTTCTGTAGATGGTATATCTTCTTTTCTCTTGATTCATATTTCTTCTATGATGTGATATACAACTTTCCTTTCTGTACACATCATTTGTCTAACTGACTGGGCTGTTCTTTTTACCTCCCTGTAGGACATTCGTGGAAGTAGATGCTGAAGAGGACCTGAAAAACTACCACAAGCCAACAGTTGCCTCTGTTTTTCGTTCTAGGTCTCCGTCTCCTGTGTTTAGGAAGAAACTAGAGCAAGTAGGAACCAGTAAACGCCCGTCAAGTTCCAGCTGTGTTGGACGACCACCCTTTGTTGTCAGACATGTTAGTAGCTTTAAAACTAGAATAAACTATAAAATAAGACCACAGTTTGATATGTTGTTGGATGCTTTTTGAAATCATCAGCACTAGGGATATATTCAACAGAGGTCATTGTTACTAGTGATGTATTCAACAGAGGTCATTGTTACCAGTGATATTCAACAGAGGTCATTGTTACTAGTGATTTATTCAACAGAGGTCACTGTTACTAGTGATATTCAACAGAGGTCATGGTTACCAGTGATATTCAACAGAGGTCATGGTTACCAGTGATATTCAACAGAGGTCATTGTTACTAGTGATGTATTCAACAGAGGTCATTGTTACCAGTGATATTCAACAGAGGTCATTGTTACTAGTGATGTATTCAACAGAGGTCATTGTTACCAGTGATATTCAACAGAGGTCATTGTTACTAGTGATTTATTCAACAGAGGTCACTGTTACTAGTGATATTCAACAGAGGTCATGGTTACCAGTGATATTCAACAGAGGTCATGGTTACCAGTGATATTCAACAGAGGTCATTGTTACTAGTGATGTATTCAACAGAGGTCATTGTTACTAGTGATGTATTCAACAGAGGTCATTGTTAATAGTGATATTCAACAGAGGTCATTGTTACTAGTGATGTATTCAACAGAGGTCATTGTTACCAGTGATATTCAACAGAGGTCATTGTTACTAGTGATGTATTCAACAGAGGTCACTGTTACTAGTGATATTCAACAGAGGTCATTGTTACCAGTGATATTCAACAGAGGTCATTGTTACTAGTGATGTATTCAACAGAGGTCATTGTTACTATTGATGTATTCAACAGAGGTCATTGTTAATAGTGATATTCAACAGGGATTATAGTTGAAATATTCAATACAGAAAATTGCTATGCTGTTTTAGTAAACATATTAAATAGAACGGTTTATAATCTCTGATCTATTGTGTTTTACAGTTGGAGAAAAGCTTGATTGGTCGAACTCCTGGAGCTGGAGGACCTAAACAAAAAAAAGGCAAGAAAAAGGCCAAGCGCTCGAGCAGCAGACCCCGTAGTGCCTTGTCAGACACAGGTAGAATGTGACTTCACATATTTTCATTTTACATTTAAAACAATTTAATATAGTTTCTGAATTTCAAAATATCTCTGGTTTGAAGACTCAGTATATATGGAAATGATCACCCTATCTGATGAATTTGTTCGAGAATGGTAAACAGTACTGTCATGCCATTTCTTTTCAGAATATTACAGCGATTATGCCTCCTATCCCAGCTTAAACAAATACCGTTTGAAAAAGGTGCTGAGGGAAGCTGGTGATGACCCAATCCCTGTCTATCAATCACGATTTGTCCCAAGTGATGACGAGGGTGAGTATCTCCAGGATTAGTTGTCCCTGTCTTTTAATCACGATTTTTCCCAAGTGATGATGAGAGTGAGTACCACCAGGATAAGTTGTCCTGTCTATCAATCACGATTTGTCCCAAGTGATGATGAGAGCGAGTACCACCAAGATAAATTGTCCTGTCTATCAATCACGATTTGTCCCAAGTGATGACGAGAGCGAGTACCACCAGGATAAGTTGTCCTGTCTATCAATCACGATTTGTCCCAAGTGATGACGAGAGCGAGTACCACCAGGATAAATTGTCCTGTCTATCAATCACGATTTGTCCCAAGTGATGACGAGAGCGAGTACCTCTGGGATAAGTTATCTTTCTGTTACAGTAAATACTAGTTATTATCATCTTTGTGTTGCATTAGTGAGACCATATAGAATAGAGTATCAGTATCAGAGTGTTGTTCATTTTGATGAATAATGAAATAAAATATTAGTTTGTTTACCATTTGGAGTTTTTTGATACATTTTCATTCCTCAACAGATGCTGAAGTTGCCGCCTTAACCCGTTCTGTCGATGACCTTTACATTCCTCCAAGGTCACGTTCCCCCAGCCCTCTCCTGTATCGCTCTTCCTTGCGTGAGAGATACAGTGGCCTATCGCCTGCAGAGAGGATTGAACGGAGGGTCCAGGAGAGTTTAAGGAGGAGTCGTGAGATCTTGAGGAGTGTATCTCCTGTAAGTAGTAGCTATACACACTATGTGTTAAATAATTTCTGAGTACTCCAACATATCATATTTATGTGGCAATAAGCCCATGTTTGGTGGTAAATCTGTTTATATCTGTTGAATTTCCTTAAGTCCCTGATAATGTTGGAATCCAGCATTAACATAGCAGCAGAAACTTTAAAGGAAATTCAAATTTTGCTTGCATAATTTATGTTTGGTTTAAGCTTTTACCATTGTCTAGACTGATGTAACTTTCATTATTTAACAAACATAATATAAGTGACAAGCCAGCTCATTATGTTGTAATATTTTTTTTCTATTTCCTTAACTTATGCAGAGAAATTCCTCAAAAAAGCCAGTGTTTAGATTCTGAAATTCAATTCAAACAAATTATGTGTATAATTTAAGCAATGACATTGTCATGCTTGTTAAAAACACAGAGACATGTTTACAGTTATTTATTGGAATCTAATACTTTGCCTTAACAGGTTCCCAGGAGATACTCTCCTTACAGATCTCTATCTAGGAACTCGTTGGATGACTTAGAAATTGACACAACCATTGTGAAGAGTCGGAGGTATTATTAGCAGTCCAGCTGTGGGATGCTCCTAGCTTACATGTACATATCACTCCTTGTAATGTTTTGTGTTGTCGGTCTTAGGGAGGAAACTTTGTTGTCTTTTATATGTGTCTAACCGAAGAGTTCAAGTGTGTAACAACCGCCTGAAATATTTAAGCATTTTCATCAAATTGTTTTCATTATAATTGATAATTTATTTCCCTGTTACCAATGATCTTCAGAGCGATTTAAGATGGAGTTAAACTGTATCTTAAGGCCTAGCAATTGCATAATGATAAATGGTGAAATTGTGGGACTTTCCACCATGTAATGTCCCACACATTAAGACTACCGCACCAAGCTGAACTATGGGGCTGATGGTGGGCGCATATGTCTATGGACATTAGTGAACATCTGAATTGTTTCCTTGTGATAAACTAGACAGATAGGTAGTAGGGTTAAACAAAGTCCTAGTAAAATTATTTGAATCTACTCTGAAGAAATACCTCTACTTCCTTTGTGAGACTCGTGTCCATCCCTCTGATTATACATAATGTATATTGTGGAGTCCTTTGACCTAAGGACACTCCTAACCAAGCTTGGTTAAAATCCACTAATTGTTGACTAGCAGAGTTAGATATGGAAAGCTGACCAAATCACACCACACCTTGACAAAAGTTTACTAACATGAAGCCAGATAAATCACACCACACCTTGACAAAAGTTTACTAACATGAAGCCAGATAAATCACACCACACCTTGACAAAAGTTTACTAACATGAAGCCAGATAAATCACACCACACCTTGATAAAAGTTTACTAACATGAAGCCAGATAAATCACACCACACCTTGATAAAAGTTTACTAACATGAAGCCAGATAAACCCCAAAGTAAATCACTTCCATGTTGTCTTGGTTTTCTGTTTCAAATCCGTCAAAAATGTCTTTTCTCTTTAATATAGAATCTTATCTGCAGTTCTGCTGTTCTTATTTTTCTATTCTTTATCTTATTTATGTGTAGAATTTAGACTAAATTTAGATATTTTGACTTTAGAAATCTAGTGGCTGTTTATGTTGAGATGTTGTTTGCTATAATTGTTGTTGGGGTATCAGGTATGTTTGTGATTATGCATGGCATAATGCCTAGATTATTGGCTTATTAATCTTTATACATATATGTATCACTCTTATAATTTTATGATTTTTATGCCTACGGAGTCAGTGGTTTCCTTACACAATAAGACTGTACTTGTAGTTAAAGCAGGGTAAGACTCCCAGGATACAGCTTTATCAAGGATTAAAGCACTTAGCTGTGTGCAAAATGGCATACATGTAATCTCGTGAAATGTCAGTGTTGTTGCTGAATGTTATCAGATCCTCTAATCATAAGACCTAATTTTGTGTGTTTCTTTTGGGATGGTGTTGAGATGTTTATTATCACAGATTAGAGTAATTTCAACCTGAGATACAAGTAAATTTTTGATAATAAAGTGCCCATTTTATACAGAGTTAGGACCCTTCATTAACCGAGATTTTTTTTATCAACCTTGGCTCCATAGATCTGTATTTACCATTGCAGGCAATAGCAGATATGTTAATAGATTTTGTTCTTTTATGCTCGATTTGCATCTATAGAATTTCATCTGTTTTGTCTGTGGGAAATACTTCTAGTCTCATAGGACCAGAAACTAATAACCAGGTAATAAGTCCCGTAAGATTATAATTGAACTGTTGGGTTATTCTCTATCTTTAAAACATAACTGTAAAGTTCTCAGGTCTTGAGGCTATGTCAGACATTCATGTCAACTGCTGATGATGCAGTAGAAATATAAACATTTGATGATTATGTTACAGTCCACAAGCCTACGTACACCTGGACAACGGGAAATACTGGACAGATAAAGCAGCTCAATTTACAGCCAAGTCCCACCGACAAGTTTTCAATGATACCCTGAGCTCATCATATCAGAAGATGTATAAGAATGCATATTAATAGCTGGAGAGGATTTAGTGTCAGTGGTCAGCATATACTGCCGTTAGAGACCAGTGTCAACCAATCTCTGTGATATTGTTACTGTACCTCAACAATTTTTGGGAGCACTTTATTTCTGTAGTAATTTCATGCAAAAAATACCCATATACACTACAAAAATTATTCAAGAATTTCAAAAACTTACATCGAAACAACTCTTCTGTTATAAATGATATATTGAAATTTTGCAAAAATAAATTACTCATCAATATTGTGACTTACAGTAATATTTGATTATTTTTAGATATTGATGTTAAGTATTTATGGTATTTAATCAAATATTTATTGATTTTGTTTGTCCTTTCATGAAATAATTTTAGTTATTACATCTGCCATTAATTGATTAAAGAGTTGTTTTTTAAAACTTTGATGTTTTTTCCGTAGCAGAGCTAGGGAGTATGATAGAAGCCTACAAATGTTTTACCTCAACCTCAAGTGCTGATATCTTTCTTTAGGTCTTTATTTATATTGTCAAAAATATCCTGAGGAATTAAAAAAAAAAATCAGTATATGATGTAATATAAATCACGCTTTTTAGATTATGAGACACATTTTTATATAGTAATTCTGGTATAATTGTGTACACTATGGCTACAAAATTTATTTGTTTTTCTGAAAAAAGGTGACTCGGACGTATTTTTAAGATGAATTTTTTATTTGAGGTTATTCTGCATGTATGGGATGATATATATATAACAGCTGTAGTTTTTACCCGTTCTTGTTTCTTGAAAGTTTCTTGTTTTCTTATCTGTTGTAATTAAAATCTTTTTGGTTTCTTTTCCTCTTTAAATGTCTGTAGTTCAATTTTGTTATTCAGAAAAGAGAAAGAGAGAGAAAACAAAAACAGTAATTGAAAAAAATTAGCTCGTTTTTAAAACATTTTAGAAAATTATTCTAATTACATTTTTTTTAAAAAATCTGAATCTCATTTAATTTCTTGATTTTTATTCTCTAATTACTATAATTAGAAAAATGAAACAGGAAAAATTTTACATTTTCTGATGTACAATTCTGTTGAGTTATGACCAAATATTTAGTGAGGAAATAATTGCTTTGCTAAATACACTATGTTTTACAAATATGTTTAATTTAGGATGATAAGAACATGACAACTGTAAACGAGAATGGTACAGTGCATATATATGTATAGACTTTTTTTGGTTGTTCACCACAACGAGGCAGAGCCTCAACGAGATATCAATACTCCACCCATGAAACCAAACCTGTGATTTCAGTATTATTTGTAGTCATTATTAGAGATTTCAATTAGCAGGGTTTTCTGGATTTAACATTTCTGTATACCATTTTTTTAATTTATTTTCCTTCCAAGTATTTATATACCATTTCCGCATGCATCATTATCAGTTAAAGCTAGATTTATGTTAATTTTTCTAATTTTTCACATCCTTTATAAGATAGAATATTATTAACCCTACATCAATAATCCACACAAGAGATTGAAATGTTTCATACAATCGTCATCTGGAAATGAACTTGTGTTGGACAATTATTGTTTCATTAATCAATGAAAGTTTTAAATTCTGAAATTTCTTTGAAAAGAATACAAGTGCATGTTGACTGCGGAGTGAAAATTTTGGTTGGGGATTTTATCGAAAGTTAATTCATGTTGAGATGTATGACCTTTTATATTGACCAGTGCTAGTGGTGTTATATGGATGTCTGTTTCTCTGTAAGAAAATTGTGTGAACATTTGTCTTTATTTTAATACATTCCATTTTTTTTAATGACAAGTGCTCTTTTCTTTAAATTCAAAACTATTTTCACCTGCTGTTAAAACCAAACAGTGGTGATAATACTTAAAAATCAAATTCAATTTCTCTGGATTTTATTTTGAAAGCAACCTGATTTTAAGAAATCTGTTTTGGTGTCTAGCCTAACTGACATCTAGTATTCCGTCCGTCAGATTTATGAGGTGTGTACGAGGAATCCATATATACATTGCACATTCTACACACCGCATTCATTTAATGTCTAGTTTTATTTGTATTTGAATAATGAAATATATACATGTAAATCCAAATAGAAAATAAAACATTTAATAGAATGTTAGTACAATTTGTTGGTTTTACTTTTTTCAGTAAATCAGATCTTCACACCATAGAGATAAAAGGGTTTGGACTGGTATTGAGGAATTCAGTGATGTTACTGGTATCTAACCCTGTAATCAGTGACTGAGTCATGATATTTTGACAGTTTATTGTACAGGTCATGTCATACAGGTCATGGCGTTTATCGTAGAGGTCATGATATTTATTCGGTGGTCGGGTGGCGCAGTGGTAATGCACTCGCCTTTCACCTTGCCGACCGGGGTTCGATTCCCGGAACGGACATAAAAAGGTAAGGGGTCACCTGCCGGATTACGTGGGGTTTCCCCGGGTACTCCGTTTTCCTCCCACAATAAGACCCTCGTGCTTACATTCGGGACAACAAGAGTGATTAGTATAAGTTGACATAACTTGTTTCGCAATTGTTGTAAAATAAATAAAGTTTATATATATGTTTATTGCACAGGTCATGTCGTTTTTCGTACAGGCTTTGTCACTTATCATACAGGTCATGCCATATAGTCCAGGTCACGTAGAGCATGTCATGTCATTTATCATACAGGTCATGTCATTTATCATACAGGTCATGCCATATATCATACAGGTCATGCCATATATCATACAGGTCATGTCATTATTGTACAGGTCATGTCATTATTGTAAAGGTCATGTCATTTATTGTACAGGTCGGATCATTATTGTACAGGTCAGATCATTATTGTAAAGGTCATGTCATTATTGTACAGGTCATGTCATTATTGTACAGGTCAGGTCATTTATTGTACAGGTCAGGTCATTATTGTACAGGTCAGGTCATTTATTGTACAGGTCAGGTCATTATTGTAAAGGTCATGTCATTATTGTACAGGTCATGTCATTATTGTAAAGGTCATGTCATTATTGTACAGGTCAGGTCATTATTGTAAAGGTCATGTCATTATTGTACAGGTCATGTCATTTATTGTACAGGTCAGGTCATTATTGTAAAGGTCATGTCATTATTGTACAGGTCATGTCATTATTGTACAGGTCATGTCATTATTGTACAGGTCAGGTCATTTATCATACAGGTCATGCCATATATCATACAGGTCAGGTCATTATTGTAAAGGTTATGTCATTATTGTACAGGTCAGGTCATTATTGTAAAGGTCATGTCATTATTGTACAGGTCATGTCATTATTGTACAGGTCATGTCATTATTGTACAGGTCAGGTCATTTATTGTACAGGTCATGTCATTTATTGTACAGGTCAGGTCATTATTGTACAGGTCATGTCATTATTGTACAGGTCATGTCATTATTGTACAGGTCAGGTCATTTATTGTACAGGTCATGTCATTTATTGTACAGGTCAGGTCATTTATTGTACAGGTCATGTCATTTATTGTACAGGTCAGGTCATTTATTGTACAGGTCAGGTCATTATTGTACAGGTCAGGTCATTATTGTACAGGTCATGTCATTATTGTACAGGTCATGTCATTTATTGTACAGGTCATGTCATTTATTGTACAGGTCATGTCATTTATTGTACAGGTCAGGTCATTATTGTACAGGTCATGTCATTATTGTAAAGGTCATGTCATTATTGTACATGTCATGTCATTATTGTAAAGGTCATGTCATTTATTGTACAGGTCAGATCATTATTGTACAGGTCAGGTCATTATTGTACAGGTCATGTCATTATTGTACAGGTCAGGTCATTATTGTAAAGGTCATGTCATTATTGTACAGGTGAGGTCATTATTGTACAGGTCATGTCATTATGTCATTATTGTACAGGTCATGTCATTATTGTACAGGTGAAGGTAATTGAAAGAAAACAAAACAGAACAATTTGTTAATGAATATATTGTAAATAATGGATATGAAATGTAGTAAACAAAATATTAAAATGGTTCTTACATACACAAAACAAACCGTATATAATCCCTTATACTGTACAAAAGTGACCTGGTCCACAGAGAAAATTAAGACAAGGTCATCACAGAGAAACGCTTTGGACTTTATATAATTTTCCTTACAATCTTCACCTTAAAAAAGGTCAGTACACCACAATATTAGCAGAAAAAAGGGTGGCGTTTTGTATTTACTGTCAGAGTCATATCGTGAAAATGATTAAATCTAGTCATTCTATCAAATATTTTTGAGATTCTCTTTCAAGTTAAAACTAAAGGACAGTGTTTTAACTATAGTGATTTACACTAAGTATACAATGACTGTTTAACAGGTGTTAAATATAATTAAAAATTTATAATCATAATGCATATATTTCCTTAATATCACAGATATAGAGATTCAGTAAAATTACTGTAATAAATAGTTATAATTAGCAAAACAAATACAACGAAATAGAAAGGCAAGAAAAGTAAATAGGTACAGCCTCTACAAGAAAGTTATAGTTTAGCTCTGCTGAAAGTTTGTTTGTGTTGGTAATTTATTCACATTGTTAAGTATTTCATAAATTTTTCATTTATTAACAAGTCCCTAAGATAAGAGAACTATTCTACAACACAGTCAAGAAAAAGGAACTTCAAAATTATCAAATTACCACAACAAATTTTCTGTTCAATGAGCCATTTTTTATAAGTTAACAAGATTCTATGAACTTGAAAACTAACTAACTTTAAAGAATTAAACATTTTCATCTGGAGAAAATTCTTGGCACATCTAGATACATTGTAATAAAAAAAAGACTACACTGTGTGATTGGCATGATATGAAATATTATAATAAATTCTGGAGATTCTGTCAATAAAAATATGTACAATTAATTTTTGCTATAAAAATAATCAGTGTATATTTTAACCAGTGATTTCTTACAACGGATATCTACTTGATAAATACTTACAAAGATACAAAGTTAAATGTATTTGTTAATTATATAAAAATCACATAATTATAGAATGTATAAATTATGATACACAACTATTTTACAACTTCTATTTAATACACATGATCAGTCAAAAGTTTCCTAAACCATGTTCCACAAATGATGTAAGGAACTTAAAAAAGAAATAATTAAACTTGTCGAGTGTATTAAAACAGTAAATCTAATAATATCAATAAAAATCAACAAATAATAAATAAAATCTGAGTCACGATTAAAACTACATGTGCTCTTAAACCTTAAGTTATCATTTATCTGTATAATCTGAGAAATATTCTAAACTATTTGTATTAAGGCACTGGGTCAGTTTAATGCTTGGAATCTGTACATTATTCTACCAACATAGATCATTATGAGATTCATATGACTTTGTCCGCCTCTGGAGATTTATTATATATATCATTAATTAATTTTGCTTCCTACTCTATTCAATGCTTACCATTAACACTAAACTTCTTGCTTAACAACATGACTAGTTTTTATTTTTCAAAACACTTGTCCCTGAAATCACTGTTAATTTTTGCTAAAGTCTTACTTCACCAATACAGAATAGTTTGAGGTAGATCAATTATCTTTTGTTTTATATCTACAAGATAAGGACTGATATTCCATTAGTTATAAAGGGAATCAAATATAACTACAACATCAACTAAGTTAGTGGTATGCCATATAATCTTATACAACTGTATGGACGCAACCTTCACATATACAGTTAATGCTCCTGAAAAGTACTTTGCATGGCCCTACAGCTCAAACTCATCCAGCAGCACAAACTAAGGACTTTTAATTGGTGGTTAGACTGCAGTATTACACATCTTCTTTCAAATATGTCGAGACATTAGATCATGTGGCTGGTTTAAATGTCTACAAAAATGAGTTATGAACCCGGATTTAATGTCAAAAGCTATCAATGTGCAAAAACTACAGAACTGGTTAAATGAAAACCAACATCAACATACACAAATTACAGTTAAATGTCAGCAAACTTCAGAGTAAACTAATTACAAGCCTGGGCAATATGTTGACAGACATCAATGTACGCCAATTACAGGCATAGTGAAAAGTCAGCAGACTTTAGATTACACCAATTATAGGCCTGGTTTAAATGTCAACAAACTTCAATGTACACAAATTACAGGCCTGACAACAATCAGAGCCCATAACAGACTTTTAGAGCAAATGTCAATATATATAAATCCCTTACCAACTAAAAACAAGTTATTATCATGAAAATATCCACACTGCAATAATTGTACATGGGTGTATACATTGTGTACAGGATGAAACCTCTGTTCTTTGTATATATACTATATCAAAAACAAACAAGATATTCATAGTAGTTATAGAAGTTTAAATATACAAATATCTGGACTAGACCAGTTATGGCCAAAAGTGACATGTAAGTTACATAATCTATATTTGGTAAATCAGCTGGAAGACCTCTTTAATACTATAATGAAAGATTTCTAGGACAGAATCATACAGTAAGTACACAGGTGTTAGAAAATTTTACATCACAAGAGACTAATTTGTATCACTCATTGGATTAGTAGGCCATGTCCTGAACAATGGACGGTATGACAAGGTCACATGACCTTGATATGTTAACAATGAAAAACATGGCATGGTCACATGATCTGGATGGATCACAAACTATGGATGGAATGACCTTGAAAAATGCAAACACTGGATATAATGAAGACTTTTTTTACAAATAGAAATGAATCTCAAATATGTCGATGTTATAGACAGGGATCGTCAAAAATCAAACGACAGTAAACAGTGCATGTTCACACCAAACAACGACAGTAGATTTCAACAATATACAGTACCTGACATTCATACTCTGCCATTATCAGGACAGAACTACCTCTCATGTGAACCTGTAGGTATTTCTCTGTCTACAGCTGATAATACATATACATATTTAATCTTAAACTAAATATACATGCCTGGTTTTATCATCACAATGGTCAAACTTTAGCACTCTAGCAATATATAACACAGAAACTGTATAATGGTATACTGTGGACAAATTTTACAATGGTTGATATTTATATACGATTAAAAAATATAAGCCTTGTTAATACTGTAATACAAGGTCATTTTCCTTAGAGAATGATTTAGTCCGAGATTCATCACTACACAATACTATATTCTAGTCCGAGATTCATCACTACACAATACTATATTCTAGTCCGAGATTCATCACTACACAATACTATATTCTAGTCCGAGATTCATCACTACACAATACTATATTCTAGTCCGAGATTCATCACTACACAATACTATATTCTAAGCTCTGTAATCAACATATTTGTAAAGGAAACTCCCTAGGAGACAGATGAATATTGCATGAGAAGGTTATGATGAATACTTTGGCAGCTTTTTAGATATTGATAAAGGCCCATTACCAATAAATAATCATATATGACAATTTTGTACCCTGATTAATATAACAGCAAACAGCATTACTACAGTAAATCTCTGACTTCCATCACCAACATGTTACTAACATCACAGGTAAAGTCTGGTTTAAACTTTTCTGACACAAAAACTTGATATAGCCTAAACTTTGACACATTAATTTTCTCATTCACACTTTACATTTCTATTTTCATGGATCAAAGTCAAGTGCAATAATAAGGGATTTACCAACCTTACAAAATATCATCACCGTTTTTCATTGTTTACTCATCTTTATATAAAAACTGATTCTCTATAATCAGCCATTGTTTACTCATCGTCAACTTTCTTTTGAGTATTTTCTGGTTTTGATTCATCCCTGTTTTCCTCTGTCTCTTCTTTATTTTCCGCCTGATTCTCTTCTTCATTTTTTTCTTGGCCTTGTGTTTCTCCTTCACCACCTTCTGTCCCTCCCTCATCCTTTGACTTCTCTTCCTCTTTGTCCTCTTGTCCCTCTTTTTCTTCTTCCTGATTTGTATTTCCTTCACCACCTTCTGTCTCTCCTGTACCTCCTTCTATGTCTTCCTCTTGTTTCTGTTCTTGAGGCTTCTCCCGTTGACCTCCATTAACATTAAGGTCAGAGCTAACAACTTCCACCTTTTCCATTCGATCCATGTACAGCTCCAGTTCCACTGATCCTACATTGCTCTCATCCTTCAGCCAACTGTAATGAAAAATTTATACAATTATCAATTTCCTGCGAGATATTCAAATTATAATTAAATTCTAAAATTAAGCTGCAGTTTATTTTCTTTACAAGTGTTTCATTGGCAAATCTTAACAAGCAGTAAACTCTAATTTATTGCCAATAAAAGAACATTCGATCATCAAAGAAACTTACAAGCATGAATATCAGTTGTTTCCTTATCACTTTTGATAATTGTACTATCAGGGCATTATCAATTTTACAAGGAATTTTCAAATGTTTACAACCAAGTTATGTCCAACACGTACAGTTGAAGAGTATTTTTCTTGGTAACAAGGCAGTATGTATCATCATGATGGTTTTACACCATATACACTATGAGCAGTTGTTCATAAAGACATGTCAAAAGCATAATTTTCAACAGTGAATGATCCAGAAAAATTTCATCAGATAACATGTATTATAAACAGCATGCACAGGGACTCACCTGCCACATGGGAACAAGTAACGTTTTTCTGCATCATCTGACTCCATAACCGTGACCTTCTCCAACAGCCAGGAAGGATCTGAGCCTGAGGAATCATGACCAATGACAATGGTCTCCAGGCGACCAAGTTCAACAGCCTCCACTACAAAGGTGTCCACCTACAAATAACAATGGTACAATCAGGCTATCAGGGTTTATATCACTCACATAATGAAAGTGGCTCACAGATTACTACTGGTTAAACTGGTGTTACACTCGAGAGAGATGGAATATTTAGCTACTGGTCACATGATCACGGTAATGACAAACCTGAGGATTAAACAAAGCTAAAGGTCCCTTTATATTGAATTTAAACCCTTTGGATGAAAGTCAAAGACCAGCATACACCCACTGACTGACCAATTAAATGACTGATAAGAGACACACTGTACCAGTAAGTGTTGGTAATATTTTAAATGGACACCTGGGCAATAAGAATGATTTTAACAAAAAGTCCATAAGGCCTGTATCACTCATCTGGCAAAAATTATTACTCTTCACTCAAGAATGCTTAAGATCAAATTTTACCATAATCCAATCACGCCTACAAGAGGAGTAGGATCTTAAAGAATTTACTCTATTTCCCCTTTTGGCCTCTGCCCCTCTGACACAAGTGGGCTGAGACCCAAGGTTAAAAAAAATTGATTCCTCTTCACCGAACAATGCTTCAGCCCATATTTGGGGAAAATCTAATCATTCTTAAAGAAGAAGTAGGATTTCAAAGAATTTGCTCGATTTCCCTTCTAAGCCCTGCCCCTCCTGCCCCATGTAGCCTAGGCCCACCATTTATACATAACTGATTCTCCTTAACCTAAGATTGATTCAGCCCAAATTTGGGCACTATCCAATCATCCTTACAGGAGGGGTAGGACTTTAAAGAATTTCTTCTATTTCCCCTATTGGGCCCTGGCCTTCCTGCCCCAGGAGGCAGAGACCCAACATTTGTGCAAAATTTGTTCCCTACCACCAAGGGATGCTTCTGACCAAAAGTCATTTATGACTAGTAGTGATTTTAAGGAAAAATGTTGACAGACACTGAGGTATGCCATGAGCTCACTTGGCCTTTTGGCACAGGGTGATAACATTAACACTGCCCTTCACAATTTGCCTATCTTCCAGAGATATAATGATATTAAAAGGCTGCATCTATCAAATCACTTGAAAATTGATATCTTTATTGAATGGATTAATCAAACATGGATTTCAATAAAAAATTCCTAATGCCTATGAATACTACACCCTAGACAATACCTTACCAACCCATCACTGTGACTTTACAATTTTCATAAGTGTGAAAATCACACAGGTTTTTAGTGTCCTTTGTACATCATCTTACCCTTCCAGTCTCGAAGGCATCTCCACCTTCCCTGTTGTTTTTCAGGTAGCGTTTGCCCGAGTCACCCAGCGTGCCAAATAGGTTGATGTAAACATTAGCATCAGACCCAGCCCCAGCTTCGTCTCCAGTTGTTGTCTGTACAACGTACTTGTTAACTGCAGAGAAAATAAAGTCAGTCAGCAGGATCAATATTAGAAAGTATCTTTTATTGTATGGATGTGTATTTTTGGATGTTGAATAAATTTTCATTTGTACTTAATTAAAATACATGATATGCCAAATTGCTCATTAGTGCTAAAATATATGTAAAGTTTATACATATTAATTCATAAAAAAAGTCTCCTAATAACTATCTCAAGGATTTAAATCCCATCAATGGCCTTAAAAATCTAGACACTTTCTATTTTGTTTCCTAGGAATAAAAAGTATCAATTAAAACAACAGTAACAAAAATTCTGATGCTAGAATTTCCCCAATTCCCCACTTCAAATGCTGTTTGTACAAACTGAGTCAAATATGAATTGTTTCAAACATGTTACAAGTAAAAAAAATAAATTCATATAATGCTGCGGGTGCACAATTATGAAAGCGTACCCTGAAAATCGTCAGTACTAATTTCCACCAGATTCACATTTAAAGATAGGAAGTGGGTTGCTAAAACAAAATTAAGGATCCTCTAGTCAATTTTTCTAAGATAATGCAAGTAATGACCATTCCTACTCTGTATAGACCAGAAAGATATTTTTAGTAATGCAAACCCTCACAACCAGTAATTTTATAAATCTGCCTTTGTTTATTTGAATTTAAAAAGAAATGAAAAAAAATGAGATAATTTTCAATAAAATATATACTACACTGTACAGGTAATACCAGGCGTACCAATATTACAACAAACAAGAATTCTATCAATCTATTCCCACTTTGATCCTCAGAAACAACTAAGTGTCAAAAACACAAAAAAATCCTAAAATGAAAACCTAGTTCAATGAGCCAAATGCAATTAATTTTTTTTATGTTAAATAAAATTGCATTTGGTGGTGAGTTCAAAATTCAAAGTCAATTTTCATGTTTTTCTGGCAAATTTCCATGTTTTTCATTTGGATAATCATGAAAAAATCAGGGATTTATTGTTATAGAATCTAGGGTGCATTTTACATGTTTCTAGGGTTAATTGTAAATGTTTATAGGGTTTATTGTAAATGTTAATAGGGTTTATTGTAAAATTATCTTTGGTTTATTGTCAAAGCTTATAGGGTGTATTGTAAAAGTTTCTAAGGTTTATGGAAGAATTATCATTGGTTTATAAGGTTTAGTGTTAAAGTTTCAATGGGTTGTTAGAAGCGGCTAATGCAAATGTATGTTGGGTATACTGTAAAAATATGTACGTAAGTATCTAAGGTTTATTGCAAAAGTATCTAAGGTTTATTGCAAAAGTATCTAAGGTTTGTTGTAAAAGTATCTAAGGTTTATTGCAAAAGTATCTAAGGTTTGTTGTAAAAGTATCTAAGGTTTATTGTGAAAGTATCTAAGGTTTATTGCAAAAGTATCTAAGGTTTGTTGTAAAAGTATCTCAGTTTTCTTGCGTAAGTATCTAAGGTTTATTGCAAAAGTATCTAAGGTTTATTGCAAAAGTATCTAAGGTTTGTTGTAAAAGTATCTCAGTTTTCTTGCGTAAGTATCTAAGGTTTATTGCAAAAGTATCTAAGATTTATTGCAAAAGTATCTAAGGTTTGTTGTAAAAGTATCTAAGGTTTATTGCAAAAGTATCTAAGGTTTGTTGTAAAAGTATCTAAGGTTTATTGCAAAAGTATCTAAGGTTTATTGCAAAAGTATCTAAGGTTTGTTGTAAAAGTATCTCAGTTTTCTTGCGTAAGTATCTAAGGTTTATTGCAAAAGTATCTAAGATTTATTGCAAAAGTATCTAAGGTTTGTTGTAAAAGTATCTAAGGTTTATTGCAAAAGTATCTAAGGTTTGTTGTAAAAGTATCTAAGGTTTATTGTGAAAGTATCTAAGGTTTATTGCAAAAGTATCTAAGGTTTGTTGTAAAAGTATCTAAGGTTTGTTGTAAAAGTATCTAAGGTTTGTTGTAAAAGTATTCAATCTCTTGTAAATCTATGTAAGGTTAATTATACAAGTTTCTAAATTTATCTTTATAATATCAGAGGGTTTATTGTAAATGTATCTAAGGATTATTTTAAAAGTATCTAAGATTACTTGTAGATGTATCTAAATTTATTGTTGAAGTATCTGGGGGTTTACTGTAAATATATCTAAGGTTTAATGTAAAAGTATCAGAGGTTTATCAACTAAATTGAGTGGATGAAAAGTAGATTTACACAAAATATCACACCGTTCCATTGAAAAGTTCAAAACCAAATAAAATATACTAAGACCAATATCACACTTAAAATGAAAAATGTTTCCTGTAATCAAAACATGTACTTATCATGCTACAGGTAACTAAAGTATTATTCATTGTCTACAACATACTATTCACCAACAACCACTGATAAGCTTCTAACTTTGATGATTTGAAATGATCATTGAGTATTTGAAGAATGAAGTTAGATGTTCAGCATGTATTAAGCAATCTAGTGGAATGATAATTAACATTTTGTTTTGTCAAATAAGGAAGCCTTTAGATGTCAATAATGTAAACACCTGGTAGTACAAATCAAAACAAAATATTAGTGAAGTTTTAATTACTTTAAACAAGCTAGCAAGCCAAAATATTTGTATGTCGAAAATTTTTTAATTTTTTGTTTTTAAGTAAAATTTAGTCTGATTAATTTTACATTTCTCTGTGAATCAATGAATTATTCAGATATTATTTCTTAAGCAAAAGTTTCCTTCTAGAAGCAATATTAAGTATAAAGTTGACATTTTGAGACCATGAAAAGTTATTTTCACAAACTCAGATGAGCATGATTACACATAACAGGACCATGAATAGATAACACAGCATAAAATTCTACCACACAAATCCCTGTTAAAGCATTGTTTATCTCTAGTACAAGTGAGAAGCTTATGCAGTTTTCTGTGTCAGGTGAAACTTCACATGCATATATATACACATATATATAAAGATGTATTTTGCTATTACAAAGCCAATAATGAATACTTAAATGAAACCACAGTTAAATTAAGCAATCTTACCTGGCGCTATGTAGTAAAAAAAATCACAAAAAAAGAGAAAAAAATAAATACTTGATAAAACAAGCCACACAAACACTGATAAAAATATTCCTTATTCTGTTATAATCCTTCTGAAGTTCTACCTCTATATCTGTAATGTCTCAATCAAGTTCTCATGTCATCATTGCTGTGAGAAATCATTTTCATTATATCACTAAGAGTAAAGGAGATTGTACAAAAGACACACAAAGTAAATAGCACCTTTTAATACAAGACATTGAATTAAATTGCATCATGCAGTTGTATTGTCAATGATGCTAAGGGCCTAAATTTTAAAGCCTTGGAGGCAACTGAGAAAAATCCAAAGTGATCAAAAGATAAGTCAAAATGTAGACAAGGAGGTACAGTAACACCATAATTAAATTAATTTTGTAATTTTTCATTTATCAGATATTATCAGAACTGCATCAAGTATATGTGTATATTCTGAACCATGCCACTAGCTGGAGCATCTTATTGCATCTGTCACAATTCATTGATACAATTTGTCACAAAGATAAAACAGTAGGCCCTTAAGGAAAGAATAGGTCGCCATGTTTACATCATGTGATATCAGCAATTTTATACTTCAAATCAAAAATTCAATTTTTATGTTGCAATTCAAAACAGCTTGTACACAAGATGTATAATCCAACCAAATTCAGTCATGCAGTATCTGGGCCCATTTTTCATCAAATGGTTTGACCAGTTGGTTCAATGCTGTTCACGTAAAGTAATGATAAACCTACTTATTTTAGTCTGCTCTCTAACAGACCTCTACAAAGACTGTATTACACCTGAAATATTACATTCAAAATCTACAGGAACAAATTTGTCTGCATAAACAAAAGCAGCCATGAACTTCATGCTGTTAAATATATATCTACATGGAAAAATGTTAATCATCATGATGCAAAACAAAATTGTCGTTCAGACAGGATGACAGGAAAAGGTGCATAATGCATTGATCATTGAACACCTGGTAGAAAAGTTGCAATTTTCAGCTGTAAATGTGAAATCTCCTTTACCTGGCCAAGCATCATGTTTTGGATGTTTCACTGGGATTTCTATCACCACATCTCCGCCCTTGTCATCATAGGACAGCCATCTGTCCACATCAAACAATAGCTTCTCATCTGTCATCAAGTCATGGAGGATAACCTAGGGAATGAATAAGAGTGTTATATCACAAGGACATGGAGGGTTACCTAGGGAACCAAGTCATAGTGTTATATCACAAGGACATGGAGGGTTACCTAGGGAACCAAGTCATAGTGTTATATCACAAGGTCATGGAGGGTTACCTAGGAAACCAAGTCATAGTGTTATATTACAAGGACATGGATGGTTACCTAGGGAACAAAGTCATGGTGTTATATCACAAGGTCATGGAGGGTTACCTAGGGAACCAAGTCATAGTGTTATATCACAAGGACATGGAGGGTTACCTAGGGTACCAAGTCATAGTGTTATATCATAAGGTCATGAATTGTTACAATTACCTTATATACTACCAGCCAGGATCTGAGCCAGAATTGTTACAATATTAACAGAGTATTTACCTTGTCTAGCCACCAACCAGGATCTGGTCCAGAATTGTCATGCTCCACACGAATCTTACGGAGCTCTCCAAGGTCCTCTGGGTCCAAGGAGATCTACAACAAATACATAAAACACTTACTGATTTGTTTACATGGATTTTTCACGGTCTTCTGATGAAGTCCATTTATGATTTTGAAACCTGGTGTGAGCACTGACCATTCTAATTTTTAAAGAAAGATTATTCACCATAAATTGCTGGCCTGATACTTGTCATTGTGCATATACAGAATAATTACCCATTTTTACAGGAATGTTTTAATCAAACATTTTTAAATAAAATATATCACCAGAACTACATGTTGGATGACTGTTCAAGAAATACTGACAAACATACATCAAATTCATCTGTTTGTCCCACTTGGAACTGTCCACTATCAGCTTTGCCAAGTTGTAGAGGTCCGGAGTTGCCAGCATCACCGTACACTGTCAAGGTCACTTGGGCTGTGGTTGCTGCCTTGGGTACTGACCCGGTCATGATGTAGACACGGAAATCACCCTCTGCTCAAACAAACAATTTTTTTTTTACAGGTTTCCTATAGCGACTCCACAGACCCAGTAAATGCTATAATACACATTAGATTTTGTCATTCCTTCCATACAACTTTATCATAAGGTTTATTCTGCAGTGTCTTCCTACAAATGTCTCATAAGTCATTATAACACATCAGAATTAGTTTCAGGATTACAAAGAAAAAAAAAAATTCTTTTTCCTTTACTTCAATGAATGCAATCTTTGAACTACATAGAATACCAGTATGATAATTTTATGTTTCCATGGTAATAAACTTTGAGATATTTACCTTTGGGTGGTGGTTTGGGTGTCTCCTGCTGCACTTCTTCTTCATTGGTGAGGGGCAGCTCTCGCACAATCACTGCATCCTCCTCTCCTACATCCAACCATCTGAAATAAACCCATTTGTTATTTAAACAACTGTCAAACCTATGACAACATTTAATTCTTTTTCCCAAACAACAATGAAAAGACTGAAGCCATATATACCTCTTTCCAGTTACATTTCATTTGTTTTTTTATTTCACAAATATGTGCTACCTTGAGATAATGATATGTATCTTAATTCATACTCATTTCCCAAACTTTGAAATAATAGACCATCTAGGGAAATGAATGATGCCATGTTGAGGCTTAATCACCCTATAGTTTTAAGATAGTGAAGGGTTTTAGGAAAATCACAAATCATTATTAAAACATGATAAAACATTACTCACTTGTCACATTTAAAGATGAACTTGTGGGCAGGCTTATCAGACACAGAGACAATTATCCTGTCCAAGAACCATCCTGCCCCAGGATTCTCACCATCATGGCCCACCATGACCTTGGTCAACTTTCCAAGGTCAACAGCCTCTATTTCAAATAGATCCCTCTGTAAGAAATGTTAACATCATTAACAAGGACACCCAATCCATCACATCCATCAAATTCAATCCTTTTTCAAATCTTTTAAAAGTTTATTTCAGTTTTTCTACAAATATTTTACAGTATCTTTCCTCTGGACATAGAAAAGAAAGTTTAAGTCCTTACCGCCCCTTGCTCAAACTTGTTGGCATTGTTCTTGGCTTTGAGGAGACGTCTGCGCCCAGTATTGCCTCGTTCACCAAACAGCTCCATAAATACATTGGCGTCAGTGCCTCCCTGGAATTTGTCACCGGTATGGACCTCTATACTGTATGTCTTCACTGCAATATCACAACACTAGAGACATTAACAAATGCAACATAATCAGAATTCTGTGGAGCAGAATTTCCACAATTTCTACATTCAAACCTTGTGGGGGCTGTTAACCAAGGTACTGGATATCATTGAGTATATTTTGTGTTGTATGCTACATTACTCAATGTTAGCTAGAGCCATACATTTTTTCAGGAATCAACCTTCCTGTTCGCTTGTCTTCTGGTGAGTCCACCTTGACTACCTATAAACTGGTCCTCTCCTAAAATGTTGGCCTATCTGTAAACAGGTTCTCTCCTAAAACGTTGGCCTATCTGTGAGCCAGTTCTCTACTAAGTCGTCTTGGCCTATCTGTGAGCCGGTTCTCTACTAAGTTATCTTAGCCTATTTATAAACTGGTTCTCTACTAAATCGTCTTGGCCTATCTGTAAGCTGATCCTCTCCTGAACTGACCTTGACCTACCTGTTAGCTGCTCTTTGACTGAATTGATCTTGACCTACCAGCAACCTGATCCTCTCCTGAACTGACCTTGACCTACCTGTAAGCTGGTCCTGTTCTGAATCAGCCGTAACAGCAAACTCCCTCCAGTAGTCATCATTGCCATCTAGCTTTATCCAATGGTCAGCAGGGAAGGTCAAGGTTATGTCAGACTTCATATTTGTCAATGTCATCTACAAAAGAAACAAATGTTAAAGACATGTAATTAACCTAAACTACTAATATTACACTTTTTTCCTCTACTGATTAAATAAACTTACTGTGGGGTGTTATTATCCCCTTTATGACAAAATTATTTCAAATCATGGAGAACTATAAAAATCTACCACAAACCTGTTTAAGGAACCAGGATGGGGCACTATCTGGAGACTCGTACCACACCAGATCATGTTCATTGCTATGGAAACCAACTCTGACCTTGTACACCTGTCCAATATCTTCCTCCACATGCACCTGGACAGCAGAAACATACAATCTGAATCATCAGTAGTTTTATACCACAGTCTATTCTAACAAATGACACATGACAATGACAGATTTACACTGTTGTATGTTTTTTACATATATCCTGCCTTAAAATTGCCAAAATACATTTGAACGTTAAAACCTGACAGACAAACAAGAAGTCTGTTGTCAGCTTTATCATATATATCATTATAATTCTAGCAATGAGCCCATCCCTAGTATCTATACCATATCTTGTTATCCATTTGTATCAACAACAAATGCTATTTTGTTGTTCTATACCTAGCTCACCTCAACTGAGGAAGAGGTCAATTGTTGACATTGGGATAATTGTAGAAAAAAGACCACTTAATACAGTTTTAATAGGTTTTTTTAAAAGAAATACTTATCATGATTAGGCAGAGGAAATCTTTTAACCCTATTATCAAACATCTGTATACAAAACTGTGCATTATCTTGCCAAATTTGCAGAACTTAAAATCTTGCATTTTTATATCATCTTTAGGAATGGAAGTGTTCTATGGATGGTTGCTGAGTAAATACTAATGGGGAGTGATTTCTCAGTATTGTAAAACTAATCGCTTTCGTCATATTAATAAAATTGTTTGAAATGATGAAAAAAAAAATACCATAAATTCATCAGTTTTTCCTGTTTCAAATCTGAATTCTTCACTCTCCCCTATGACTTTAGGTTCAGTTTGACCCTTGCTTCCATAAATGACCACAACAGCTGCTGACCCCGTGCCATGTCCAACCTCGTCACCAGTCACAGTGCAAATCTTCCAGGGATCACCTACAATGTAAAGGAAAACAATGGTTCTTTGATACAAATGTGAGATAAGTATTAGAAATGACAATAGAAACAATGTTAATCCGATACACAAAATAACTGGACTGGAAGTGACAGATTTGTACCTTTAGGAGACGGGGGTTTTTCCTCTTCAATAGTCACTTCTGACAAGATCAGCTCCCTCACTATCTCCTGATCATCTTCTCCTGTGTCTAGCCACCTGTCAATTATGTCAAATGTGTTTACACACCACAATGTCAAAGTTATCTATGTAGTTCAATGTCAAAGAACAGAGGTTCCATAGTTACCTTTAAAGACATGACCTGAGTCTTTATACAGCATGAAGTGTTTGTAACATTAAATGAAGTAAAAGAAATAAACAGTATAGAGTTGACTGACTACCACAGCAACTAACAGAAGAGTAAAGCCTAATATAGACAATGATATAAGTATAAAACTTACTTGTCACATTGAAACACAAAACTCTCCTTAGCCGACTCAAATTCCCTCACAACCACTTTGTCTAGATACCATCCTGATCCTGCATTAGATCCATCATGACCAACCTTGACCTTTGTGAGGTTATCAAGATCAACTGCTTCAATCTCAAACGCATCCATCTACAATTTCAGAAAATTCTTCTGTTCATGGAAACTTAATTAATAAAAAGAGGGATCTTCGATTTCCTCATCCCCTCCTACAGTAACCCTTCACCTTCCCCTTCCCTCCAAAAATGGACCTTCAATCTTCACCTTCAATCACCAACATTCAGAAGTCAATGCTATAATAGAACATTGTACAACTGATCTTTTGATTTTTAAGATATCAAAATGTTTAACATAAGCCATATAATACATCTATAACATTTCCCTTACACCAAGAAAGGGTTAACTAAAAGTGTAAATTCAATAAAAACTTACTGATCCTTGCTCAAACTTGTTACTGTTGTTCCTGGATGTAAGGAGCATGCGACGGCCAGTATCACCACGCTCTCCAAATAATTGTAGGAACACATTGGCGTCAGTACCAGCCTTAAACTTGTCCCCTGTGTAGACCTCAACAAAGTATTGTTTCACTGCCAACAAAAGCTTAAAGTCAGTTACACAGGTCTAGAAATGGATGAGCGGGAGAATCATCTGAATTCAGACATAATACAGTAATTACCTGACTTGTCTGTTTCACGTCTTGTCACTTACCTGTCAGCTCATCTTTTTCCTGATTGACAGGGAACTCTTTCCAGAAATCATCTTTCCCGTCCAACTTCACCCAAGTATTCGTATCAAATGTGTACACATCATTACTTGTTGAGTTGGTCAGTTTGATCTATAATGGAAAAAAACACATGATGTAAGAGACATGAAATATAAAAGTAGAGAAAACAAACAGCACACTATGTCTTACTAAACCTTTTAGATCTCTTAATAACAATGACAATGACATAAAACATGACAACCAGATGTTATTGTTTTCTTTCACATGTTTGAATGACATTAACAATTGAAATTTTATCATAAAGATGATTTAATCACCTACAGACTTACCTGTTCTACAAACCAGGAAGGGGCTGTAGCACTATTCTCGTACCAGGAGAGGTCATGTTCCTGACCATGGAACCCCACTCTCACCTTGTAGACAGCACCTACATCTGCTTCCACCCTTACCTGCACAATGTAATACATATTAGATGTAAAATTCTATAACAACAGGATTTACTGAAATTTCCTAAAAACTGTCAATTAAGGATACAATACAACATTTATCATTTTTAAATTTCAGACACATATGCTGCTCCAGAGATCATCAAATAGCTATTGTCACAATCTCCTCTCTGCTGCCCAGTTGATAGCAGTACCTGATGTTCATCTGTCTTCCCCTCAAAGAATCGGAAGTCTGGGTCATCTCCAATCACCACTGGTTCACTGTGACCCTTATCTCCATAAATAACCAAAGCTACTGCAGCTACTGTGCCTTGTCCACTCTCCGAGCCTGTTACCGTGGAAACAGACCAAGGGTTTCCTGTGGATGGACAGTCAAAAATATATAAATGATTCAAGACTAAAAAACAATAATCAGGGGGGTAACCGAATAACTGAGGTGTTACTGTCACTGCATGCTCAAATGACTTAATTTAACAGTTCAAGGAGTGCATGATCTCAAATACAAAGTAATTTAAAAGTTTATGAATTTACCTTTAGGAGGAGGTGGAGGAGTGCATGATCACAAATACAAAGTAATTTAAAAGTTTATGAATTTACCTTTTAAAAGAATTCACCTTTAGGAGAAGTTAGAGGAGTGCATGATCTCAAATACAAAGTAATTTAAAAGTTTAAGAATTTACCTTTAGGAGAAGGTAGAGGAGTGCATGATCTCAAATACAACGTAATTTAAAAGTTTATGAATTTACCTTTAGGAGGAGGTGGAGGAGTGCATGATCTCAAATACAAAGTAATTTAAAAGTTTAAGAATTCACCTTTAGGAGAAGGTAGAGGAGTGCATGATCTCTGATACAGTAATTTAAAAGTTTATGAATTTACCTTTAGGAGAAGGTGGAGGAGTGCATGATCTCAAATACAACGTAATTTAAAAGTTTATGAATTTACCTTTAGGAGAAGGTAGAGGAGTGCATGATCTCAAATACAAAGTAATTCAAAAGTTTATGAATTTACCTTTAGGAGGAGGTGGAGGAGTGCATGATCTCAAATACAAAGTAATTTAAAAGTTTAAGAATTCACCTTTAGGAGAAGGTAGTAATTTAAAAGTTTAGGAGTGCATGATGATCTCAAATACAAAGTAATTTAAAAGTTTAAGAATCTCAAATACAAAGTAATTTAAAAGTTTAAGAATTCACCTTTAGGAGAAGGTAGAGGAGTGCATGATCTCAAATACAAAGTAATTTAAAAGTTTAAGAATTCACCTTTAGGAGAAGGTAGAGGAGTGCATGATCTCAAATACAAAGTAATTTAAAAGTTTAAGAATTCACCTTTAGGAGAAGGTAGAGGAGTGCATGATCTCCGATACACAGAAATTTAAAAGTTTATGAATTTACCTATAAGAGGAGGTGGAGAAAGGGTAGGAGTGCATGATTTCCAAAACAGAGTGATTTAAATGTTTATGAATTTACCTTTAGGAGGAGGTGGAGGAGGGGTAGGTGATTTCTTGACCTCCTGCTCCATTTGTTCTGGTTCTGGTGTGTCAGTTTTCTGATTAGGACTATCAACCTTCTCTGGTTCGGGCTTAGGACTATCAACCTTCTCTGGTTCGGGCTTAGGACTATCAACCTTCTCCTTAATGACTGGGACAGGGACAACTGGAACTGGAGAAGGACTGCCCCCCGAGCCTTCTTTCAGGTACAGAGTCCTCTCCACCTTACCATCCTCTTCTCCTGCATCCAACCAGCTGTAACAATAAATGGCAATAACTCTGATAACAATTCCATTGTCTACCAACACCTAACTTAATTTTAAATCCTAAAAATGTATGGGCCATCCGTAACATCTGACATAACATGTGAACTTTTCATTGGTGAACCAACTTAAAAGCAGTCCCAATGAGATAAGGAGAACTGAACACTTACCGATCACAGGTGAAAACATATTCCTCTACAGTCTCATCGGACTCCATGACAACAACCTTTTTAAGGAACCAGCCAGAACCTGAAATGGGTTATCAAAGTTATCAGTATCAGGTTCTAAGAGAAAGCATTTCCTTCATTCTCTTTGATAGAAATATTACTTCACAAATGTATAATTTAAGAAAAATTAAATATAGGGTTTCCATCAATACCAGGAATTCCATCAATATCAGAGATATCTCACCTTCAACCAAAGTGCCATGACCTATGGTGACCTTTTGTAGATCTCCAAGGGATACAGCCTCCACTTCAAACTGGTCAACCTGGACAAGCAAATGACCTCAACATCAGTAATAATATCATTAAGTTCTCCTTGACATGTTGCCAACAGTACATAAAGTTTGAAAATTATTACTATTCATCTAAATATAGTTTAACTGATGGCTGCATAGAGTTCAAATCAAATTATTCTCTCAAAGGAAGAGACAGAGATCATTCACATTTTTCAATGAAAATTATTTATTCATAGGTAAGAAATATACCTTACAAGATGTAAAATTCCCACTGATAATAAATTCTAATTAGGTATATGAATTAAGAACCTGGTTATGCTGGAACTTGTCGTTGTTGGACAATGAATGTTTAAGGCTTCGTTTTCCAGTGCCTCCTTTATCTCCATACAGGTAGACATACACATCATCCACAGGTTTGTGGACTTGTCCTAAGTGTACATACACCTGGTATCTCATCACTGTAACACAGCGGAAACTTCCTCTTACCAGTCATAGTACACAAATTACACATGATACAATTTAACTAAAATAATGATTAAAATGAATATGTATAAGAAAACTAATTAAATTAGATTCCTAAAGACCACACATAACAAAGAAGTTACCATTAATTTATCTCGACACTGGATTTTTCAAAAATGTTATTTCTTCTTTAGCTACAGAAGGAAATTTATGAATATTTGATTAAATGGAACAGATGTAGAATACTTGCACAAATTCTTGGTGATATGTAAGAGGAGGTTTTGAAACTGCTTGACTTCCATGTAATTTTACATGAATATTGCTCTAAGTGTTTCCAAGACAGAAGTTTACCTTGAGGTACCAGGATGGCAGGCCACACAATCGGAAACTCCCTCCATCCATCCAACTTATCATCAACCATTATCCAATCATTGAGTTCGTAAGTAAATATGTCACCAGTGTCGTTATCTTCACATTTTATCTGAGTACAATCAAAAGCAATATGAGATAATGGTTATGTGGTACAACACTGTTTCTTAGATGTTGGATCAATAAGCTTCTACTTTAGATATACAAGTGGAGAAGAAGAAATATGTTACCTTGCGTAGATACCAGCCTTTAGGCTGGGTGTTGTCCTGGAAACCAAGCCTCACTTTGTAAAGCTCTCCAATGTCATCAGACAAGGTCAACTGCAACACATCAGTAACATCAATTATTTGCATCATTCATGTTCAACCATTACATTATTATTACCTTCAGATGTATGTTAAGTCTGGCATACCATAGCTCCCTGTCCCCTGAAAGATGTTGACTATGTCTGATAAAGTTATCCCTCCTTACATAACAAATACTGACGATGTCTGATGAAGTTATTCCCCTTACATATTAAATACTGACGACGTCTGATAAAGTTATCCCCCCTTACATAATAAATACTGACAATGTCTGATAAAGTTATCACCCCCCACCTCCCCCATTGAATAATAACAGATGTTGACAACGCCTGATAAAATATCCCTTACAAAACAAATACTGACGACGAATAATAACAGATGTACTGACAACGCCTGATAAAGTTATATCCCTTACAAAACAAATACTGACGACGTCTGATAAAGTTAAGTTATCCCCCTTACATAATAAATACTGACGACGTCTGATAAAGTTATCACCCCCCACCTCCCCCATTGAATAATAACAGATGTTGACAACGCCTGATAAAGTTATATCCCTTACAAAACAAATACTGACGACGTCTGATGAAGTTATCCCCCTTACATAATAAATACTGACGACGTCTGATAAAGTTATCACCCCCCACCTCCCCCATTGAATAATAACAGATGTTGACAACGCCTGATAAAGTTATATCCCTTACAAAACAAATACTGACGACGTCTGATGATGATAAATACTGAAGTTATCCCCCTTACATAATAAATACTGACGACGTCTGATAAAGTTATCCCCCTTACATAATAAATACTGACAATGTCTGATAAAGTTATCACCCCCCACCTCCCCCACCTCCCCCATTGAATAATAACAGATGTTGACAACGCCTGATAAAGTTATATCCCTTACAAAACAAATACTGACGACGTCTGATGAAGTTATCCCCCTTACATAATAAATACTGACGACGTCTGATAAAGTTATCCCCCTTACATAATAAATACTGACGACGTCTGATAAAGTTATCCCCCTTACATAATAAATACTGACAATGTCTGATAAAGTTATCCCCCTTACATAATAAATACTGACAATGTCTGATAAAGTTATCACCCCCACCTCCCCCATTGAATAATAACAGATGTTGACAACGCCTGATAAAGTTATATCCCTTACAAAACAAATACTGACGACGTCTGATGAAGTTATCCCCATTACATAATAAATACTGACGACGTCTGATAAAGTTATCCCCCCTTACATAATAAATACTGACAATGTCTGATAAAGTTATCACCCCCCCCCCACCTCCCCCATTGAATAATAACAGATGTTGACAACGCCTGATAAAGTTATATCCCTTACAAAACAAATACTGACGACGTCTGATGAAGTTATCCCCCTTACATAATAAATACTGACGACGTCTGATAAAGTTATCCCCCCTTACATAATAAATACTGACAATGTCTGATAAAGTTATCACCCCCCACCTCCCCCATTGAATAATAACAGATGTTGACAACGCCTGATAAAGTTATATCCCTTACAAAACAAATACTGACGACGTCTGATGAAGTTATCCCCCTTACATAATAAATACTGACACATAATAAATACTGTGTCTGATAAAGTTATCACCCCCCACCTCCCCCATTGAATAATAACATAAACGCCTAAAAGTTATATCCCTTACAATGTCTGATGAAGTTATCCCCCTTACCCCCCACCCCCCACCTCCCCCATTGAATAATAACAGATGTTGACAACGCCTGATAAAGTTATATCCCTTACAAAACAAATACTGACGACGTCTGATGAAGTTATCCCCCTTACATAATAAATACTGACGACGTCTGATAAAGTTATCCCCCTTACATAATAAATACTGACGACGTCTGTCTAATAAATACTGACAATGTCTGAAAGTTATCACCCCCCACCTCCCCCATTGAATAATAACAGATGTTGACAACGCCTGATAAAGTTATATCCCTTACAAAACAAATACTGACGACGTCTGATGAAGTTATCCCCCTTACATAATAAATACTGACGACGTCTGATAAAGTTATCACCCCCCACCTCCCCCATTGAATAATAACAGATGTTGACAACGCCTGATAAAGTTATATCCCTTACAAAACAAATACTGACGACGTCTGAAAGTTATCCCCCTTAATAATAAATACTGACGACGTCTGATAAAGTTATCCCCCTTACATAATAAATACCTCCCCCCACCTCCTCCCCATAATAACAATGTCAACGCCTGATAAAGTTATATCCCTTACAAAACAAATACTGACCCCACCTCCCCCACCTCCCCCATTGAATAATAACAGATGTTGACAACGCCTGATAAAGTTATATCCCTTACAAAACAAATACTGACGACGTCTGATGAAGTTATCCCCCTTACATAATAAATACTGACGACGTATAAAGTTATCCCCCTTAATAATAAATACTGACAACGTCTGATAAAGTTATCCCCCTTACATAATAAATACTGACAATGTCTGATAAAGTTATCCCCCTTACATAATAAATACTGACAATGTCTGATAAAGTTATCACCCCCACCTCCCCCATTGAATAATAACAGATGTTGACAACGCCTGATAAAGTTATATCCCTTACAAAACAAATACTGACGACGTCTGATGAAGTTATCCCCATTACATAATAAATACTGACGACGTCTGATAAAGTTATCCCCCCTTACATAATAAATACTGACAATGTCTGATAAAGTTATCACCCCCCCCCCCCCCCACCTCCCCCATTGAATAATAACAGATGTTGACAACGCCTGATAAAGTTATATCCCTTACAAAACAAATACTGACGACGTCTGATGAAGTTATCCCCCTTACATAATAAATACTGACGACGTCTGATAAAGTTATCCCCCCTTACATAATAAATACTGACAATGTCTGATAAAGTTATCACCCCCTCCCCCCTCCCCCATTGAATAATAACAGATGTTGACAACGCCTGATAAAGTTATATCCCTTACAAAACAAATACTGACGACGTCTGATGAAGTTATCCCCCTTACATAATAAATACTGACGACGTCTGATAAAGTTATCCCCCCTTACATAATAAATACTGACAATGTCTGATAAAGTTATCACCCCCCACCTCCCCCATTGAATAATAACAGATGTTGACAACGCCTGATAAAGTTATATCCCTTACAAAACAAATACTGACGACGTCTGATGAAGTTATCCCCCTTACATAATAAATACTGACGACGTCTGATAAAGTTATCCCCCCTTACATAATAAATACTGACAATGTCTGATAAAGTTATCACCCCCCACCTCCCCCATTGAATAATAACAGATGTTGACAACGCCTGATAAAGTTATATCCCTTACAAAACAAATACTGACGACGTCTGATAAAGTTATCCCCCCTTACAAAACAAATCCTGGTAATGCCCTGTAAGGTTATCTTCCCTTACCTTACATGTGTCTGTCATTCCTATCTGGAAGGCATTTTCTCGTCCAGACTTGAGTAACATAGGCCCAGACTCTCCTTTGTCACCACTCATCACCATGACTATATCAGTGGCTGAGTCTCCACCTTTCTGTCCACCAGTCTCAGTTTCCACCGTCCATGATCCCTCTAAAAAAGGAAATCAGCAGTTTTTTCTCTAATATCCATAAAAAAAAAAAAAAAAACATTTTCTACATCCCTTTATCACTCGATAATATTCTGGATTTTTTGGCTGATAGCTAATCACATGATTGTGGAGTGGTAGTAATAATCACCTAAGTACTATCGTAATGACCTTGACCCAGGTACTTACTTGATGCTATAGGATTATAATCAACACCATATGGCAGCACCACAGAGCTGGACTCCACCTTGGTAGTACGTATATTGACCTCAGCTTCCTTATCCATTTCCTCCTTGGTACCGACCCATCTACAATATAGTCAACAGATTTTATATCATCATAATCAAGTGATAACGATCATTATTTTATTAAGAATGACTTCTTTAAGAGGCAGTCCTTACAACATTAATTATCACAAGCGAATCTGAACCTTCATCACAGGACAGTGTGACCAAGATCATCCCCTGATTGTGAGTAAGAAGTAAATGTATGTGACTTACCGAGAACATAATTATGAAATTTGATATCTTAGTTCCATAATGAATCACATTCCAAAATAATACGGCCAGCTAAAGCAACCCTAATTTAAGATCTGAGTGATGGACAGAAGGACAGACAAGAGGGAAGACAGACTAACTTTCATCACTGTATATTAAGACAGAGTTCTTAGTACACACAAGTTAATCCTCCTGTAATGATTCAAAAAATTTTATTTCACCTTAATGTATACATATATATATATATATGATAACTTACTTCTTAAAATCAAAGATATATTCTATATTTTTGAATTCTCCAGCCTTCACAATGACCTTTTCTAGAAGCCAAGGGTCACCTGGTCCCTTTTCCATAACGACCTTGGTAAGTTCTCCAAGGTCAACTGCTTCCAATTTAAATATGTCTACCTAAAAAAATAAAACAGATTTACTTTGACCTTACATACGTTGTTCATATTCACTGGCATATTTTTAATTTCCTACATCCAATCAGACTTTTCCTTTCCTTTCGATCCACAAAGGGAATGACAAAACACTGACAATATGAGACAAGATTTTAAGATATTGCGTTCTCTACAGTAAGAGATACTCACCTGTCCTGTCTGGAATTTGGATTTATTGGTTTGACTCTTGGTAAGGTGTCGGCGACCGGAGTCAAACTGCTGTCCATACAGTGTGAGGAAGATATTAGCTTTAGTACCAGCGTTCATCTCCTCCTCACTAGTATACACCTCAACATAGTATGGTACCACTGTAACATATCAATACTCATGTATATAAAATACTCAATACATCTCAATGTCCCAATAGAGTATCAAAAAAATACTCAATACATCTCAATGTCCCAATAGAGTATCAATAAAATACTCAATACATCTCAATGTCCCAATAGAGTATCAATACTCAGGTATATAAAATACTCAATACATCTCAATGTCCCAATAGAGTATAAATACTCAGGTATATAAAATACTCAATACATCTCAATGTCCCAATAGAGTATCAATACTCAGGTATATAAAATACTCAATACATCTCAATGTCCCAATAGAGTATCAATACTCAGGTATATAAAATACTCAATACATCTCAATGTCCCAATAGAGTATCAATACTCAGGTATATAAAATACTCAATACATCTCAATGTCCCAATAGAGTATCAATACTCAGGTATATAAAATACTCAATACATCTCAATGTCCCAATAGAGTATCAATACTCAGGTATATAAAATACTCTGTACATCTCAATGTCCCAATAGAGTATCAATAAAATACTCAATACATCTCAATGTCCCAATAGAGTATCAATACTCAGGTATATAAAATACTCTGTACATCTCAATGTCCCAATAGAGTATCAATAAAATACTCAATACATCTCAATGTCCCAATAGAGTATCAATAAAATACTTAATACATCTCAATGTCCCAATAGAGTATCAATAAAATACTCAATACATCTCAATGTCCCAATAGAGTATCAATACTCAGGTATATAAAATACTCTGTACATCTCAATGTCCCAATAGAGTATCAATAAAATACTCAATACATCTCAATGTCCCAATAGAGTATCAATAAAATACTCAATACATCTCAATGTCCCAATAGAGTATCAATAAAATACTCAATACATCTCAATGTCCCAATAGAGTATCAATACTCAGGTATATAAAATACTCTGTACATCTCAATGTCCCAATAGAGTATCAATACTCAGGTATATAAAATACTCAATACATCTCAATGTCCCAATAGTGTATCAATACTCAGGTATATAAAATACTCAATACATCTCAATGTCCCAATAGAGTATCAATAAAATACTCAATACATCTCAATGTCCCAATAGAGTATCAATACTCAGGTATATAAAATACTCAATACATCTCAATGTCCCAATAGAGTATCAATACTCAGGTATATAAAATACTCAATACATCTCAATGTCCCAATAGAGTATCAATACTCAGGTATATAAAATACTCAATACATCTCAATGTCCCAATAGAGTATCAATAAAATACTCAATACATCTCAATGTCCCAATAGAGTATCAATAAAATACTTAATACATCTCAATGTCCCAATAGAGTATCAATAAAATACTCAATACATCTCAATGTCCCAATAGAGTATCAATAAAATACTTAATACATCTCAATGTCCCAATAGAGTATCAATAAAATACTCAATACATCTCAATGTCCCAATAGAGTATCAATACTCAGGTATATAAAATACTCTGTACATCTCAATGTCCCAATAGAGTATCAATACTCAGGTATATAAAATACTCAATACATCTCAATGTCCCAATAGAGTATCAATACTCAGGTATATAAAATACTCTGTACATCTCAATGTCCCAATAGAGTATCAATAAAATACTCAATACATCTCAATGTCCCAATAGAGTATCAATACTCAGGTATATAAAATACTCAATACATCTCAATGTCCCAATATATCGATACTCATAGATGTAAGACACTCATAACAGAATCAATGTAACAAACTGAACTTTGACAGTACTTTAAATGTTCACTGTACACAATTTGTATGAAACACACTATTTTCTTCCTTGAAAGTTTCAATTTTCAAAAAATATACTAACTTAAAACTGCAAAACCAGTAGCTGTATTTTTTATAACAGATTACACTTCGGAGGATATACCTAAACTGCACTTCAGAGAATGTAGTACCTAAACTCTCAAAATTGAACTAAAAGCCTTGATTTACCTTGTAAAATGTTTTAGTAGAACTTTACTAAACTGAAAATACTAAATATATACCTAACACATTGTTTTGAGACTGTAGCATACATTTTGTATTGCACTAAACAGTACCTATTACATCTGTCCTAGACACTAAAGCATACTAGAAAGATGGCACTAAAAACACCTACCTTGTTTGTAGCCTTTGCCCATTTTAATGACTGGTAGTTCCTTTCTGATGTCACCCCCCTCTTCTCCAACCCAGCCAGAGAAGTCAAACAGCAGCTGCTCTTCTGTCAGAGTGTCTGTTAAAACTACCTGTAATATGTGTTAACATAAGGTTATGCAGTAAGCATAGCTAAAGTTGGGACAGACAAAGGTTATGTTCATTTTTGGGGGAATTTCATAAACACAGGAAATTAGACAAGACAATAAGCAAATACCTATTCCAAAACTTGTTCTGAAATAAGCCTCATTAGCTCCAAATCAAACTCAGGGACAGGCTTCTTACAAGGTAAAGAAATAGCATTTGTTGGTGATTCTACAGAACAGCATTGGCAAGCATATGAGTTGACTTATATTCAGGCATGGGTCAAAACAAAGTGATACATATCAGAACAAATTGTCGTTTAAATAATTGGGTGTTGATATGCAAAAGAACAAAAATATGGTATGATTTGTAATAAAGACCAAAGAAACATTTGGAGGAATATAAGACAGATTAATGCAAGTCTGAGTTACCTACCTTTGAGATGGTCCACACGGGACTGGGATCACCTTCCAAGCCAGAACTAACACGGATCTTATGAAGATCACCAATCTTACTGAGGTCTATTGGCTGTAAAATGTTAAACTTTCAATAAGAGGCAATTCACAACATCTCAATACATGTACCACAAATAAAAAAAAAGCCAAAAAAACCCATACAAGGAATCCAGAGTATCTCTACACACGTAATGTCACATACTGCCTTAAGGGAAACAGGGATAAAATTAGAATTAAACCCTACAGATAGGTGTTATCTCTGATAGTGTATCGACACTCATGATGCAAATGTTACTTTACTTAAATCACCATTTCATTGCTGAGCGTAATGAGTAAATCTAAATAGTAAGAGACAGGTTGGATCAAAGGTTTTCTGTTATATAAACATCAAATAATTTGGCAATATGTCCAGCAAATCTTTTCTGAATTAAACCATCAAATACACTGCTTACAAACAGGTTATTTCGGAAAAGCCAGAAGTTTCAAAACAACAACAAAATCATTACACTTGTTTACTGCAGTAGCATACGAGAATGACAAAAAAAAACATACCGGGAATTTGTTGACCATCCCAGGGAGGAATCTTTCCTGTTGCTCATTAATTAGTTCTATAGGTCCCTCAACATCATTCATGCCATAGGCGGTCAGTGACACTGACCGAGACTTGCTAGATAGTTCTTCAGCTGACTTAGGCAGTAGACTACGGTCAGCTGACCACACCTGAACTGTCCACTGACCCTCTGTTAGAAGTAATTAAAGTCTTTGACTATATACAGTGTACCCACAACAAAGAGTTTCAAACATTAACTTTTCTCACATCATTGAAGATAACTCAGTATTCAAAATAGAAATATTTGTCCTGATATCAAATTTAATTCAAATGATCAAATGATGGTATTTTCATCACAGTAATTTTTCACATTTTGATATACAGAACAAAATTCCTTCAGCTGATATAAACATCAGCCCAGTTACATGCACAGAAAAGGAAAAACTTGTGTGTAGCTTCAGCGTCTTTATCACAGAAAAGCATCTAAAAAATACAGAGAGAAATAAATATTATTGGGATAAAGTCTTTTACGTGTCAAAAGTACCAAGATATGATAACTCCTGAAACCTGCAAACTGACAGTACAGAAGCTGGATAACTTAGATATGTACATACATGACTGAGACCTAAGCCAAACAGGATCTGATAGATAGATATGCTTATTAAGTTGTAGTATTGTCTGTACAGAATTTTGTAGTTTGATACCAAACACCTAATGTTAAAGGATATATACCAGACTTGCTGTCAGGAGACTGTGTTAGAGGCATAAATCCCAGGGGCAAAAGTTCTCGATCCAGACGTCGGTCCTCACATCCTGTGTCCATCCACCTACAGGGAAAACAGACACCATGTTAACTGAGATAGTGATTCACAACTCTAGGTCACACAATAGTCACACTCACAAAGTAAAAATCAGTTTAGATGTCTTGTCAGATTTCATTGTGTGTTCAAAATAACAAATTTTCTGTATTATACATCAGCATTGTTGTTTAGAAAACGACCTTCCCATACAATCATATTGGACAGTCTACTTTTGATATAGGGATATCTGATATCCTGTTTAAACTTATTATTCTACAAAACTTAAACCAATACCTGTTACAGGGGAATATCCGCAGGTCCTGATTAAGTGTAGATTTGATCAATACTCTAGCACACAACCATCCCTTGCCACGCCCCCTCTCACTGTGACCAATCAAAATCTTTTTTATTTCGCCAAGGTCAAGGCCAGTGATTGTGAACTCATCCACCTGTAGAAAGAAAATGGCATAATACATAAAAAGAGTTTGTTGTCAATCACTTGTCTAACTAATCACATAACACAATAAAGGTTTACAGGTATATGTACCTGGCTTTGTTTAAATGGAACAGCAGATTTTGACTTCCTAAGTAGTCTTTTCCCTGTGTTTCCCCACTGACCAATCACCTCACAGAACACATCTGCCTCGGTTCCGGACTGTTCTTCATTACCCGTGGCAACATACAGCGTATATTCATTTTCTACAATAAAAATAGGAAATACAGCAATATTACATTATAAAATGATGAAACAGATGTTTCCTAGCATAATCAATGACATCACTGTCTTATCTACGTCTGAATTTATTCATTTTTGTCTTTATATTTTATATTTATTTCCAAGTTGGGTCTACCCAGCCTCATTCAAGCTTGGTCTATTCAGTAAAGTAGAGGTTTCCTGCTAGATTTACCAGCTTCAATCTCAAATCTGAAAGATTTCTATAGTTGTCTTACTTTCCTCATGCTATATCCATGCAGTAAAATATGAAAGACAAACCAAACCCCAGATTTTAAGATACATGTATCTCATAAGGCTCCTCTCTACCATAGCTTACCTTGTAGAGGCTCCTGGTCAGGTCTAATTGCAGCCAACTCGAGAGTGCCATCAGGATTTTCCTCTGTACCTTCCATTTCCCCATCATACACCATACTGAACTCCTCACCCGTATCATGATCCCTCAGCTTTAACTGTTAAAATACAACCCAATACTCATTGATAGTGATAACTTTGAAAGCTGACAGAGTGTATTACACTGTTTTTGTTTAATTTATAGATGAAGAAGAAACATGAGTTTTAGCTGATACTTCACCATTGGCTGGTCCTCATCCTAAGTATATTTACATCATCACAATAACTCATATACTGATATCAATTCAAAGAATATCAATTAGATTCTGACCAGGTGTATACAATGTGTATACGATGTGTATATCTCATTTTAATGCTAACACAGATCATTTGTAGAACACATACAACTTGCATATACATGTAACTCTATGTACAGCCACCATCACAGATTATGTATAGGAAGAGCAGTGTTTGAACATCATCCTACAATAGTTATTTGTAAAATTTCTGCATTTTCCTGAAAAAGTGTGAAACAAAGGATGGCTTGTGAAATTCTATTGTTAATGTATTGTAAATTACAAGACAAGAGGCATAGCCAGTAAGTACTGGTACTGTAACAACAGGAATTTAAAACTACTGTACTTACCTAATAAAGTTGCTATGAAACTTACTGTATTTAACTGACACTATCACTATAGCAACTAGTAGTAAAACTTGTACTTATTTAATAATGTCACTATAATGTCTGACAGTAAACTTTGTACTTATTCAATAATGTCACTATAATGTCTGACAGTAAACTTTGTACTTATTCAATAATGTCACTATAATGACTGACAGTAAACTTTGTACTTATTCAATAATGTCACTATAATGTCTGACAGTAAACTTTGTACTTATTCAATAATGTCACTATAATGTCTGACAGTAAACTTTGTACTTATTCAATAATGTCACTATAATGTCTGACAGTAAACTTTGTACTTATTCAATAATGTCACTATAATGTCTGACAGTAAACTTTGTACTTATTCAATAATGTCACTATAATGTCTGACAGTAAACTTTGTACTTATTCAATAATGTCACTATAATGTCTGACAGTAAACTTTGTACTTATTCAATAATGTCACTATAATGTCTGACAGTAAGCTTTGTACTTATTCAATAATGTCACTATAATGACTGACAGTAAACTTTGTACTTATTCAATAATGTCACTATAATGACTGACAGTAAACTTTGTACTTATTCAATAATGTCACTATAATGACTGACAGTAAACTTTGTACTTATTCAATAATGTCACTATAATGTCTGACAGTAAACTTTGTACTTATTCAATAATGTCACTATAATGTCTGACAGTAAACTTTGTACTTATTCAATAATGTCACTATAATGACTGACAGTAAACTTTGTACTTATTCAATAATGTCACTATAATGACTGACAGTAAAACTTGTACTTATTCAATAATGTCACTATAATTACAGGCAGTATAATGATTGACAGTAAAACATGTATTTACCTGACAGTGTCACTATAATGGCTAGCAGTAAAACCTACTTACCCTATTGAGAAACCAGGCAGCACCAGTGTAGTCTCCTCCGAAGTACATTCTCACTTTGTAAATTGCACCAATGTCCCCTAGATTTACCTGCAATACAATAACAACCTTATTTCTGAAACTTAACAAGATTTTATACTTCACACATTAAACACCTACCCCCTCCCCTCCATTCCTTTTGCTAGAAAATGTTAGGTTTTGTATAAGAATGTATGTGTCCTGAGAATTATTCACATGACTTGCATACTTGACAACAAAAAACAGCAATCATTGTAAGTTGTACTTTTACTACAACCTGGCCCTACAAGTACACATATACTTTACTGGTTGTCATTTTGGAGAGTTAATGAAAAGTTTTAAACAAAAGGGATGTTCCTTTCAGAGAAATCACGCAGCAGACCATGAGTTCTCAGTGGACCATGAGTTCTCAGTGGACCATGAATTCTCAGTGGACCATGAATTCTCAATGGACCATGAATTCTCAATGGACCATGAGTTCTTAGTGGACCATGAATTCTCAGTGGACCATGAATTCTCAATGGACCATGAGTTCTCAGTGGACCATGAATTCTCAGTGGACCATGAATTCTCAGTGGACCATGAGTTCTTAGTGGACCATGAGTTCACTGTGGACCATGAATTCTCAGTGGACAATGAATTCTCAGTGGACCATGAGTTCTCAGTGGACCATGAATTCTCAGTGGACCATGAATTCTCAATGGACCATGAATTCTCAATGGACCATGAGTTCTTAGTGGACCATGAATTCTCAGTGGACCATGAATTCTCAATGGACCATGAGTTCTCAGTGGACCATGAATTCTCAGTGGACCATGAATTCTCAGTGGACCATGAGTTCTTAGTGGACCATGAGTTCACTGTGGACCATGAATTCTCAGTGGACAATGAATTCTCAGTGGACCATGAGTTCTCAGTGGACCATGAGTTCTCAGTGGACCATGAGTTCTCAGTGGACCATGAATTCTCAGTGGACCATGAATTCTCGGTGAGAATTTTTAGTCTCAAATCTCAATAGATTTTTAAACAAATTTTAAAAAATCACAATTAAGATTAGATACACTTGATAACAATTTTGATATACAAAGTGATATAACATTATGACAATGGATTTTAACTGATGTTGACAGTTACCTCCAACTTCACCGCAGCACCTCGTGTAAACTGTTGGTCAGCATTCAGATGTATTGGATCAGATTGACCATTGAGTCCATACACTACACAGTAGACCTCTTCTGTTGTAGCTCCTGAATTTTGCTGACCACAGAACACCGACAATGACCACTCTCCACTTGACCTAAGAGGCTGAACATCCTTGAACCATTTTTGGGTGATCTCATTCGGACAAATGGATGGCAATATTTCTGTTAAGAGACACCAGGCATGGTAAGACAACATGTAATAGTTTAATCTAATACATCTTCTGACATGAAGACTTTCAAATTAAACTTAACATTGAACAATTTTCACCATCCATCTGAGACGCTATCGATACGATGGTCAACAATAAAATAGATTTACCTTCTCTATCATGGTATTAGAGTTATTTACATTAATATCATCATTTAAATGTGATCCTAATGGTAGTTTTCTAGTATAGTTAATTTGTTTATTGGAATTATAACCCTGTGTACAACATGAGTCATTTTCAGGATGAGTTACTTTGTAGTAGCTGGTTGCTATCATAATGAAACATGAAACAATGTGCATATTTTCCAGAGCAAAAGGGGTAAAGTGTCTTTCCCAAGGACATAACCTAGCCACAACAGCACAAAATGATGCATAGCTTCTTCAGAAACATACAGGTAGGGATTAAACCACACACCTCAGATCTTTACCTGTGGTGAAGATGCTCTGCTGAATCTGATTCAGTTATCACCACCTCTGGTAGTCTTTGATGGCTTTGATATTTTCAAAATTCTCAATGAGTTAGACAAAGCATTCCAATTATAACCAAGTCACAGCTTGACCTGTATAGTATCATTCTACAGATACATACCAAATTACAGCTCTATATCTGTATCTGTTTGAGAGTAAATGGATGGAATGGAAATTATAACAGAAAATCAGCTAAGGATAACACTACATACACTATATACCATGGTTCGGAACATTAAAAACGAGCTGTCACTAAACTCACCTGAAACCTTGAACTTGTCAGGAATGACAGCATTGACATCAATCCATTGTTGACAGTTGAACACAATCTGAGATACTGCACTGAGACCCTCAAATACACTGACACGTTCCACATACCAAACTTTGTCTGAAACAACACATCTTATTACAGTGAGAAATCTTCAGGGGAGGAAAAGGTTTGCAAACCAATTGAAGAGATTTCAAAAATCTAAACTCAAACTATTAAGTCAATTTTCATCTTGTTTTAAATTTCAGAAATGATGAATTTGAAATTTAAAGGGAAACTAGGCCAAAATTTACCCTGTGTTAAGGTTGGCTTACCTTTGCCTTTGCCTTCAAACTGAAGCTGTAACGTCTGTAGTTTGCCTACAGACACAGCCTCTATAATGAACACATCCACCTGCCCTGGTCTCCACAGCTGAGAACTGTTGAAGAAGGGCGTGTCTAAGGGGCGTTTCCCCGTGTTCCCATCACTTCCTGTTAGAGTCAGGAAGGCCTTTCCTTGAGTCACAGATACTTCTGGGTAATTACCGGTCTGTATCTCAATGACGTATTGTCTCTCTGTAAAGGTCAGAGGTCATATAGTACTCCATCTTAGTCGGGAGAAATCCATATTCATAATCATTTAAAATATTGTGAGATGTATCACAGCTTACAACACACATTTATACTGAAAATTCAGTGATTTAAATGGTTCAGATAGACTTATAACTTCTAACAAGGAATATTAAACTATTTTTGTAAACACATCTAGTATGACAGTTTAGAAATTTCTACATTTATTTGGCAATAAGCCCAAGCATGTATATTAAAGTTTTGTAAAAAATTTGAACAAATGCTACTTTATTGTCTTGTAATAACCCAACCTTCTTCTTTCAGTTAAGAATTTTGTGCTTGGCCCCTGGGCTGATTACAGGATAAATATAGGTATTTTTTCACGATTGCTGACTTGTAATATCTGTAAACTATTTACTTCACAGAATCACAGATTTTATTTCATGAAAGAGCAAGTGTTTTTCCAACAGACAGAAATAATCAATACCAGATGGTTATGAATATGTTATGTCCTTACCAGGAAGTGGTATCTTTCCTTTCCTGACAATGGGAAACTCTCGTGATATCTGACCATCATCCTCGTCCCGAGCAAACCAGCGGTCCACGAATATTTCAAGCTCCTCCTCTGTGTCAATATCTGACAGCTTCATCTGTAGAAATCAACAGCATTTTTTACAGCAGACAAACAACAAACAACAGAGTCATTGAGAAACCAAACAACAAATAGCAGAACTATAAGGAAAACAACTGCAATTGTTTGTCACACTGGCAGGGACGTCCTCTTAGACAAGTTGAAGCATTAGATTACTGTTTATTGCTACAGTAGACTACAGTTAGACATATTTTTTGCCATGTTTAAATCATGAAGTAAAACTTACCCAGTCAACATGCCAGTTGGGATTAGGATTCTGGTTGTCATGGTCTAGCTGGATTTTTGTCAGGTCTCCGATATCACCGAAGTCTAACTGTAAATATAAATAAGGATGAAATTTAGGATACTAAGTATATCAGTAGCATTATGTGACAGAAGAACTAAAGGTAGGAGTGTTTCGTCATCACATTTGTGCATAACTTACACAAATAACTAGCAAGTATAAGAAGATATTTTGTACTGTTGTTAAATTTACTTAGACAAGAAAGGCAATCAGGAAGACAGCAGGTCTAAAGTGGATTTTTTTCACTATTTTTGGAATGCTTATGACATACAAATGATTGGCTGTTGTAAATATTTGATACTATTCAAAATACTGAAAATATACTTATTTTGGTGCAATCGAATTTTAGTGCAATATTAATTAAACTTCAACCTCGAGGTGATAAAAGTGCTTTGCATCATTAAATTTGTGATGAGAGAAACAGAACCCTTATCATTAAATTGTCAGAATTGGCCCTTACATTGAACTCCGAGGTGACGCCCTCATCAAATAAGATATTATCTTCAGTCACTTCGCCCAGTGGTAATCGTTCAGCCTTGCCTTTGGTTCCTTCTGCTGTGATGTAAACCTGGGCATGTGTACCTGATCCTGAAGCTTCACTAGTCTTTACCACAATATTATACTTCCCCTCTATAACACAGAAATACCAAAGTGAAAGTAATTATGACAGACCTCACACACTGGTATCACATGACTATGTAGAACTTGTAAACTTTGTGGAATTTGGTTTTTATAGACTACCTATGTATTGGTAAGTGTTCTCAAAAGGTGGATGCTTCTAATTTTCATTTATCAATTCTACATTCCCAAATTTCACCAAAGTAGTCATCATTCCTTCACTATCCAGGAAACCTTTTGATATTAAGAAAATGTATGGGGCACAGGTATGTAACCTGCCCAAGAAATCTAGATAGTTCACATACTAATGTACTTCTAGATATCTTGGCCAGGTTTTTCTCTTTGATTGGGTTGTTATTGTGTGTGTACTTCTAGATATCTCGGCCAGGTTTTTGTCTTTGATTGGGTTGTTATTGTGTGTACTTCGAGATATCTCGGCCAGGTTTTTGTCTTTGATTGGGTTGTTATTGTGTGTGTACTTCTAGATATCTCGGCCAGGTTTTTGTCTTTGATTGGGTTGTTATTGTGTGTGTACTTCTAGATATCTCGGCCAGGTTTTTCTCTTTGATTGGGTTGTTATTGTGTGTGTACTTCTAGATATCTCGGCCAGGTTTTTGTCTTTGATTGGGTTGTTATTGTGTGTGTACTTATATATATCTCGGCCAGGTTTTTGTCTTTGATTGGGTTGTTATTGTGTGTGTACTTCTAGATATCTCGGCCAGGTTTTTGTCTTTGATTGGGTTGTTATTGTGTGTGTACTTCTAGATATCTCGGCCAGGTTTTTCTCTTTGATTGGGTTGTTATTGTGTGTGTACTTCTAGATATCTCGGCCAGGTTTTTCTCTTTGATTGGGTTGTTATTGTGTGTGTACTTCTAGATATCTCGGCCAGGTTTTTCTCTTTGATTGGGTTGTTATTGTGTGTACTTCTAGATATCTCGGCCAGGTTTTTGTCTTTGATTGGGTTGTTATTGTGTGTGTACTTCTAGATATCTCGGCCAGGTTTTTGTCTTTGATTGGGTTGTTATTGTGTGTGTGTGTACTGTACTTCTAGATATCTCGGCCAGGTTTTTCTCTTTGATTGGGTTGTTATTGTGTGTGTACTTCTAGATATCTCGGCCAGGTTTTTCTCTTTGATTGGGTTGTTATTGTGTGTACTTCTAGATATCTCAGCCAGGTTTTTGTCTTTGATTGGGTTGTTATTGTGTGTGTACTTCTAGATATCTCGGCCAGGTTTTTGTCTTTGATTGGGTTGTTATTGTGTGTGTGCTTCTAGATATCTCAGCCAGGTTTTTCTCTTTTTTCTCTTTGATTGGGTTGTTATTGTGTGTACTTCTAGATATCTCGGCCAGGTTTTTCTCTTTGATTGGGTTGTTATTGTGTGTGTACTTCTAGATATCTCGGCCAGGTTTTTGTCTTTGATTGGGTTGTTATTGTGTGTGTACTTCTAGATATCTCGGCCAGGTTTTTGTCTTTGGGTTGTTGTGTGTTGTTATTGTGTGTGTACTTCTAGATATCTCGGCCAGGTTTTTCTCTTTGATTGGGTTGTTATTGTGTGTACTTCTAGATATCTCTGCAAGGTTTTTCTCTTTGATTGGGTTGTTATTGTGTGTACTTCTAGATATCTTGGCCAGGTTTTTGTCTTTGATTGGGTTGTTATTGTGTGTACTTCTAGATATCTCAGCCAGGTTTTTCTCTTTGATTGGGTTGTTATTGTGTGTGTACTTCTAGATATCTCGGCCAGGTTTTTCTCTTTGATTGGGTTGTTATTGTGTGTACTTCTAGATATCTCGGCCAGGTTTTTGTCTTTGATTGGGTTGTTATTGTGTGTTAAATTATAGAAAACTCGGACAGCTATTTCTATTTGATTGGGTTGTTATTGTGTGTGTACTTCTAGATATCTCAGCCAGGTTTTTCTCTTTGATTGGGTTGTTATTGTGTGTACTTCTAGATATCTCGGCCAGGTTTTTCTCTTTGATTGGGTTGTTATTGTGTGTGTATTTCTAGATATTTCTAGATATCTCGGTCAGGTTTTTCTCTTTGATTGGGTTGTTATTGTGTGTACTTCTAGATATCTTGGCCAGGTTTTTCTCTTTGATTGGGTTGTTATTGTGTGTGTATTGGGTTGTTATTGTGTGTGTACTTCTAGATATCTCGGCCAGGTTTTTGTCTTTGATTGGGTTGTTATTGTGTGTGTACTTCTAGATATCTCGGTCAGGTTTTTCTCTTTGATTGGGTTGTTATTGTGTGTACTTCTAGATATCTCGGCCAGGTTTTTCTCTTTGATTGGGTTGTTATTGTGTGTGTACTTCTAGATATCTCGGCCAGGTTTTTCTCTTTGATTGGGTTGTTATTGTGTGTACTTCGAGATATCTCGGCCAGGTTTTTCTCTTTGATTGGGTTGTTATTGTGTGTGTACTTCTAGATATCTCGGCCAGGTTTTTGTCTTTGATTGGGTTGTTATTGTGTGTACTTCGAGATATCTCGGCCAGGTTTTTGTCTTTGATTGGGTTGTTATTGTGTGTGTACTTCTAGATTTCTTGGTCGGGTTTTTCCTCTTTGGCTGGTTTTTAAGCATTTGCACTTACTAGATTTCTTGGCCAAGTTTTTCTCTTTTGCTGGTTTGTTGACATCTTTGACGTCTAGAAGAGGTAGATTTCTCCATGTCTTACCGTCACCCTCTCTCTGATCTAGCCAGCGTCTACATGGAAACACATAGAGACGAGTCGGGGAAGGACCGTCAGTCTCTGACACAGTCACTTGGTCTATAAATACACCTGCTCCGTGACCTTTAGTGTCATGACCTATTTCTATGTGTGTTAGGTCATCCAAAGCAACAGCTTCAAACAAGAAAGTGTCCACCTGTACAAAACAATGAATATGTCACATGTTTTATCAATTAATTGTAAAAGTAGAATACTTAATAATCATTTGACCAAAGTGATACTGACCTGACCTCACTTTAGTGACAGACAAGGTGATACTGACCTGACCTCACTTTAGTGACAGACAAGGTGATACTGACCTGACCTCACTTTAGTGACAGACAAGGTGATACTGACCTGACCTCACTTTAGTGGCAGACAAGGTGATACTGACCTGACCTCCCTTTAGTGACCGACAAGGAAATACTGACCTGACCTCACTTTAGCAGCAGACAATGTGAAACTGACCTGTCCTCACTTTAGTAACAGACAAGGTGATACTGACCTGACCTCACTTTAGTGGCAGACAAGGTGAAATTGACCTGACCTCATTTTGGTGGCAGACAAGGTGATACTGACCTGACCTCGCATTAGCGGCTGCTTGTTAGAGTTGGAGTGGTACAATAATCTCCGCCCCATGTCTCCTCTCTTTCCAAAGATGTTAATGTAAACACTGGAGTCTGTTCCAGCAGCCCAGTTTTCACCAATATATACAGTAACTTCATAATGAAACACTGAAAGATCAACAATACAGTATCACATACTATCAACAATAGGAAATCAACATTACTAGACTTATACATTAAGTACATGTAATTTAATTTTTAACATTTGGCTTCTTTATCTCAAGGCAACTTGATCAACTTTACACTATTATTCTGGATTTTGGATAACATACATACATTGTTTATTTAATTTTTGGAATATTTTACCACTACTAACCAGAAGGTGGTGATTTATCTGCTTTGACAACAGGAAACTCTCTGACCAGATCAAAATCCTCCTTGTCTCGAGCCAGCCATCGGTTACAGCCAAACACAAATTCTTCCTCGGTTACAGTATCCTGTAGCTTCACCTACAGATATAGCCAATATGTACTTGTATTTGCAATGCTTAATGGTCATCAACTTAGTTTCCATGGTGACAGATGGACACTGTCCTGCAGAACAGATGTTTGATGTGAAGTAGAACCTCACATGAAGAAAGGTTGGTTTGTGTAAACAACACAACATTAACATTAGCACTAATAATAGCTACAAATAAGCTCATAAGATAAATTCTGACTTCTGAGTATTTTTACAGAGTAATAGAAACTTAACTACCTTGAAAAAAGATCGAAGTTTTTACTTTTTTAAAATTACCTCACGTAGAAACCATCCATCCCACTTAGGTGTGTCCTCCCTGACAGTACGAATCTTATACAGGTCACCTATATCTCCAACAGATATCTGTCAATCATATCAAATAATACAGGTCCAGATATAAAAACTTTAAATATTCAAAATACCTTAAAAAGTGTACTGGAGAACCTTGGCAAGGATAATGGCTTCAAAAAGGAATTTCAGTTGTAACTTTCACATCAATAATGGCCTTGACAAGAAATTTCAGTTATAATTTTCACATCAATAATGGCCTTGACAAGGAATTTCAGTTGTAACTTTCACATCAATAATGGCCTTGACAAGAAATTTCAGTTGTAACTTTCACATCAATAATGGCCTCGACAAGAAATTTCGGTTATAATTTTCACATCAATAATGGCCTTGACAAGGAATTTCAGTTGTAACTTTCACATCAATAATGGCCTTGACAAGAATTTTCAGTTATAACTTTCACATCAATAATGGCCTCGACATCAATAATGGCCTTGACAAGGAATTTCAGTTGTAACTTTCACATCAATAATGGCCTTGACAAGAATTTTCAGTTATAACTTTCACATCAATAATGGCCTTGACAAGAATTTTCAGTTATAACTTTCACATCAATAATGGCCTTGACAAGTACTGATACTATTACTTCCATGCTAATAAATCCATGATTAAATCTCTTACCTCAAACTGGTCAATATTGCCTGGTTCAAACAATTTGGCAGTTGGATTGGGGGCAAACAGTTTGACTAGATCTGTCTTGCCATTTTCTCCATATACAACCATTGACACAGTTCCACCATTGGGAGATTTGGAGTCCTCACCAGTCTTTATCCATACTTTGTATTCTCCCTCTGTGTAATTTGGGAAATAATACATTTCGTTACTCAGTAGTTGCCCGTCAGAGGCCTTCCATATCTGATTTATGTTTTCTTACAATGCATGAAGTGAAAAATTTCCCTTGATATTTTCAAATGGTAAGTTAACTTACCATCTTCAAAGTACTAAATACATGTAATATTTATTCTGTACAAGTTGCCAATATAACGCTCACCAGACTTCTTGGTCGGTTTCTGTGGAATCAGGTCAACTTCACACGTTCCATCTCCCTGATTCTCATCCAGCCATCTGAAGTATAGACATGTTTTAAATGTAACTTAATGGTAAGCACTCAGAGACATCCAAAGATATTTTGGTTAATGTTTTATACATAGTAAGGTAGATATGACAAGACTTCATATCAAACCTAGAAATCAATTATTGACTCTCTTCTCATAAATTCTTCTCTTCATCACTAAAGTCATGCACAGAATGCTGTTGCCTATTTTACCTGTTACAAGGGAAGAATATCTCCTCTGCAGTGGCAGCCTCATCCTCTTTGACAACAACCTTGTCAAGGAACCAGCTAGGGTTAGCACCTCTATTATTGTGCCCTATTGTAATTTTCTTCAGCTCACCAAGCGACACAGCCTCAATATGGAACACATCCATCTGGTTGTCATGAAAATAAAGAAACAATTGAATAATAGAAAACTGCCCTGTATTACTGTAGAGTCCCATTAACCATGACTTCTCAGCAAACAAATTTCTTATCATCTTCATATTTTCATTCTTATATCATTCAATATTGTTTTTTTTGTTTTGGTTTTCGTTTTAAGATAATATGATGTGTGACATTGATATCAATCAGTAAATGATGTTTGCTTGGGATGACATACAGTGCCTTGTTGAAACACAGCTGATTCTGTTGTCTCTGACTTGACAAGTTTACGTTGGCCAGTGTCACCTCGCTGACCATGCATGCATATAAACACGTCAGCTGTGGTACTGGAGTTGAGTTCGGAACCTGTGTATACTTGGACTGTGTATGTGATCACTGAAATAGGTGAAAGCAGGGTGAAACAGCACATAAATGGCTAGGCAGAAAAAAGGTACATTCAACAGACAGATAACACACACTGGCTGATAACATTGTATACAGCCATATTGATAAACTGTGCAAAACTTACAGGTTTTACAGGTATATAACACAGATTTTACAGGTATAGAATACAGATTTTACAGGTATATCACTGAAGTTTTACAGGTTAATTATACAAATCTTACAGGTATATAACACAGATTTTACAGGTATATAACACAGGTTTTACAGGTATAACACAGGTTTTACAGGTATATAACACAGATTTTACAGGTATATAATACAGATTTTACAGGTATATAATACAGATATTACAGGTATATAACACTTAAGTTTTACAGGTATATAACACAGATTTTACAGGTATATAACACAGATTTTACAGGTATATAACGCAGATTTTACAGGTATATAATACAGATATTACAGGTATATAACACAGATTTTGCAGGTATATAACACAGGTTTTACAGGTATATAACACAGGTTTTACAGGTATATAACACAGATTTTACAGGTATATAACACAGATTTTACAGGTATATAATACAGATTTTACAGGTATATAACACAGATTTTACAGGTATATAACACAGATTTTACAGGTATATAACACAGATTTTACAGGTATATAACACAGGTTTTGCAGGTATATAACACAGGTTTTACAGGTATATAACACAGGTTTTACAGGTATATAACACAGATTTTACAGGTATATAACGCACAGGTATATAATACAGATATTACAGGTATATAACACAGATTTTGCAGGTATATAACACAGGTTTTATATATAACACAGTTTTTACAGGTATATAACACAGATTTTACATGTATATAATACAGATTTTACAGGTATATAATACAGATATTACAGGTATATAACACAGATTTTACAGGTATATAACACAGATTTTACAGGTATATCACTTAAGTTTTACAGGTATATAATACAGATATTACAGGTATATAACACAGATTTTACAGGTATATAACACAGATTTTACAGGTATATAACACAGATTTTACAGGTATATAACACAGATTTTACAGGTATATAATACAGATATTACAGGTATATAACACAGGTTTTACAGGTATATAACACAGGTTTTACAGGTATATAACACAGGTTTTACAGGTATATAACACAGATTTTACAGGTATATAACACAGATTTTACAGGTATATAATACAGATATTACAGGTATATAACACAGATTTTACAGGTATATAACACAGATTTTACAGGTATATAACACAGATTTTACAGGTATATAACACAGATTTTACAGGTATATAACACAGATTTTACAGGTATATAACACAGGTTTTACAGGTATCACTTAAGTTTTACAGGTATATAATACAGATTTTACAGGTATATAATACAGATTTTACAGGTATATAATACAGATTTTACAGGTATATCACTTAAGTTTTACAGGTTAATTATACAAATCTTACTGTGAAATCAACAATAATATAATTTGCCTTGTTTCTGTTTTCTGAGCTGTACCACTGAGATGATAAGGTTGCTATTCAAAATTCAGAGCATATTTTGTATGTATACCTAACCTCTCACAAAATTTCAAAGATTGATTTATATAAATCTTAAAGTTAAGGGAAATTGTCCATTAAGTATGATTCAGAAAGAACAAAATACCGATGCAAAGTTTTATTTTCTTTATCAGTAAGCATCCATCTGTGAAACATGCAAAGCTAACAAACTGGCAGTGTAATGGTTACACAGTAAAGTATACTGCTGTGAAATCTCACCAGATAAAAGAAGACCCCCAGCCCTGCCTCACACTGTTGAGGAAGCAGTAAGCCGCCCTCACACCATGCACATTATTCCACATACAGTACTACTATAGGGATGTACCCACCTGGTAATAGTGGCTTGCCATTGGTGGACACAGGGATTTCCCGACATACATCACGATCATCACGTGACCTAGACATCCATCGATGTACCTTAAACACATGTTCTTCACTTGTCCTGATGTTCTTCATTTTCATCTATAAAAAAGATATTTTCATGTGATGAAATTAAACCTGTCATGTGATGAAATTAAATCTGTCATGTGATGAAATTAAATCTGTCATGTGATGAAATTAAATCTGTCATGTGATACAATGACAAATATTAGTACATACAATTACCATAATGAATTCCTAGTTGTATCTGCAAGTAAGTTATTGAAGTGATAAACATGTATAGAATCTGTAAAGTTGTCATGAGATACTGACCGTTTGAAGGAACCATCCTGACTTGCTATCCTTGTCATCATGGCCAATCCTCAGTTTGTAAAGGTCTCCTAGATCAGGTCCTATAAACACCTGTAAGTATATTCCCGCTTATTTCAAATACTTACATACACCTATCTGAGCTTAAATTATCTCCCCTACCACAGCTCATGTTATGTATATCTACAGTGTCATCATTTTTTGTGTACTTTGTATATGTGCCATTAATTAACCAATTAAAAATTATAACATTTAATAAGCTTATATACAGAGCAGTTGACTGAACTCATCTTATTGGTTACAAACTGAGCGTACCTTAAACTCATCAGTTGTTCCAGCACCAAAGTGAGGCTCCTCATCATCCTGACCGAGAGAGATTGGCCCAATCACACCATTGGTCCCATAAACATAGAGGGAGACACTGTTGGTAGTGCCCATAACAGCATCAGACCCTGTGGTAAGGTACAGCCGCCAGTCTCCATCTGATTGTAACAGAATATCAACAGTAGACAGAAGCAAATTACCTGGTACACAAACATTCTTGATGCATAATTACTGATAAAACATATGTAACAAAGTTAACAACACATATTCAAATAAAACAATCAATATTCCTCCAAAGAATACTTAAGTGTTATAAAGGGACATAACTGGTGATAATTTTTTACCTCGGAAAGTCTCAGGGTGAATTTCTTCCTGTTCTAGTTCCTCTTCCTCTGCTGTCTCAGCTACACTTTCTAATCTGACGACAGGTTTCACCTCTGAAATATATTGCAGATAAGGTAATATTTCACCAATGACATACACCAAAGATAAATTTATTACCATTGAAATATATCAAAGACATAATAGCTATATGATTATTCTACTGTCCATTGTATTTTTTGTATATTCAAGTGAAATTTATATCACCTAGTATAAGTGCAGGAATGTCATGCTACAGCTGTATAAATAGACATGTACACAAATAGACAAAAGCTTAAAATCTTAATAACTTATCATATATATGTGATAAAAATCCATGCAATAGACCTATCCAAGCATGTTGCTCTTCAAACCAATATACATGTGATTTTAAATGAACTTTCATTTCATGAGATTTTATTGAATGCGTCTTAGAAGTTTTTATTTATGCACGATCATAAAATCTCACATGAAAAGAAAAAAAAAATCTTTTCCATATAGCTAAGACGAGTAAAATTTTGACAGATTTTAAAGTAAAAATTTACAATTTAATGAAGGCAGCCATTTTCTTGTGCCTTTTCAATATATATGACATAATGTCATTGTCCATAATATGACATCACAGTTGATTATTGACTGGCACAATCAATGAAAAATGCTTATCACACTGGCAAGTTATACCCAAAATATTACAAGGATAACAGATGGTTCATGTAATAAAATGTTAACAATTTTCTGTAATAATCCTATCCTTCATCTTTGAGAAAGAAGTAATGTGTTGGCCCCATTGGTTTATCATATGATAAATATAAGTTATCTATTTTACAATAATTGTCACAATAATAGGGAAATAACTTTCTACCAACTTATCATCCCTCTGGGACCAATATAGGAAGAGATCTGAGGTGTATTGGAGGAAATGTAATGTAGGTAGAGATCTGAGGTCTATTGGAGGAAATGTAATGTAGGAAGAGATCTGAGGTCTATTGGAGTTAAAGGTAATGTAGGTAGAGATCTGAGGTCTATTGGAGGAAATGTAATGAAGGAAGAGATCTGAGGTCTATTGGAGTTAAAGGTAACGTAGGTAGAGATCTGAGGTCTATTGGAGGAAATGTAATGAAGGAAGAGATCTGAGGTCTATTGGAGGAAACTCGAATGTAGGGAGAGATCTGAGGTCTATTGGAGGAAATGTAATGTAGGTAGTGATCTGAGGTGTATTGGAGATATTGTAATGTAGGAAGAGATCTGAGGTGTATTGGAGATATTGTAATGTAGGAAGAGATCTGAGGTCTATTGGAGAAAATGTAATGTAGGAAGAGATCTGAGGTGTATTGGAGGAAATGTAATGTAGGAAGAGATCTGAGGTGTATTGGAGGAAATGTAATGTAGGTAGTGATCTGAGGTGTATTGGAGATATTGTAATGTAGGAAGAGATCTGAGGTGTATTGGAGGAAATGTAATGTAGGAAGAGATCTGAGGTGTATTGGAGGAAATGTAATGTAGGAAGAGATCTGAGGTCTATTGGAGGAAACTCGAATGTAGGGAGAGATCTGAGGTCTATTGGAGGAAATGTAATGTAGGTAGAGATCTGAGGTCTATTGGAGGAAATGTAATGTAGGTAGAGATCTGAGGTCTATTGGAGGAAATGTAATGTAGGTAGAGATCTGAGGTCTATTGGAGGAAATGTAATGTAGGTAGTGATCTGAGGTCTATTGGAGATATTGTAATGTAGGAAGAGATCTGAGGTCTATTGGAGAAAATGTAATGTAGGAAGACATCTGAGGTGTATTGGAGGAAATGTAATGTAGGAAGAGATGTGAGGTCTATTGGAGGAAACGTATTGTAGGTAGAGATCTGAGGTCTATTGGAGGAAATGTAATGTAGGTAGTAATCTGAGGTCTATTGGAGGAAATGTAATGTAGGTAGAGATCTGAGGTCTATTGGAGGAAATGTAATGTAGGTAGAGATCTGAGGTCTATTGGAGGAAACTCGAATGTAGGTACAGATCTAAGGTCTATTGGAGGAAATGTAATGTAGGTAGAGATCTGAGGTCTATTGGAGGAAATGTAATGTAGGTAGAGATCTGAGGTCTATTGGAGGAAATGTAATGTAGGAAGAGATCTGAGGTCTATAATGTAATGGTCTATTGGAGGAAATGTAAACTAGAATGTCTATTGGAGAAATGTAATGTAGGTAGTGTAGAGATCTGAGGTCTATTGGAGGAAATGTAATGTAGGTGTAATGTAGGTAGAGATCTGAGGTCTATTGGAGGAAATGTAATGTAGGTAGAGATCTGAGGTCTATTGGAGGAAATGTAATGTAGATAGAGATTTGAGGTGTATTGGAGAAAACTGGAATCAATGACTTTTTACAATTGATTTGGGAATCAAGTCCTTTCACGTTGATGAATGGCAAGTGAAACATTCAGTTGCTTGTTACAATAGTTTTCAGAACATTATAAATGTTTATTCAATGTAATTATGTGTACAAGGTCAATTTCGACACATGATACCCATGCTAACTGTCGTGCTGTGTGTCAATTAATACTTAATCCTACTTAACTTCTCCATGTTGTAAAACATTCCAAATAAACATTAACATAACGATATAAATTTAAACCCCATTAAGTAAATAAAGATTACATCCAATACAATCACTTCTTGGTATTTAGAGGTCAGGAGTTGAGGTATATCTCACCTGGGTATTTAATTTGTCTGACTAGTGATACTATTGTAAATAAAAGCCAATGGACTTATTTAGAAAGTTATGATAACAACTTCAAGCAGTCAACAATCAATATTCCTTGACAATATAATGTAGTAAATTTTCTTCATTTTTGATAATTTCAATAAAATTTGAATGATCAACATTTATTGCAGGGATATATCAATTATGTATACCTTTTGATGTTTGTAAAATTTAGGTAAGAATGATTGATCATTTCTGGACTGTGAAGTCATGAGGTGAACCGTGAATAATTTTTAATTTAAATGTAAATCATGTCTATGTTATAGTTCGGGTATATCAGTGTGGTATACTTCTCCTCCAGACCCCCACTTAATCCATTTCCGTTGTATTTACCCTATCTATATCTCACTGCCACATGTTAACACTGCCAGATAAAGGTTTCCAAGCTATTTAACTCAACAAGGACTTTTCTATTGCCTTTCAAAGCCTATTTATATATCTCAACAATGAGTATGTATATTAGGCCTGTTTTTACAAAAGGCGCCGCAAGACTAGAAAACCTACAGGTGCCAAATAAAAACTTACTGGAATGGATATCGTGATCACTTGGATCACATTTACTCTCAACACCAAAACTTGTGTAAATATCCAGTAGAGCAAGCCAGGTATAATTTGCTTACCTATTAATTCCAACTCTCAATTGAATTAAAGAGAATTAAATAAACTAGTACAGAAATGATTTGCTGAAAAATAAATGGTTATATACATAAAACCAGTAAGTGTTTATTACTTATGGTTTGTACACAGCCCACAACACAAAATACAGAGATTGTTTTTATATAAATGGTTAGTTTGATACCTGATCTCTGTTATAAGCAAGTGTATAATCCTATTATGTTTTCTACTTGTTAATTTAGTAAACTAAATAATGTACTAAAGCTAAGTATGTTGTAATTTTAGATCTGAAAAAGAAGAATTGACAATATCTAAATAACAATATCACAAATATAACATGGAGCAAAATAAAAACCACACATAAAAAACATCAAAAGTTTTTTTTACATCACCCTATATGGCATGAATCAATGAAATCCAACACATCAAACATTTTAATTTGTCTCATAAAGGACATAAGTACTTTCAACCCAAGCTTCAATGATCAAGGGTCTATAAATGAAAGTGTACAATCAGTCAACACAATCAAATACTGGAAGTAAATAATCCACACCTTCGGACACCATATATACCTCACTCTAGTACACATACTCTCTCCTCTAGACCCTCAATTTCTAGGCAACACTTTTACACTGTTCTTGTAACAATCATGATGGGTATATGTGCAATTTTTCAAATTGATTAACCTTTTACGTCTACGGTAAATGTCCTTAATTTCAGCTGCATTAAATAGGAAATACACAATTTTAAATATTTCAACCGTTCATGTCTCGTTTTGAATTTTGTTTCTCCTTCCAGCTAAAACCAAAATATAAAAGTGTATTTCCATCTGATTTGTTTTCTCCCTCTCCCTTGTATACAGATAAAATACACTTTTGAAACAAAGTAAAGGACATTTACTGTAGAAACTACCACCCTTTAATGAATGATAAGCGTAATTGAATCTCAATCAATAATTTTTCAGGAAATAGTTGATGAAAGGACCATCACTTCATGTTTGTCTGACATTGATTTACTGTGACATGAATGATGTTTGCTGCTTTTTTTATGGAATAGGCAGTCAAACAATGCAGTTTTGTATTGACTAAAATTTTACATCATACAAAAGTATTGTTAAATCATTGTAAATACCTCTTGTGAGCTAAATAAAAAAAAGGAAAAAAAAAATTTGTTTTCCAAAATATCAAAAATTCTATATAAATTTCCAGTCAAAACGTTAGACTGAATTGATTAAAATGCAAAAGGTTGAATTTCACAGAAAGCACTGTTAATAGTATACCAAAACATCAGCCCAAACATTATCATCTGATGGTATTTATCTTACCAGTAACCTGAGAATCTGTGTAAAGATAGAAATAGAACTATACTACAAGGAAAAAACAAGTACAAACAATTCTTCATCTAATCTTTATTTTTCTCTGTACTATAAATATCATAAATTACATCTTTGGTTACAGGTCAGCAGAAATCACAATTCTATACCATTACCATACAAATATTAGTGTAAATATTATTTTAGCACACATGAGTCAGTGGTCAGTGTTGAGGGTGTGTGGCGTTCTAACCTCACCACAAACTCCTCACCTATCTCCCCATTAACCCATCCTAATAACAGATGACAAATTACTTGAGATGACAGTCATACCTGGTATACTAATCCTGAAGTGTTATCAATGCTCAAGCATTAGACTATTAACGAAAATATGCCAAAATAATATTTCCACAAAAATGTGTATGACTGCAGTATGAAGGAAGAGCACCAGTCTGGAAAGCAGTACAGCAGTATGTACATGAGTTATTCTCACCAGGTTTATTTATTCAGCTGGTTAAAATCACTCCATGATTTATGAGGTATTGTTAGATTTTCTGTTAAAACAAAACCTCAACAAATATAAACCCATTCCTGTTATCTAAACCACACTGTCATAAAACATACATGTACTCTTAAAGTGTCACTTTACCAACTCAAACAATTCAACAAAATCATCCTGATAAAGTGAGCCACATGTGGAGTTATGTTTACAGGTTGTTTATATCTACTACAGGAAAAACGGTTATTAAAAAATGATGAATTCCCTTCAGATCTATATTTAAATATTATCTTTTTTCCTAAAAACAAGCAACTGTTTTCAAATCATTGATCAAATATCAAACATTGGGATCAGTACGGGATTGCAGACAAATCAAATATTTATTTATGTTGAAAATAATATAAAAAAAAAACAGAATTGTTGTTATTTTGTCATTTTGGTGCAGCACAGAAATTGCGGGAGTATTCTGTTCTATTACTACAAGCACAAGCTTCATCCAGATTCTCATGTCATAATCCAAAACAGAATATACACAGTTGAAATATTTAGCCTTGTTATTCAAATACACGTTACAGTAGGTTTAAAATGTAAATGTTCCAAACTTAATAAGGACTTAAAAATGATCAACAAACTAGAAAAAATTGAGACCTTGCCTATGTATGCGTTTTAAATTCCTCATACTATGAAAATATATGACAAAAAACAATAGTGTGACCAACAGTGCTCCCATATGAAGATTTATGTAAGGAAATCATGAAAGGGTCATAATTTCAAAGAAAATCATCAAAATCGAAAGTAAATCAAGAGACACTTAATGTTTGGGTACTCAAAACATGCACAGAGATTAAGTAGAATGGAATTAGAGGGTAGTAGTATCTAAGAAAACGACGAGGAATCCTCAGAAAATTGGCAAAGAGAAGACTAAATGTCACAAGCACACTTCTACTTCAGGTACCGTACTTATCATGTGCACAAAATGGGTTACAAAACAGATGGACAGACAGATGAATACAAAATAGGATTTCTGTATATCTTTTTACTAACTTCTTGTAATCATGTAGACTACACATCTGAGCCCCTACAAGTGACAAAGTGACCTCCTGACTATTAAACTCTCAGCTACCAGATCTGTACTATTTAGGTGATTCTAAATCACAGTTTCAGCAATATCAAATATGTCTACCAATGTCTTTTGTCAAACTATACAGTTAATATTAATCCTGATCTTTAAATAGATGATATTAATGTTGGGCTGTTAACTGTACCAAAACTTGTCTTATAGCTATGTGTTAGGCTCCTAATGAATTCATCCCATTTTCTATCACTACCAGGTTAATCTATTCACTATAACTAGCTGTAGAGCTTTGTCCTAGTTCTCCATACATCATGTAATTTCTAAAACAGAGACACAATACAAGGCAGTTTTTATCATTGTCATATTCAAACCTAAAAGACTTTGGTTGAATATTCCAAACAACAATAGCTATGGAAGACAAAATTACCCAACACCAAAAGTCTACACATAACAACTGAAAAATCTTCAAACTCTGGAATACATGTCTTTAAAGTGAAAAGCTTATTAATTTCACTGATCTACATCTGTGTTTTTAGACACAATTTTTCTTAAAATCTCATCACCTTGGGTTTTTATAGTGACTGCTTCCAAATTCAACGTTCTTATGAAAAGCAGCATTTTCTTTTTCCTTCATACAAGAAGTCTCAGGTAAATTTAAAAAATAGTATATAAATAGTAAATTTAAGGCAGAATTAAATATAAAAATATTTAATGTCTATATATTGAGTTATAAATATAACAGTATGTAATAAATAAGTTATAAAAACTAATGTATATCTATCAGCTGATTGTAAATAAGCTAAAATAAGTTGTGCAATATAACGATCAAGCATACAAACGTTAACATGCCACAATAGATAATGATATACCAGTCACAAATCAGCATACGAATGAGATTCCATACAGCTATACACCAACATTAAGCCAAAAAACGACGAAAAGAAAACAATCTTTAGGCATCAGTTAACGTAAAATATCTTACACGTATGATCCGTTAAAGGAAAAGAATAAATTTATGAGATAAATGTCAACATGTGCATTAGGTCATCAACAAGTAAATATACCCATACTTAACAAATGCAAAGTAAAAAAGCAATGTTCCAGTTAACATAACAGCTAAGAAATAAATCTGTACAAAACAATGTGAAACATAGGATGCGTATCTAAAAATATGGCCACCGTAATTCATTTAACAAACTGATAATTATTTTCTCTCACAGTTCTGATCCAGTCATCAGAACTGGGCAGTATGTAAATGTTTTGAGATTTGTTGGTAACATAATACCTTCAGTTGTTTATATTTTTTCATTTTGATGGCAACAAAAGTACATGAACGAATATTATTCTATATGGTCATTCTTGTTTGGCTTGTGACACATATTACAGGGGAAGGTAAATTCTGTCAGGTAGATTCTGTCAATTTAACAGATGGACCAGCATGCAGACCCCTCCACCCCCCACCCCATCCCACCACCCCACCCTATCTACGCCCTTCCACCCACCTCATCCCCTCCTTTCCACCACCCAGACACACACTCAGCAAACATCTCAGATACACCCACCCATCACATGCTCCCAGTTTTCAAACCACGCCCAAAACACGGTTAGATGAGCAGTTGGTAAGTACGACGTGATTGAACACCATCACCTACCCTTGAGTGTAAGTGTCCTCTCTATACGGCGATCTTCTTGACCAGTGTCCAACCACCTACAACAAAAAGAAAATCCTCAGTGTAGTAGAGAGAATATGACATTACAGTAATACTAGCACTGTTCTTAATCGATTAGACATTAATACTCATCAACACATACATGATTTCTTGACACAAATAATGATAGAAGCAGAGAGCCTTCACTGCCCTTGGCAGCACCATATAGCCCTAGATAGCCCGACACAACCCTAGGTTACCTTTGGCAGCATAAGGTTGGCCCAACAAATGCCTAGGTAGACCTACACAACCCTTGACAACCTTTTACAACCCAAGTAATCATAACACAACTCTAGATAACCTTAAGCAATACTAGTAGTCCCACATAGCCATGAGGAGCATCACTAAGCTCTACATAGCCCAATACATCCCAAAGGGATCCTTTACAGCCCTATTAACCCCCACCATAACCCAAGATAGACCTACACAACCCTTGGCAACCTTCACATCCCAATGAATCCAAAAAGCCTCACACAATATTAGTTAGCCCCACACATCACAACCTTTGGCAACCTTTCATATTCCAATGAATCCAAATAGCCTCAAGCAATATTAGTTAGCCCCACACATCACTAAGTTCCCCATACAACAGTTGGCCCCATGGAGCCCCAGGTTTTACTTACATTGCCCTAGATATCTTGAAACAATCCTATGCATCCTCAAACAATACTAGTTAACCTCTTACAGCAATGAGTATCTCTTCAATACCCTAGGTAGCCCTACACAACCCTTGGTAGTACTACACAAGTCCAGGTTGCCCTGTATAACCCTGGGTAGCCCTACACAACCCTTGGTAGTACTACACAAGTCTAGGTTGCCCTGTATAACACTGGGTAGCCCTACACAACCCTTGGTAGTACTACACAAGTCTAGGTTGCCCTGTATAACCCTAGGTAGCCTTACACAACCCTTGGTAGTACTACACAAGTCTAGGTTGCCCTGTATAACCCTAGGTAGCCTTACACAACCCTTGGTAGTACTACACAAGTCTTGGTTGCCCTGTATAACCCTGGGTAGCCCTACATGACCCTTGGTTGCTCCTGGTAACCTTGGTTAACCTTACATTGCACATGATAGAAACAAGTCTGGGTAAGTTACATACCTGTCACATTCAAAGATGTACTTCTCCTGTGCATCATCTCCCTCCTGTACTACAACCTGGTCTAAGTACCATCCCTTACCATCAGCTGTCTCTTCATGACCTACAATGCACCGCTGTGGACGACCAATCGAAACTGCCTCCAGCTCAAACACATCAACCTGAAATAACATCAGTCAAAAGATTTTATTATAGTTCCAATGTATTCTAGTTTGTTCTTTTGAATTTTGAGGAAGAAGAAAAAAATTCCTTAAATTATGAATCTTGAACTTGTTGTTTAGATAATTGTAACACTGATCTTGAATATCTAATTTGAATAAAAGGTACTGAATATATGGGTTTAAGGAAGCAACAAGAGACAAACTGAGAACTGACCTGACTACGTCGGAATCTCTGCCTATTGCTGGAATTAAGCAGGAGACGTTTTCCTATGTCTCCATCATCTCCAAACAGGTTGAAGTAGACAGTAGCATCTGTTTCTGAACCAATCTCATTTCCGGTCTGGACTATCACCTTATACTTCATTACTGGTAAATAGAGATTACTGATCATTGTACATGTAAACAAAGTTACCAGTTAATCCTCTAGACCTACTGCTTGGTATGACAGTGTAAAACATGTCTCTATCAATCCTTTAAGGACAGTAAAATCAGTCTCAACAAATAAGTCGACAAGTGATCTATAGTCAATAGAGTTATTTTTAAAATTTCTATAACAATGTACACTGTATCTACAAACTTGAGGTGGAGATAAACAGAGAATTGAGACAGACAGGCAGTAGTTATAGACAGATGATAGATGTTGACAGACAATAGACATAGGCAGATTATAAATATAGACAGGTAATAGATGTAGATAGGTAATATATGTAGACAGGTGGAAGATTTAGACAGATGATAGATGTAGACAGATGATAGATGTAGACAGGTGGAAGATTTAGACAGGTTATAGATGTAGACAGATGATAGATGTAGACAGGTGATAGATGTAGACAGATGATAGATGTAGACAGGTGATAGATATAGACAGATGATAGGTGAAGACAGATGATAGATGTAGACAGGTGATAGATGTAGACAACTGATAGATGTAGTCAGGTGACAGTTAAAGACAGGTAATATAATATAGACAAGTGATAGATATAGACAGGTAATTTATAAAGACGGTGATTTAGACTGACGATAGATATAGACAGATGACAGGTGTAGAAAGATGACAGATGTAGTCATGTGACAGGTGGTATGTATAGACAGGTAATTTATAAAGACAGGTGATTTAGAATGATGATAGATATAGAAAGTTGATAGATTTAGAGAAGTGATAAAGACATACCAAAAGATACAGACTGGTGATATTTATAAGACAGGTAGTAGATAAAGACACTTTGTAACTTTAGACTGGTAGTAACTTTCAACAGGTAACTTACAGACGGTTGGTCTGACATACAAGTTTCACGGTATAAATAGAATTATGTCTGAATCTCATTGTGTAAGTTTTCTCTATTAATCAACCAAATATTCCAACCAACACTAGAAAATATTCTAAAAACACAACTCCCCATAGTGACTTCAGATCTATACGCATAAACATGCCTTAGCAATACACCAAGATATTATCTCTTTACTTTGTAGAACACCATTACACCTGTATGACTTTCATAAAATGTTATCACTATTATAATTTGTCTGCTGAACCATAAAATTGATGACAGTAATGTTTGGTGCAGAAACAGGACATGTATTTCATCTATGCATCATACACAGCCATCACAGGCTACACAGAAAATCAACATCAGAATCATACACACAGATACCATAATTTTCCTTCAATACACCATGAGGACCAACAAGTAACACCTCACCTTCAGTTGGCAGAAAGATTTACAGTACAATAATTAATTTTTGTGGGTATTTTTCATTTTTTCATTATTTTGATTGATTTTATAGTACTCTTAATCCACAAATTCAAATATCCATGATCTGTTAGAAAAAGTAGAATTATTGAGCTATTTATCCACAAAATCAAGCATCCATGAATAAATGTTTCGAAATACTGCAAAAATTGAACCCAATGAAAATATATGATTTTACAGTACTGTAGGACAAAGATACAGTAATTGAAGGTATTTCTACTATAGATGTGATTAATACTAAGCATGGAAGCTGGTGACTATCAATCATACTATTTGCTTAAAACAGGAACTGGAAAACTTGTCTGATACAGCCACTAGGAAACCTGCTTGATACAGACACTAGGAAACCTGTCTGATATAGCCACTAGGAAACCTGCTTGATACAGACACTAGGAAACCTGTCTGATATAGCCACTAGGAAACCTGTTTGATATAGCCACTAGGAAACCTGTCTGATACAGCCACTAGAAAACCTGTTTGATACAGCCACTGGGAAACTTGTCTGATACAGTCACTAGGAAACCTGTCTGATACAGTTTCTGGGAAACCTGTCTGTCAGTGTTGGTGGGAAACCTGTCTGATACAGTCAATGGTAGGTAAACTTGTCTGTTACAGCTAACAGGAAACCTGTCTAATGCAGCCTATGGGAAACCTGTCTGATACAGCCACTAGGAAACCTGCTTGATACAGACACTAGGAAACCTGTCTGATATAGCCACTAGGAAACCTGCTTGATACAGACACTAGGAAACCTGTCTGATATAGCCACTAGGAAACCTGTCTGATACAGCCACTAGGAAACCTGTTTGATATAGCCACTAGAAAACCTGTCTGATACAGTCACTAGGAAACCTGTCTGATACAGTTTCTGGGAAACCTGTCTGTCAGTGTTGGTGGGAAACCTGTCTGATACAGTCAATGGTAGGTAAACTTGTCTGTTACAGCTAACAGGAAACCTGTCTAATGCAGCCTATGGGAAACCTGTCTGATACAGCTACTTGGAACCTTGTCTGATAAAGCCACATAGAAACCTTTCTGATACAGCCACTGGGAAACTTGTCTGATACAGCCACTAGAAAATTTGTCAGAAACAGCCAATGGGAAACCTGTCTGACATAGCCACTGGGAACCCTGTCTGATATAGCCACTAGAAACATGTCAGATATAGTCACTGGGAAACCTGTCTGATACAGCCACTGGGAAACCTGTCTGATATAGCCACTAGAAACTTGTCAGATACAGCCACTGGGAAACCTGTCTGATACAGCCACTAGAAACTTGTCTTAAACAGTCAATGGGAAACCTGTCTGATACAGCCAATTGGAAACCTGTCTGATACAGCCACTAGAAACTTGTCAGATACAGCCAATGGGAAACCTTTCTGATACAGCCACTGGGGAACTTGTCTGATACAGCCACTGGGAAACCTGTCTGATACAGCCACTAGAAAATTTGTCAGATACAGCCAATGGGAAACCTGGAAACTTGTCAGATACAGCCAATAGGGAAACCTGTCTGATACAGCCACTAGAAACTTGTCTAATACAATCAATTGGAAACCTGTCTGATACAGCCACTAGAAATTTGTCAGATACAGCCAATGGGAATCCTTTCTGATACAGACACTGGGGAACTTGTCTGATACAGCCAATGGGAAACCTGTCTGATACAGCCACTAGGAAACCTGTTTGATATAGCCACTAGGAAATCTGTCTGATATAGCCACTGGGAAACCTGTCTGATACAGCCACTAGGAAACCTGTCAGATATAGCCACTAGGAAACCTGTTTGATATAGCCACTGGGAAACCTGTCTGATACAGCCACTAGGAAACCTGTCAGATATAGCCACTATGAAACCTATCTGATACAGCCACTGGGAAACCTGTCTGAAACAGTCAATGAGAAACTTGTCTAATACAGTCAATAAGAAACTTGTCTGATACAGCAACTTAAAAACCTGTCTGATACAATAAACTGACAAGTTTTCTACCACACTTACATCTTAAGGAGTCTGTGCCGGGTTTGATGGCTGGCATTTCTCTCATGTTCTGTTGATCCTCTTTTTTGTTGGACAGCCATTTATTAAAGTGGAATTCAAGCACTTCATCAGAACCCAAGTTCTCAAACACAACATCTTCTACCTTCCAGGAGGCATCAGGTCCCTTAGGAGTCAGTTCAAGTCGAATTTTTTTTATTGTACCAACTTTCTGCAGATTTGCCTGAAAATGCAAACAATGTCACAATGGATATAATAAATGCAGCATTAGATAATTTATATCTTTTCAGAATCACTGTTTCAGCAAGCCAAACTCAGTAAAACAATATCCTCCCTTTATCAATGACAGCAGTAACAGTAAACATAGGACATTGAAGCCCCCTACTTACCCTGAACTCGTCCTTGTTGCCTTTCTGGAAAATGTCCTTACCCGGAGCCCCTAACTGGATAGCTCCCGAGTTTCCATGGTCACCGTACACAACCAGGGCCACTTCTCCATCCTGTAGTGTGTCCAAGGTACTGACCTGGATACTCCAGTCTCCCACTACAAAACACAAGGAAACCAAGGTCCACATTTAGAAATTTGCCAGGTATCAAGGACCAAATGAAAAATCGTCATACTTAAAGATCTCCAGTAGCACATGTTTACACTGTAAAATGTCCATTGTCTAGCAGTGGTTATAATATAGAGGTAACAGGGTTCAGATATATATGTAAATGAAATCTTGCATATACATGTTTCAGAAAAAAATGAATGTTAACACCAAACCTAACCAAAGTTAGCTGAGTAAATGTAAGTCACAACAAGTTTTCTGTGGCAAACTGACAGAGTAGACATTCAAGTAAATTCATATTATATCATTTGAAGACTAATGGCCATGCAGCATAGGAGGGCTAAACGTTAGTTTAACTCATTTGTAATGGAGAGTCTTCAGTTTCCTAAACTAGATATATTTCACACCATTTACCCAGTTACTAAAACATTATGAAATTTTGTGAAGACCAAACATAGACATGTATTAGTTTCAAAACAAAAAAAAATGTCATATGTTAGATTCAATTCAAGCAATTAGTCACAAACAAAGTGACAATGAATTCAAATGACGTACAATTAACTTTATAAAACAATCACATTCACAAAAATAGCAAACAATGATGTTATGATGACTTGCAACAACGTTGAATGACATGTACAGGGAAACTTGGAGAATATGGACCATCCTGCATTTGCAGATAGTATCAAGCTTCAAGTTTATAAAGTTTTCAGCCAACCAAGTTTCCTTGTACAGCCACCACATTCACAACCAGTCTCCAGACAACCTACCTTTGACAGCAGGCTTGGTTCCTTCTGATACATGTACTAAAAAGTATCAATAGATATGGCTAATGTCATTTACTGACTGAGTAACCTCTAATTTCCATTAGCCATACATACACAAAAAACTACAACTTCAAATGTAATTAAGTGATTAAGGCATCTTATATGTAATACCAGTTTATCAGATTTTGATTTAAGCTATATTTAAAAGGAATCTGAATACGTAGCAATGTTTTTACAATACCTGCAAAGTCTGCACGGGGAGTAGGAGTGGGCGTGTAGTCAACAGTCATGGCACTGTCAGTTTGTCTGGCTTGCATCATGGCATTCTCCTCAACCTGTTCTGTGCTTCGTATCTTCGGGACACCAACTGTCAGGTAGGAATGAGAATCAAGAACAGGTCCTTCTTTATACAACGTTTTGTTAAAATTCTTAAACAAATTTTAGATAAAATTTATCCAAAAGACAGTATAATTGATATTACCAAAACAGTCCCAATACAACGTGTATGTACAGAATTACATAAATGTACAACAAGTCTCCAGTATGATAACAGAGAGACATTAAGAGGTATAGCTGTTCTGAACATTTTAAAGTTAAGAATAAATCCTGTTTAGTCAAATACCAGATATATGGCAGAAGTAACATAATCACAGAGAACCAGTGACTTACATTCAATGACTGAAGGGTACAACCAGATATTGTTGACACCTGTATCCACTGTGGGCCATATACGACCATCTGGCTTCATCCCGAGATACAAGCCACGCTGTGTACCTGACTGGAGTGATACGTATCCCAGGTCACGATGCTTTTCAACTATGAAGTGAGAGTACTCATCTCGCTCACCCTGCCATGTCAAAGTTCATGTATTAATAGCAATAGGGATTCCCAGTGACATCTTAACAATGTCAAGGTCAACAAATAATGGCAGTTGGATTATTCATTATTCTGAGTCTAAATGGCCAATAGTTAAGCATTAATGTTTTAATCATACATATTTCTCTCATTTCTCGAGTTCAATTTATTTCTTCAATTTCTCCCATCCTTGAAGTTCAAGGTCGTTTATCTCATCCTTCATGGTTAACAATCATGGAGGTGACAACTATATAATAGTTATTTCATAGCAGCATTTCCAGTTTATCTGATTATACATCTATAACTCACCAATGAATCAATTTTGCCATCTTTCATGCGTATAAACTTTCCAGGGCTCATCATGCTCTCAAACATGCGAACACCTCCAGTAGAGATCTTGTGAACCCTGAACTGTGCCATTTTGTTTTGTTTTCCAGTAGCCTGCATGGTGTAGTCATGGTTGATTGTGATGGCTTGTGTAAAGGAGGAACACAGCATGATCACACCACGGTGACGAAACATTCCCTGTGTGCAAGGAATAAAATATAACAGTTATTTATTTGGTTACACAAAAAAATACCTTGTAGTATATCACTAACATAAGGGTAAACAAAATCTTCACGTCTGATTTGTTTATCCAGGGTGTTTCATATAATGAAGATTACTAGAATAACCTACCTTAGTGTAAACAAAGAATCTTCGAGTCGGGTCCTTATCAAGAATGCCTCGCACATCATCGGGTTGACCATCTTCACCAAATGTGACAAATTGTAGAGGATTCTTAATAGACTCCAGCATCACTGACCAGTCATTTTGGACACGTACCCGAAATTCACAATATGGTCCTCCCATACCCTGTCAATGAAATGTATTTTATTCAGAAATTGTCACTTCAACACAGTAGAAATCTACCCAAGATAATCTAAACACACAGCTAAATAACTTCTCCTACTCCAACACTATGACAATATTTTAACGCCTTCCTTGAGTAACATAACAGCCTACCTGTTGCAGAATTAGATGTTGGTTTATATCGATTACAGTTTCAACAAAATCTCACTGTATCAAGAATTGGCTACATGTGGCAATAACTACATACATAGACAACACAAATTATTACCTGCATGGTGATCTTGCCATTGTCGATGGCTAGGAAGTTCTTGGGTTTTGTTGCACTACTGAATGCTCTCACCATAGATTTTTTCTTCACAACCACATTGAACACTGCTGGAACACAAAATTCACCTTTTGTTACATACAACCATCTTAAGACTGAAATAATTACAGTGAAACATCAGTGCTACACCTAAGAAGTAATTGAAACATCTCCAAAACTTACCATCATTGTCTTGATCATCAGCTAGCGCATCAACTGTGAGGTTGGGTCTTATACGGACAGCTTTGTGTGTGACTAAACTGTAGAATTTGACCTTGCTGTCTTTCTGGAACTTCCACATCTCATACTCCCACTGCAATACAAACTCTCACGTCACTTGCTCTTTGCGTTAAAAAGAGTTACCTGCCCTTGACACAAGAAAGGCATCTTGACGAAGCCTTTCAAGGCCTGTATTAACATATGTATGTCTGTCCCAACCAAAGCCAAAAATTGACATGCAGCTGAAATGTTGACTAAACCATTTTTTATGCAAAAACCCAAGCAACCCTGAAAGACCCAGTAGGGTTACCTCCCCTTATCATACATCTCATGCTCACAAAGTAAATATTCATCCTACATATATCAACTAGCTACAATTGAATCATAAACAAATATGCATCAGTACCATAAAATCACTATCAAAATAAATGTGAAACATTACAATTCAAAATTTTTAACATAACCTCAAAAGTTAGTAGTTAAGTACAAAAGTTCAAAGTTAAACTTTGGTCATATAACATGGTTTGATGATATAATAGGAATTATCATCAATGTTACAACCTCACAAGACTACAGACTGCTATCTATAATGTCAAAAATATTGTAGGAGCTGCAATTTAGCAAACATTGAAATATATGCATATCATGTTGTCTTAAAGTGGATCTTACAAAACAGAACATGAGGAGATTGTGAAATTGACAACTCCTAATATATACAGTGAATGTTGGTAGTTTAACAATTACCAATACATTTCTAGACACTTGTTACAGAACCACAGCCACTGTGATACATTTCAATATTCTCAAAACTCTGTCCTGTTTTCATTTATCTAAGGTTCTATAAGAAGTGCATGTGCAGTATGTTTTGAGAATGTGCTGACAAAGACAAGTGTACATAGAGGTTAAATCACATGTATTGTTATAATCTTCGTCCTTTGAGCGACCCAAAGGCACATAATGATGCAAACACAAATGAAGCTTTGTTAAGATGAAAAAAGATGAGATACAGAAAGATACAGAAATGGAGAAAAGTAAAGGAAATCTTAGATGACAATTTGTATGTGATGACACAAGATGATTTACATCTAGTAGCAGAAGGATTAATATAAAACACTTAGTGGATTAATAACAGAGCAACAATAACATAAGTGCTAAAAAAATCACAAATGACATTGCTCCAGAGTACAATGCTCAATTAAAGGCTTACAGTGCAAAACATACCATATTAGGGCTATTGTAGTGTTCACAGCACATTAAACAACTTATTACAAATTACAAAGTGCAAAACAGATTATCAAGTAGAGAGTCCCAATGCTTTGTATACAGAGCTTGTAAGGTATTTTTCTATTTAAAACATGTACTTGGTGTTATTTTTGTCATATTGATACAAAGTAGATGACAGGCAAAGTGTTCATTCACTGCTGTAGTAAAGTGAAGTGAACAAATCCTTGTTAACATCAAAGATGTTAAGGATCGGTATAGTACAGAGTGTTCTTCACAATACAGACTGTTTGACTCCTTGTGTAGACATTGGCAAGAATTCCGAAGTGAAAAAAAAAATACCTTGAATTTCTCTTCCAGGAAGATTACCTAGACATTTGAGACACTCTACCTTAATGTAATACATTGTATAGATAAGATACATCATGGTGTATTTAGGATAACATCGTTTTTAATTTTACTTTTTTTCACATCAATTGATTAAAAAAATAGCATGAGTTAGGTGATTAAAGCCAAAAATTAGTTTCACTTCTCAGCACAGTGAATGGCTTATGTACAACAAAGTTTGACCATGTCACAAGTGAGTGTTTGCAGCATGAAGCAGTGTCTAAAGCAGACAGATAATATCTTCATAACAAGTTTAAATATAACCAGTTTATAATTACAAAGAATTTCAAAGGAAAAACCATTTGGAAGTATTAGATACCCATAATAACTTACATTTCTATACATATTCAGATCACATGTACCCATTTAATGGTTTACGATATCAGAGCTGACGTACTAAACAGCTAAACATCACAAAAATACACTATATTATGATACTCTAAGGAAGTATGTAATGCACTCACAAACATAAGATACTAGACAGAAATTCAGTCATTCTAGATATTACAAATCAATTTTATACTCAAACCAAACATTTAAATCATCATCTTCTGCTTTGTCGCTGATCTCACTCACATTTCGTTTTTCTAGTATGTCATCCATGTATTCTTCCTGAACTTTCAGCTCTCTCACAATTTTCCCATCATCTTCTCCTTCATCTAACCACCTAAAACATAACAGAAAGGTAAACATTTTACGTAAGCCAGAATGTACAAACAGGAAGATCACCTAATCTAAAACATAACATTTACACCATGATTAAGATGAAGGATACTACTGAATCAGTTCTGAAGAAGAGTTCCAGTTTTGAGCAGTTTTTTTTTCTAACATATAATAATGCCTCATTGATGTGAAAGTAAAGGAAGAAAAAATGATATTTTTGGCTGAGAATTATGTGCACTGTCAAGGAATCTTTGATTGCTTTGTGTAAGCAGTTGAATTTTTTGATTGACTGAACCTGAGAACAACACCATGAGAGGCTGATCTGGGGATATATGGAAAGTAGTTTGAGGGAGTTAGTTGTACCTGTTATTAAAAACTAACCAGCTGAATATTATTTGCTTTCAGGGTTTCTGCATAAAATAGGGTCTGAAAATGTTATGATATTCAGAAGGGGTTAAAATGACACGAGTTTTATCATTGGTTTATTGTTTAACATTTGACAAGAAATTCTGAAACTGTGTTGTGATCTTTACATGTTATATTTCCAACATACGGTACAAGTGTATTTGTTTATCATGGAATAGTTCTGTACAGCCTGAACAATTCCAATTGGGTTACACAATAGTGACCCATTTTTTCTCTTGACAGTGGATATATATACACAACTCTTTATCTGATAACTCCAGAATACAAAATATTCATTATAACGGTAAATGATTGGCTATATAAATGTTCCTTTCCTGTAGTTTTATTTTTTCACTCTTTACGTAATTATTTGTTTTTAAATACTCCAATTGCAAATTACTATCATTCAGTAAAATGCAATGTAAGACATATTTCACATGTCACTTTATTTTTATGTTTAATATATTTCTGTATTGACTTTCTACATCAGCAAAACAAATGAAAATAAAATTACCCCAAATATCTGATAAGATAAACATATGTAGTCAGTATTGCCTGTATCTTCTACTACAATACTACTATATAAATTTCATATAAGTTATAAACAGCCTTCATCTATAGTAGACTATACAGATGTCTTTTACTTAGTAGTACACAGGTAAGTTTAATTCATATATCAATATAAATTATTTCTATTTTACATAAAAGTGTGACTTACTTTCCACAGTAGAAGGAGTAGTCATCTGTGGCCTTGCTATTTGGTTCCCTGATCACAACTTTCTCCAAAAACCAGCCATTTCCTAAACACAAGAAATACCAAAAAACATTACAAACTACTAATAGCAAACATATACAATTTTAGTACAATACACACACATAAAGTATTGTGCACCTTTGATGAAAACAACAACAAAAATAGGGGGGGGGGGAATTTCTTCAACCAATCTTCTGCAAAAAATCATAAGCCTCAGCACTTTCCCTAATTTACTAATATATCTAAAAATTAATGCCGACAAATTTAAGTTTTACAGTATTTCATTTTGCTTGATTATGAAAAGTTTTTTTGAAAACTGGTTAATGTTATTTCCTTTACTATGTATGTATTTATAGTCCTAAATACTGACCAGAGCCTGTTCCGTCGTGGCCAATAATGACCCTTTTTAGACGTCCAAGGCTGACTGCCTCCACTGTAAACCTATCCTCCTGCAACGCAACACCAAGTTTTAAAGTATGAAAACATCTACTACAAAGGGTCATTTAATAAATCTATGATGTTATCATGAAATACCATTTTCCAGTTAAAAAAGAAATGGATATAATTTGTTTCACATGATAGAGTATAAAATAGGGTCTATTAGTCTACAAATCACTTACCTGGCCTTGTCGAAACACTGAGGTCTTGGCTTCAGCAAACAGCTGCCTTACACCTGTATCTCCTCGATCACCATATATGGTCATGTACACATTTGCATCTGTCCCAGCATTCCACAGACTTCCTGTGTGTATATACACTTCGTATCGTATTACTACAAAAGGAAAATAGAAATATCAGTATCAGTCAAAATAAGTTGTAAAAATTTTAAGTCTGTCTCAATTGGTCAATTTTTCATTTCTATTCATTTCCTTTCCTCCTGCCTAGATGACGTGAATACCCTATATTATATGAGATTTGACCTTTTTTCTCTCTTACTTTTACAGGTTCAAAGAGAAATAAATGACCTCTAGTGTATGAGGTTTTACTTTAAATTCACCTTTGACCTTATGACTTTCCAATGCCCCGATGGAACTGTAAAACTGAACTGTGATCTGATTCTCTTTTTGCCCTATACAGCTTTCCACTTTTGACAGTATGGTACAGATTTGTCCACACACCTGGTAGTATGGGCTCCCTCTTACGCACAGCAGGCATTTCTCGACAGATCTCCATGTCATCCTCGTCTCGAGCCATCCACCTGTGACACTCAAATCTCAGCTCTTCACCACTGTGTGTGTCCATCATTTTTACCTGATATCAAACATTGAACAAGGATTTATCATTATATACAAGATTTATTACAACCAAATATTTTCACGTTCATTTTTTTAGTTCACACCTAAAGTCTTTTTGTATTATATATCTCATTTAATAATTTTTTCAAATCTATACTTGAAAAGACAAAGTTTACTAGTAATTTTGAATTTCTTATTTACTAAGTTTCAAAACAGTAGATTGAAAAGAAAATACATTACAAAAATATAAAAAATCTCTAGAAACTCTATTGGTTTTTTTTTAATCTTACATTTAATATCTGTAACTAACCTCATCGCAGAGCCATCCTGGGTTGTCTCCAGAGTTGTCATGTCCAATGCGAATCTTGTATATCTCTCCTATTGATCCTACAGACACCTATAGAATGAAGTCGCACATACCATTATAATTCTTACTATGATCCTACAGACACCTATAGAATGAGGTCACACATTCTATTACAATTCCTACTATGATCCTACAGACACCTATAGAATGAAGTCGCACATACCATTATAATTCTTACTATGATCCTACAGACACCTATAGAATGAGGTCACACATTCTATTACAATTCCTACTATGATCCTACAGGCAGCTGTAGAATGAGGTCACACATTCTATTACAATTCCTACTATGATCCTACAGGCAGCTGTAGAATGAGGTCGTACATACCATTATAATTCCTACTATGATCCTACAGACACCTGTAGAATGAGGTCACACATTCTATTACAATTCCTACTATGATCCTACAGGCAGCTGTAGAATGAGGTCATACATACCATTATAATTCCTACTATGATCCTACAGGCAGCTGTAGAATGAAGTCGCACATACCATTATAATTCCTACTATGATCCTACAGACACCTATAGAATGAGATCACACATTCTATTACAATTGTGGGAGTTTTTTGTTAAATTTGGATAAAAAATAATTTATGTAGGAAGCTCGTGTGTAAATAGCAAATGTTAAAAATTATGCGAAAATATTTGATAAATCTAAAACTTCCCAATAAAAAGAAGTGAATCTTATGTTTCATCAGCTATATAAGTAAATGTCATTGCATGCTTTGACCTTTAAATATCTAATAAAACAAAAGACTAATAATTTCACATGTTTGCTAAACAATTCAACTTTCCAGTCATTGAGCACAATAATCTATATTCATGTTCTTTAAAAGTCTCAGGAAGGTAACTTAACTGACCATTTGTAAATATGACCAACAAAATAATTGTATTGCTTTTTTCCTTCCTTCTTCCATTTCAACCCTCCTTATGTTTTCAGCCAATTTTAGACACTGTTAAGCCCAAGACTGTGCTTCCATATAAATTTTATTGAAAAGTATTAATCACTGAAGCATCTGTTGTACTACAACCTTGGATAATAAAACCTTCATTAATCATAATGAAATAATGATATGATCCAGGTTTTCTACTTGCCAAAACTTCCTCAGCAGAAAACAAATAAGGATGAAAGTTCATTGAATCCTACATTTATTGTTTCTTTCATTATGTAGCAGTTCTATAAAAGGTTTTTAGGCTAAACGTACTCAGTACGAATAGCCTATTGTTATTTTCTGTGGAAAAAATTTCAGTCATTTTTTTCTTTTGATGTTTTCCCTTATTGTGATAAAAATGATGTACATGAATGAGTTCATTTTTACATATGTTACTGAATGTGTATGTTTACAGAACACATTTGCTTTACTGAAATTAAGTGAAAAAACTCTCCCTCCCACTTATATTCCTTTTTAGATGATTGAATAAGGAAACCAGGTCTATTTGTAATATGATAATGTGACTAAGCATTGTTTGACTAATCTATTTAATCAATAATGGCTCATTTGACTAAATCAAGAGTTTCCATGAATAACCCCAACATACAAATTTTCAGGTGTTATTGATATAATAGAAGAATTGATCCCAGGAACAATTTTACAATACCATCAATTTTATACTGTAGTACTGTTAGATATTTTTCAGTTATCAAGGTTAGAGATATTTCACAACATCAAATTTCAAGCAATTTATTCTTCAGCTATAAACAGGACAGCATTTTTTGATAAACAGTAAAATCTATGTTGCATATTTGCAATCCTTAACGATCACAAACAAAGTGAAATTAAACCCTCCACAAAGATTACCAAATATACAAAAACTGATCATCACCTCTTGGAGGAAGGCTGATCAAACAATCAATCTTTTAGCTTTTCCCCAACAATAGTAGTCCCCATACATACATCAAATGTATCCATGTTCCCACTTTTAAATTGGGTGCCATCTCCATTTCCAAGAGCAATGGGTCCAGAATTTCCCTTGTGTCCATACACAGTCAGCGTTACTTGAGCTGGTGTTCCAGTAGACGGGTGTTTGTTGGTCTGGACTAGGACCTTCCATTTACCCTCTGAAAACGGCAATGTATGGTTATGGTTATTTGTTAACATATAGAGGGGTAACAGGTTTGTCAAATAAACTACATGTATTCAGTTGTCTGGTTGTCAGAGTAAGTCAAGTAATCTTGAGTATGTGAATTCTCACTTGTGCTCAATCTTAACACTGAAGTGGTTGGCAAAATATTTTGCAGAACATTAATCTTAAATGTTATACAATACATTGTATTTTCAAACTCTTTATACTCTTCTTTCTACAAAGTCTTTACAGTTCATGCTGGCCATCACATATGAGAGACCCACAATGCTGGTGAATGTCCAGCACTCGATCATATGTTGCCACGGAGACAAATGCTAACCAATTACTATTGGGTACTCTTAAATCACCTGTTGTCACAGATACAGTACCATTGGGTCCCCACCATTCACCAATGCAGTGATAAAATACTGATTTAATCTTACAACCCCTTTGGGATGAAATAGGGTGATCTCAACTAGCAGGTGAAAGATTTTAAAGTAGGAAACATGAGGTTTGCAAAGTGATATAATATTACATTTTGATTTTGATGAATACCAATTGAATACAGACCACCAAGAACCTATCTACATAACCTGATTCTCCCAAATGTACAACTCATTTGTTTACTTTGAAATTCTAAAATAATACTTACGAGTTTTCTTTAATCTCTCTCTTCGTTCTTGCATTTTCCTGGCAATCATGTCAGACCCTCCTCGAGTGCTGAGGCCCCCACGAGAAAAGGCGAGTCTGGACTGTCGAGGTGTGAATGAAACCCCCTCCATGTGACGGAATGGTTCTTTACCTCCTACTATCATTACATCTGGGCCGTTCATCAATTGCTGTAAATTCCGTATCTGTTAAAATTTATCAAACCATAATGATCAGGAGGAAAAGGGCATCATTTGCTGCAAATATTGAGTAGTATTGTTACAAATCTCATCATCAGGATCCATTAGAGTATGTAAACAATTCTTTTATTAGCAATCTCACATTTATTTATGGAACAATGAAAGAGTAAATGTAACATGGACTTTGATTTATAGGTATTACCCATGAAAATCTGATATTCTGCCAACACTAACAGTTTAAGAAATCAAAATTAAGTTGCCTGTTCAGTGATGTTAATGCATCGATTTGTATAAGTGTTCTTTAGTAAATACAAACCTCCTTTCCATCAATGGTGTAAATTCTCATGGCTGAACATTTCACTACATCTCCCATGTCATCTCGCACTTGGTCAAATGTCTGGGCAGTCTTTCTGTTAAATATCATGACATGACGATTTGTTGGGTCTCCATTCCTCATAATGGTAACTTTTTTAGGCATGGAATAATAATAAGCATATGCCATCTGAGGGTCTCGTTTTCCTGTTTTTCTCACTTTACTTTCTCGTAACCGAGAGTCCCTCACCAGACGGTTATATGCCCTACGTCCACTTGGAGGACGAGTTGAGTGCCACATTTCACGGTTATCTAGTCTGTCTAAATCCAAACCTTTCAGTGTATGTCGCTTAGTTGAACAGATGTATTTTTGCTCATTCGTCAACTGATCGAAACTTTCAACTCTGTTTTTTCCTCGTGGTGTGAAAATGCTTCTAACACCATAGTTTAAACCTGGCATTCTTTTTGTTAATTCACTAAAGAGGGAATCAAATCTCTTGTATTTACGGTCACTGACTGCTACTTTCAATGACTTGAAAGTGTAATCATCATCTTTGTAGAAGTAACATATTTTTGCTTGTGTTGGGGCAGTCAAAGATGTGCGACTGTGATGAATTTGATCTTTACGATTCCTTCCCTCCTCCACACTCTGTGAATCTGATTCAAACAAAGGTTTGAGCTTGCGTGTTTTTGGTTTGACTATTCGAAACTGCTTCCTTTCCTCCTTTGTATTCTGGGAGGTAGGGTCCAACTCCTCCCTCCCTTTGGAGTCCATGGTATCAGTGTCTGCCATTAGTTTGGAACTCTTCCAGTCATCCACCTAAATGTATATCAACAAACATATTAACTTCATAATAGACATTTCATGAAGTTCATAATAACAGGGTTACCTATTAATGTTCATGTCTTTATATAAAGCCTTATTATGACCATATTTAGACTCTAAAGACATGGAGTCCTTTATTTATAAAGGATACAAGCTATTGAGTCAAACAACACACCACAAAAATGTAGTATGATCTCAAGGATAAATCAAACAGTGAAACGCTTCAAATTCTAGAATCACTATCCCCCAAATACATACACATAGAAGGAGTGATATTATCCAAATACCGTCTACTGAATGGTGTAGACAATCTTTGCGATAAACAATGATGTATAACCCAAAGCAGAGGCCACAGCATGACATTGATTAATCGAGGCTAAACATCAGGAAAATTATAATTTTTTTTATACAGGATGTAGATGAATGGAACACTTGTCAAAGGATTTTAAGAATTCAAATACATAAAATCAGGATTAATCCATAATTGAAAGATATTGAAACATAGATCAATCCAAGCTGGTTCAATGATTCATTGTTTATTCGGCTAAAAATGGACAAATATAATATGGCATAATTGTACATCTTCTTTTGCATTCCTAATATCAAGTAACAGGTACCTTAATTCCCCTTACGATTTACACAGACAGATCGTTATGCTATTCGGTAAACAAGAAAAACAAGTGCATTTACGCATTTAAGGAAACATTCAACCATCAGTGTCTCACTTTTTAAAACGAGATCTGGAAAAATGAACTTGTTCAACATGTATTGCGTTTCGCGGGCATGCACATTTTTGTTCACTGACAACATTATGTGAATTAGTTAAAGAAGAAATTCTGTTAACACGCGCGATAGAACTAATCTAGAGGTTGGCAGTGCATCTCTATCTTTAGTTTTACCTTGTCTGAAGTAGGATGACATTTCCTTGTTGTTTACTATCGTTACTGGAAAGTAATCCACATGAAGCAGGCGGTTAATCTCGTTTCTAATCACGTGATTTTGTTTTACAATAGATCGGCAAACAATTATTTTCTGTTATTTGTCCATTCATAACGTCAATTTTGTTTTTTCAAATTTCCATTTTTGCCATGTTGAAAATATGAAGTATACTATGATCTATGTTTCGCATTATCTTGCAAATAATGTAGTTAACAAAGTCGAGATTTTACGAGAATCGCGTTAAAAGCTTGGTAGCAACAAAATGGCGGCGATTCTGTCAACAACTGCTGCACAGCACGTCGCAAGTCTTTCGGTATGTTGACTGCTTCGCATGAGCATTTTGGCTGAAACAAATCACCTTCATCTTAAAATGAAACTTCTATTTTATTTCTCTGAATATATTTAGTGCCAAACAATTTATCATGCGTGTTAACCACATTCATATGCGTCGAAAGCGAAAGTTGATCGTGCTATCGAAGAAAATGTGTATGACACCTAAATTTACGTTACGCCAAATATTGATTTGATGCAATTATTTACATTTATAATTGAAAAATGAAAGTCGTCGTATGAAATATATCAAATTTTGTTTTGTCTGTTTTTTTCTGATTTTTTTTTCCAAAGATCGGAAAATTGTGTAGTAGTCATATTTTCTGCCAAGTAGTTGTATTGTCTCGACATCGATTCCGGACCGTTATGTGTTTGTATATATAGTTGAAAAAATAGCATGGGTTCTCAGTAGCGGTAAAACTGTACAAAAACAACGTTTATACATGCTTTTAATATACCCAGTTTCATCATATCAATAACTATACACTTTCTATTTGTGACAGGTTTTAATTTATATAGAGGTATGGTAGCATTTTAGCTTCATGCTAGAGGGAAATTCCATTTAGCTAAGCCAGGGGTCAAAGGTGTGACCCACGGTGGGGATACAGTAATCTTTCCTGCTAAATTTGATTCAGTACACCAATCAAGTACATGCTAGGAGAGTGAAAGGCTTTGTTGGAGGGGCTATATAACCTGGGTTGATGCAGTGTTCGTGGGCAAACACATTGCAAGGAGGGATGCAAACATTGCTAGATAATTATTCTAAGATTAAAAGTGTTGACATAATATTGTAGTTTGCTTTTAGTTAAGTTAAAAATATGTATGATTGATGCTTCCCATGGCCATTTATGTAATTATACTAAAATAGGATAACTATTTAAAAAAATCCTTCCTAGATACAAAGCTATATTATATTAAACCATGTGGCATTTCTATTTATTTATTTTTCTTCAGAAAGAAAAAGGGAAGCAAAGTCTCCTAAAACACTTAGGATGGCAGCCCTTCAATGCAGAGCTGGCTATGCGCCATGATATCCATTTGGATTTCCTTTATGAGTGCCTTATGTTTGCTGTTGAGAAGGGCTTTTCCTGGGACCAGGTGTGTGCAGCTGTGGACTTCTCCGAACAACTGTTACAGGAATCTATAGGTATGCAAGGATGATTAAGATTTACATTGACATGACATTGTTACTCTTAAGACTATATAAATATACAAACCTAATGACATGGATCACCTGTCATTTTATTATGAATTGCTATGTTAAAGTTGTCAAAATTTAAATGATTGTTCCTTTTTAATGATCATGGTAGGTAAAAATTGAACAAGGATCTGCATAGGATAGCAAAGTGTGTAAAATGTATTAATGAAATCATAAAACTGCACTTCTGCGCCATTTACAGTCAACATCAATGACACTGAGCTTTGCTGGTAAATATAACATGTTTTAGTGTGTAATGTGATGTTTGTTATCTAATTTAACAGTAAAATCTTAGGTAGGTCAGTTCGATTCTGACTGACATATTGACTGTTAAACTAATTCCTTCACAACATCAAATGTTACTTTTACAAGTAATAGAGCATAAAGAGGTTTGATTGCTGAACTGATATTTACTAAATTCTTTACTTCAATAGCTAAAAAATAAATTCTTTAATTTTTATTTTGTTTTGTTTGATTCTGATATATCGTCTTCAATATTCCAGGTAAAAGTCTTCCAGATACATTGGAAATATTCAAACAGAAATCAGAAGAACTGGGCTTTGTTTTAGCTACAAGAAATTACAAAGTTTATGCAGAGTATGTGTTTTTGACATTCATGAGGCAATACAGATTATTCCAATATGTATTTACACATGATCGTGAGAGTCGGGTACCCAATGTCCAACTAGAGATTCATACACCTCCATCATCGTGCTCAGAAGCCTTAAAGACAGCCAAAGAAAAACGTATTTGGGAATATAATCAGAAGTATGAAGCAGTACAACAAAGGGAGAGAGATTGTGCGGAGCAGAGGGCTGCTAAGCGGGAGATTCAGGCTGCAGAAGCTGGTAAACAGAAAGAGCAGATGATGAAAAAAATTACAGAAAGTCAGGAACAACAGCCATTAAATAAAGAGGTAGAGTAGAAATAAAATAACTTTTTGGAAGATTTGTTTAAACTGATTCTTTGCTTTTAACAAGAAAATTGCAGTGCAGAACGACATATGCCCTTCCCTTACTGAAGAGAAACACATTATTGTATCTCAATGAATAGAACTGCACAATTTCATGTCACTATAATAAAATCTACCAATTTATGCAATATCTGTTGTAAACTAAGTGAGGGGATATATCAAGAGATCAACAAAAGCTGGAAAAAACAAAGGGCAATAACTCTTCCAAAACTCCTTGAGTCAAAATAACATAGTGGAAACAGTGATATATATTTAAGTGAAAAAGTGTAACAAGTTGGAAAGAGATCAGTCAGAAACTTCAAGAGATCTACAGAAAAGATGAAAATAGTGATAGAATAAAAAAAGAAATAAAAGACAATAAAAAGAACTTGCAATCTATCGAATCAAAACGAAAGAGTGGGGAGGGGCGGGAACCCCATAGAAATACCTAAACAAAAAGTTGTTCAATCAGCTGTCATTCAAGAATTCACAACTTCATGTCATGATAATCAAGCCTACCAAAATAGAAACAGAACTATGGAAGAACTCCATACAAATTAAAGCTTACACTGAATGAGGGACTATGCCTTACCATGATACATGTACTAGTGCATCCTGTCAAAATTTTTGACATGCATATGAAAGTAAATATCATATTGAATTTTTCTCTTTGAATAAAGTTTCAAAAGAAAATGCTGTTAAAATGGATTGCAGTTTCAAATTTTCACTAATTCCTTTAACTTTTTTTGTTGATTGTAGAAAGTAGGAGAAATAATCCGAGAGGTTTTACAAGCACATACCAGTGCATTGTTGGATAAGATGAAAAACAACATAAACGACATGAAAGAGGATCTGGAACTTAAGCTGGAGAAGACAAGCATTCCTCGTCCTGCTAACATGGGTAAGTCTGGAAAAGGAACAACCCTCCTAATCTTTGCATAATTTAAACCCACAAGAAAGAAATCAGAAATATCTCACATAGATAATGTAATCATTTACCTATGTTATATTGGCAATCACACTTTGGACTTTAAATTTCTCCAAAAAACCCAGTGTACATTATATGGGTTTTTGCAGTATTTAATTTGATGCTATCAATATTTATTGACTTATATACTCTGTAATCTCAGCTAGCTACTATTGCATAACCTGTAAGTTTTAACATTCTCCTGCATTTTGTGCTATATAATGAAATATTCATAGCCATGAGGTATACACATATATGTTATCTGTTACAAATGTTTAATCGATATCAAGTTTATCTTCCTCAAATCAATGTTTCTCCTAATTTTTAGTCTATTAAATACAAGAAAACGTTCACAGCAGTTTATCTTTCACCTGTTTCACCCTTTTTGCAATAAAATAAAATTTGAGCTAAGTTTGAATTTCAGTGGAAACATGTTTATATGTACTCATATGTAAGGGTGAATTTGACATTGGGTCAAAATGAAAAGTTTTATGCAAAGGTGAATGTTTCCCTGTGTACAATGTATGTAAATCCACCACTCTCTATCATTAGACTAGGTAGCTCTCTCTGTGAACAGGAACCCCCTCAATCATCAGGAACTTTTATAGACATAATTATCACCATCTTGATGACCCCCTTGTCCTTCAAGGACTTGTATTGGCTTAGATTGTCACCCACAGGGAAACCCCCGTAACATTCAGGGTTTTGTTCTGACATAGTTTGTCACCCACAGGGAAACCCCCTTGTCCTTCAAGGACTTGTATTGGCTTAGATTGTCACCCACAAGGAAACCCCCGTAACATTCAGGGTTTTGTTCTGACATAGTTTGTCACCCACAGGGAAACCCCCGTAACATTCAGGGACTTGATCTGATATAGTTTGTCACCCACAGGGAAACCCCCGTAACATTCAGGGACTTGTTCTGATATAGTTTGTCACCCACAGGGAAACCCGGTAACATTCAGGGACTTGTTCTGATATAGTTTGTCACCCACAGGGAAACCCCGTAACATTCAGGGTTTTGTTCTGACATAGTTTGTCACCCACAGGGAAACCCCCGTAACATTCAGGGACTTGTTCTGATATAGTTTGTCACCCACAGGGAAACCCACTTACCATTCAGGGACTTGTTCTGATATAGTTTGTCACCCACAGGGAAACCCCCGTAACATTCAGGGACTTGTTCTGATATAGTTTTGTCACCCACAGGGAAACCCACTTACCATTCAGGGACTTGTTCTGATACAGTTTTGTCACCCACAGGGAAACCCCCGTAACATTCAGGGACTTGATCTGATATAGTTTGTCACCCACAAGGAAACCCCCGTAACATTCAGGGACTTGTTCTAATATAGTTTGTCACCCACAGGGAAACCCCGTAACATTCAGGGACTTGTTCTGATATAGTTTGTCACCCACAGGGAAACCCCGTAACATTCAGGGACTTGTTCTGATATAGTTTTGTCACCCACAGGGAAACCCCCGTAACATTCAGGGACTTGATCTGATATAGTTTGTCACCCACAGGGAAACCCCCGTAACATTCAGGGACTTGTTCTGATATAGTTTGTCACCCACAGGGAAACCCCGTAACATTCAGGGACTTGTTCTGATATAGTTTTCACCCACAGGGAAACCCCCGTAACATTCAGGGACTTGTTCTGATATAGTTTTGTCACCCACAGGGAAACCCCCGTAACATTCAGGGACTTGTTCTGATATAGTTTTGTCACCCACAGGGAAACCCACTTACCATTCAGGGACTTGTTCTGATATAGTTTTGTCACCCACAGGGAAACCCCCGTAACATTCAGGGACTTGTTCTGATATAGTTTTGTCACCCACAGGGAAACCCACTTACCATTCAGGGACTTGTTCTGATATAGTTTGTCACCTATATGACTACCCACTTACCATTCAGGGACTTGTTCTGATAAAGTTTGTCACCTATATGACTACCCCCTTAAGCTCTAGAGACTTGTATGACCATAGTTGATTTTCTAACTTAGCAACCTCCTTAACCTTTTGGAAATTGTATGAATATATGTCACCCACGTTAACCTCTACCATCAAAAACTGATTTGATTACAATTCCTTCCCCTCAGACATCCCTCAACATTTAAGGAAAGGTATAGACTAGATCTGCAAGAATTCATTTCCCATTTTAATCCTCATATGTTTTTTTTTTTTTTTTTTTTTGCAAAATAAGCCCTCCTGAATATGGATGCTCCACACTAAGTTTCATTAAAGAACATCAATGTTTACTGGAGGAGTAGGATTTCTTTGATTTCCCTCACATAATCCCATCCCACTTTCCATTTCTAACAGTTATATATATCTATAGAGGAGAATTTTAAGTCTACACTTTTGGGCAGGTTGACAAAATTCAAATAGATCATGGTAAATGTAGTTGGGGAGCATGAAGTTCACAAGAATATCAGATTTCAGTTAAGCTTTGGCCATTTCGCATTGTTATAAAACAGGTGGAGTGTATGAATTTATTAGCTTGACTGTGTCAATGAATTTTGATGATCGTTGTTCGTTTTAAGACCTACTTGTAGATGACGAGGAGATGTAAGTATTTCAATAATCTCACAGCCATTTATACAGAATTTGTTGATGTTTTTTGTTTTTGCTACAATAGAAGCAAATGCACTGGTTTGTTTCTGGATAACAGGCGACATTGACCAGGGCTATTATATATACAAAACACATGGTATATCTTATTGTATGTGTATAACAAACTGTTGGGGAAATATGTGTATTATGTAGCCATCTATATATATTCTCTATGTCATAATGTATACACAGATATGTGATCATGTATATTTCTAATTGGTACATTTTCAGATTAACAATCAGTATTCAGGAAAGTATGTTTAAGAGTGATATTAACAATTTGGGTATTCAGTAAAGTTATCATTCACATTAGTAATCAGAAGTCTAATTGTAACAATTACTGATACAGTAACAATGATAAACATATGTTGACTGAGGTTGAGTACAAAAATTGTTGTCAAATCCAAGGCTGATATCCTAGTCAAAAATAGCAAGAAAAACACCCTGAAAAAAGATTGTCCTGTATGTTACAATTGTCAAATAATTAATCACAAAATCTAATGATTATTGATGACATAAATGTAACTCGGATCATGAATGGCTACCAATTTCAGCATTTCACTATTATTAACCAATTTTCAAATCTGATGACCAAGGTAAAACACCATGGTTTTGATTGAGAGGTTTAGAAGTTTAAGCACTTCCAAACAAACTGGACAAATCTAGTTTTGAAATTTTATATGCATACATTACGAGTAATTTCCTTTGTAATGTTTTTTTCACAATTTGCTTCCATGTTCATGTCAACACATCAGAAAACAGTTAAATTTTGTTTAAAGTATAAAGATGACATTTTCATAAAATATTGATGGATATAAGTTGTGTTTTGGTGTGAAATTTGACTGCTTCATTGATTTGTTTGCCATAAGGTTTGCTGTGAATTTAAGATCTCGCCATGATAGTGGATAATGGCACCACACACAACATTTACGTTATAGGATGGTGAATTTCTTCAATGGCATTTGATGTAACAATTTTATTCTAGAGTGATAATTAATAATTCTTTTGTCATTTTCTTACACAATTTTAACTTTATAGAGTGACAAAACACAAAGCCCAATAATACAAGTACTATGATACCAAAGCAGGAATGGGAGAATGTGTTTTACTAAAATTCTCATTTATATAGAAAAAACAGTTGGTAGATAGGTACAGAACAACACGCTAATACAAATGTTGTTTTGATCAGTAAACAAGAAGGTAACATGATAAATCCATTCCATGTCACAATGGTAAAGGTGGATCATGTCAATCGAGATTTACTACAGAAATACATACTGACATTGAATACATATATATTGCATGAAAAATTATATTACACAACATTTAATTACAAAGCATGCTTTACTTTTTCATCACTCATGATTTTATTTTAGTCAGTGCTTTCAAACATCTAAAGCATTGTTAGCTTCATGTACATCCAACAAACATATCATGACAAAAACTAAGGTATCGAAGAGGAAAACAGGTGTAATTTGTGTAATGTAGTGTGAGATAAATCTTCTGTAGTCATTATTGGCTGCTATCAAATTCTGCTTATCAAAGTTATAAAGTTATTTGAGTTTTAAAGGCAATACATATCCTTTAGCCAAGTTTAAACTCCAGTTACATATATATATACTATCCTCAACGGAGCGAAATTTAACTATAGATTTAACTCAACAAACATGCATCAGTTACTAAAGTATGTTGAAATCAAGATCTTTGCCCATTTTCTATTCATTTGAAATCACTTAGCCTGATTTTTTTCTTGTCTGAATCAAATTTTTTGCGGCTAATTTCATTCAAAGTCATTGTAATGGTAGAAGACTAATCTTGTCAAGTATCTCTTACAGGCCAGCCTCCAAGATTCAACACGAAACCGAAAACACCAGCAGTGACTCCTGTGAGGAAACCTAAAAGTCCTAAGGAAGACCGAAAAAAGTCAGCAGGGTCTAGTAGAAGCAGGAGTAGGGCCTCCAAATCCTGATACCATCTCCCAACGAAAGACAGGATTTAAGATATGCTCACAACAAATGTAGATATTCTGTAATAAATGTTGCAATACAGACTTTATTCAGTCATTTTGTGATGAACGATGGATCACAAATCGTGCTTGGTTGACATTTCAAAATCATATTTCAATTAATGAAAATTAGGTTACCACCTACATTTGAGATGCTTGTGCTTAGGTGGGCTCATCCATTTTTACATTTAGTTTCTGCAAGGAACAATAAGTCTGAATGGGATTTTCTAGAAGATTGTTTTCGCTTTCTAGAAAATTAACATAGTTCAGACTAACCACCAATAAAACATTCTCTGATTTTAACAATTCCTAACATGTATTTGAAAAGCAGCAGATTTGTGTGTCGGTCATTCAAGTTGAATTGGATAATACATGTCCATTGTCAGGGGTGATTTATGTGTCTGTGAATGCTATATTTATATAGCCTAAATTGTTAAAATTACATGTCATAAACTATTCCAAATATTTTTTGTATTTTGTAGTTAGCAATATCATAAAACTTCAATACATTATGAAAATGCATACAGGAAGTTTACACAATATTTCATAATTTGTTGATAGTTTCCGATTAATTATTCTACAAGAAAGTTTTTTTTTAATACTTTTGGCTTGTGAATTCTGAGAAATAAACAAGATTTGATGCCTCTATGGACCCGTCACATTTCTCCTGCATCCAACAAGCTACAAGTCAGATTAAATGTGATTTCAATAGGTTGGGGTATGAGAGGTGTAAGAGTAATGCCTTGTCAAAAACAGTATATTCTTGAAGATTGTTAAATTTTATCAAATGTGGTAACTTGCTGGACGTTTTTCTGACATTACAGAACAAATCCAGTGACAAGCACATGCTTAGTAATAACCCCACCCACATTTATTGTGGTTTCAACAAAACTATTAGCAACACTATATCATTGCTTAAATAGCCCTTTATAAGCGCAATTCCTGACTTTGAGATGAAGATAATGTGTTGACTTGTGTGCTTATTGCAAGATATCAATGGTACACAGTTGTATGATTTTTTTTTTTTACAAATAAAACAGACCCAACACTTATGTAGATGTTCTGTTGCCATGTTTTGTTAATAAATGGTTTTATATCAACCAGTGTATTCATGTTGTTTCCTGTTGTTTCGGATACAGACTTATGATACTGAAACTGAATATATCTAGTTATGGAGAGGTTTTGCTAAAGAATAAGGAAAGTTGGCTAATATCACCAAACATCGAACCATTATGTGATATTGGGTAAAGGAAGAGATGGCTAGACAGAAATAAAATCTTAAGTACATGAATGAAAATAAAGACAAGATATTGTATCCAGATGAAAAATTTATTCATGATCCAATAATCACCACTGTGTTCGAAATGGATCTTGCTGATAGGAACATTATCCATCTTCCAAATTAATTTTCCGTTGTGTTGAGATTTAGGCATGGCAGACCTTTTCAGTGTCCAGAGCACTTTTTGAATATAAATAAACAGTCAATTTCCAAGTTTTAACGTTCCACTAGTGTTAATAATCAAACCTGAACTCAAAGTAGCTTGGATCAAAATGATGAACTCGTACATATCCGTCTTCTCCTCCGCTGCTATAGCTGTAAGAGATACAGTATTAGAATCAGGGGAGGTAAAAAATCAACAGGGTAACACACATTCCAAGCTTATTTTCACAAGGACTGTGCCTCGCTTTACAAAGACTGGTAGATATCCATCTGCAGTTGGTATTTAAAATGGCTACTACTCCAGTAATGTCTGCTGCACTCGGATCACAGGAAATGTTTCTAATCAAACTCGCTTTCTGTTATACCATGATGTAATTCTGATGTTCTTGATTTGCAAAGGCTTGTAATGGACTCAAAAGAAGTCTCAGTCTAAATAAATTTGACGACATTCATAAGATCTTTTCAACTATAAATAATAAATCTTTTCAATATATCATCATAATTCAAACATGTTTATTAACTACCAGTCTTTGTATGGCGTAGCCCCAGCAGACCAGTGCACATGTTGATACATATAATTTAGGAAGATAACACAAAAGCAATAACACACACAGTGGAATATAATAATCCATGATATTCTTATATCTATTTGACCATTATAAGGACAAATAATCATTGCACGTCCTCAAAAATCCCTTCTAGAAAAATAGTATTGATTACATTGATGGTACTTGCGTTTGTCAAAAACACCTACCTTTTTCCATCTGGATGAAATGATAAACTGTTGATTGGACCGAAGTGACCTTTAACTCTGCCAAATTCCTCTTCAAAGACAAGGTGATAGAAGCGAGCATCAAATTTGCCTACCCTTGATGAAGTTGTAGTGACTTCCATAGCTTCCTGTCCACCTCCAAGTACCACCTGGCATTGTTATACAGAAAGAAAGGTTTTATCAGAATACAGAAAGCTACATCAATAAGTAAAGACAAAAATATTGCATCAGGAAACATGAGGATACAGACAGAAAGATGACATCATGATACTGACAGAAAGATGTCATCAGAATACAGACAGAAATGTGACATCAGGATACAAGCAGAAACATGACAAGTTTTTGTTAATACATTTAACATTTTCATTTAATTTTGAAATGGCTAATGATTTAATGAGTATACTTTTGGATCTCTATAATGTGTTCAGAAGAATTAAGAATTTACTACTGTTTTGTGAACTTTATAATAAACTTACGTGATCCCTGATAGGAGAAATGGCTGCGGAGTTGACAGGTCTTTCTGTCTTGTAGGTCTTCATATGTCGTAAGGATAATGTATCAAACAGCTGTGGAGAGGAAATATTACAGAAAGATTAATATTTGAAATCAGTACTTGATTCACTCTGATCAAATAGAAACTATTAATTTTTCATATTTCCATTTCTTTGGAATATTTTGGTTTCAGTTATTTTTGTTTTTGTTTTGTTTTCAGTTCACATTATTCTGAGCTTAAAAACTCTCGAATAAATTTTTGATGATAATGCACAAAAAGCTAATTTTACAATATTGGTTGTACAGACCATAAACATTGACAGAATTAGTTACTCTGGCTGTGAAGATCATTAAAGATTTATTCTGCATTATATGGTTTTTTATAACAAGATATCCCAGAGGGATCTTGGCCCCCACCACTGCGTGCGTGGTCTTCTTTAACTCTTTAAAAGTGTCTCTGTGTTCCCCTAATTTGCTCTTAATTATACAAAATTTTGGAATTGCTCTCAACTGTCAAATAAAAGCCGGTCAGTATTTTGATTTTCTGACAATCCCAAGACAAAAGTTCATTACAAGGGACTAAGGAAAACCTACATATAAATTCTGAGGAGGATCTATGCAGTACTTCTCAACAAATAGCAATGACAAACATTTAATATCCAAATCTTGAATGGCCCCTTGTTGGCCATTTTATTTCTCTGATCAGACCGAAAATTGAATGATGATGGGTTACAAACATCACAAAATAGTATACTTGTGCTCTTATAGAAATAGTATGCCACAATCACCATATAAACAATCTTCTAATATTTAATTTATGTAAATTCTATGTAGATCAAGCTGAACTGATTCAAAACATTATCTTAACCATGATTAAGCCTTAAAAGGTGTTTCTTGTTAGCTGGACAGTGTGAAATATTTGTGTATATTTTAAATTTGATAACAAATAAGTCAAACAAAGCGATGAAATTCAGATACTAGAAGAAAGTTTAATTGATCAGCTTACAGACTTGTGTATTCACCCAAAGTTTCACATCAAAAAAATCTATCAAATTAATGATTCAGTTCCAGATTTCCAAATGTGTAGTATTTAGACATCTAATTTCATATTGGCAGAGGGGGGGGGGTTACCTCTGTTGTGTTGACAATCAAACCTTGACAGAGTTGGTTCTCTTTGTTGCATAGACTATAATTATTGAGACAGCGAATAACCTTGGGTGTGTTGACTTAAAACATTGATAAAGTTAATTACCTTGGCTGTAGTGTCTTTCGATGCTGTGATAATCATGGACATATCATTAGAGTATCGGATGTCATTGATCTGTTTAGAATGGTCATGGACAGCATGGATCTTTTCACCAGTCTACAAATAAATTTAGCACAGGTACTGTTAGAGAAATACCATCAATACATTATGAATAATATTATCATATAAAAAACATCATGTCAGATAACCCTGTAATCTTTTATTTGTCAATGTTCCCCCAAATTTTCAGACAAAGACCATCAGATGAAAGAAAGTACCAAAGGGCAGAACAATGTACAAAATGATATGGTAATATTGTCTCAAAATGTCACAAGGAAAATGGTGCTATATATTCTCTTGATAAAATAATACATAATCATGACTTTGTCTCAGGTGATCACACTAAATCCCCATGAGACTTTGTCTCAGGTGGTCTAAAAAAAAGGGGGAGCAATTACACCTTTAAAATCTACTGAATCAAACTGCCATTCAGGTAAACACAAGTTGATGTCATGGTGATTAAGCATGGTGATTATTCATAAGTTTTATAATGAAAATGACTTTTAACACTTACTTTAAGATCAATGTGACATAACTCTCCATTTTCATGTCCTGTGATAATGTATTCTTCATATGGACCCCAGAGAGCAGATGTTATCTTTGGCCCAGCTATAGGAATGATCATAGCCGGCTCTCCTGAAGTACATAAAAGTTTGCACCAAAATTATCAAATAAAGTTTCAAGTGAAATAATTTGTATTAAGGTTATGCTTAAGTGAACACAAATGATCAATCAACATACTGGTATCTATAATTAAGTCAAAATGAACTGAACTGGCAAACTGGGTATTTCTATGTCACAGATGCAGGTAATATACAGATCATACTCATATTACTGATTCATGAGATATTTTATTACTTGATAGATGAAAGGTGTGATTTATTACACTCCTCCAATCAGATTTACAGTTCAGTCATTATTGTCATTAGTTTAACTTTTAAAGTTCGTACTCATATCATTGATGTCGTAGATGTGGATTTCACAAGGATGTCCCATGGTTTTGTCAGTTGTGTACATTATAAGATTTCCGCTGTATGAGAACCCACATGTACGTACAGCTGTCTTAGACTCCATTGTTGACAGCATTTTCCCTGTAAGATACCAAATTAAGCGGACTTAATTACTCACTTAGGTATTTTTGCAAAGTTATATATCTTTATACTGCAAAAGCTTGTAATTGAAAGAGATTCTGTAAACAAATCTCTAGCGACAAAAAAAAAAAACAAACAATAAATAAAACAAAATAAACAATCCTGTTGGGAAGTTTGTCTCTTCATGCTTCTCAAAATGAAATACAGACACTTTATGGCAGCTATCTAAAATGCATCAAATTCATGCCATGTTACTGTTATGTGATGATTAAATTCATTTACAGATTGTGTGATCTAATTAACATGACTGAATACTAAGTATCATTATTAACTGACCTGTTTGACAATCCCACAGTTTACAAGAGTTGTCTGCAGAAGCTGTCAACACATAGGTTGTGTCCCCTGAACGCTGTAGTCAAGGTAAAATTCTGAAAGTACTGTTTTATTCATAATAGAACAAATGTTATATAATGTACAAAAATCCTGACTGCAGTTAACAGGTACATGTAGGTAAGGGTGATAAATGGACACACAGCACCGAGTATTCATCCTTCAATGTACAATAAGTTCTCAGGATCAACACACTGTCACAGACTCAAAGTAGAGATGAGCTTGATACAGGATAATGAGAAAGAATTTCTATCAGAGTTACAATAAATGCTGATGGGCATATTGTTCAAAGATTAACATAGGCTGTAGACACCTATGAGTTAAAGAGTATTTCAACTGCCTTTACTAGTAACCATTTTTTTGACCCTCAAAAACAACTACTGACATATACAGTGTTTTTTGTTTAAAATTCTATAATTTACTTAAAACATTTGAACAATATCAACTTTTGTTTATTTTGACCTTGGCTTGTTTCAACAGTTACTTAACAACATTTACATATAATTTTTAACATTAAAAGGATACAATTGACATCCATGTTCCACACAGCTCCTGTATGTCCTTTAAAGGACCCAAGTCTCTCTCCATTGAGAGAATACCACACATTAGGTTGGTGATCCTTAGCACAAGAAAAGATAAGGTCACCCTCCCTGTTGTATTTGATTTCTGTGATTGATCGCTCATGACCATGTAGTAAAATTGGCTTCTGTAAGAAGAAAAACAAATTAAATCTAATTTAAAAAAAAATAATCAATTAATAAACCATGCCAAAGTACAGATTTGTGGTAGTAAATTTTGTCTGTCTGAAATCTACAGGTATAGATCCCATGGTGATTTTGGTGCCCACCACGTTTTATATCCTTTTGTGAAATTGGGACCTTTTCCCTTCTTTCAATTTATAAATTCCAATCAAGAAAGTGATAATAACCATTCTGTCAAATCAGAGAGACAATGTAAAGCCTGCATTTTAGGCTAAAAGGGTGACTTGAACATTTTAGTTATGACAACAGAAAACAGAAGTGTTGTCACACGAGCAGAGTACACCAAGAAAACAATTCCTGTGTGATGTACAACAGAGTACATGAAGGTAGTGTATCTCATTTAATATTTCAAAATACAAATAGCATGTGTAACTCACAATTTAAATAATTTCGTTTTATCAGACTCTTGTCGATTGCACATACTACGTCAACAGAGAAATGATACAAAAATGGGTGAACGAGACTACAATTTCAGGTGACCAAGGTTTCGTTATATTTATTGAAAATACTGATTCTACAAAGACACCTTATTGAAAATGTATTCTGGAAACATTTCAATACGTGTATATAATTGCTTTGTTGTAATTCGTCAACTTAGCTTAGCTACCGAGATGTGATTCCTAGAGGGTCCGAAACAAATGGACAAATGATAGTTACAGAGACCATACTTTTACTGGGGTAATGCTATCTATTATCTGTAAAACAAGTTTGATGGAACTGGTCAACATATTATTATCATTACAACAGAAAATATTATGAACTGCTTCTTTCTATTCAATACGATGATAATTAAAACCATCCACCCGCACAAAACTACACAACATATTACCATTTTGCGTTATTTCGAAAGGCTGCCATGCACACCGGAAATGAAAGGATATCGGAAGTCTGAAAGGCGCTTGCGTGAGGGAGCACACCGTTTTCAATAGTAAGTATGATATAACTATCAAAACTATAGAAAAGAACATAAGTTTTGTTGTATATTTCAAATTCATGTAATTTTAGTTGAATATAATGAATTACGATAAAAACATGTCTTCATAATTTATAAACAAAATATATGTATTTCTTTTATTTTTATGAACTTAAGCGATTGTCGCCATTGAAAGCCTGTCTCAGTGGCAAAATGGGGATGGTAATGTCATCAGGTTACCGGGAATGGAAGGAACCACATTTGCATCCTAATCGTCTGGAGCCCCCTACTTTTGACGCCAATTATGGATTTCCCAATGGTCGTAAAGAGAGAGGTATCACGATCATTTGTCTTTTCAATTTGACCATTTCACCTTCAACTGTTCTGATTGATCCTCAATACCCCAATGAAAATTTTCTGAGCACCAACACATTGGTATTTGTAATAAAGTGGAATGTAAGACATGCAAAATGCTCAACGCGAATTGATATTTGCAAAATGCTGAAAATGAAATGCGTAATGTGAAATGTCAAACAGTATGTTTTTTATCAATAAGATTTATAATCGAACTGGAAGGGATACAGAAAGCGTCCATAGTTGCCCGTAGGCCTAGAGCAGGTGTCGAACATTCAGTATATCAAAATAAGAGGGTTTATTTCATTAAAAATAGTTCATTTAAAGCATATTGCATTCAGCACAAAATATCAATCTGATTATGCTTTTCACATTCAGCATTTCAAATGAAGCATTTCAAAGAAAGGATTTAGCATAATGCTCTTTGCATAAAGTACCAAGCGTAATGCATTAAAAGCAAGTAAGTGTTCAGTTATATTGGATGTCTCAAACTAAATGAAAAGAAATGTCATGACAGGACTCTTACCTTTATATAGATGTAGATGATTTATTATCCTCAAACAGGTATGAACTTAATGACTTTAGGTTAACTTAAAATCTTTCAACTAATTGGAATTAAAGATAAAGCATTTCACATTTGGCATGAAACATGTTGTACTGGCCTTCCAAAAGATAATAACAACACAAATTATTCATTGTTGAACAGTTCAAGACTTGTGATTTAATATAAAAAAGATTAAGCATGTTGAGCACACTCTTGCAATGGGAAAGAGCCCTGCTTTTGAGTTGCAGCTACCGATTTGGGTAATGAAATTGTTACTTGAATGCATAGTGATTTAAAACAGATAGACATGTAGTTCTTTCAAACATTTGCATCAAAACAGGGTGTCATAATTCAACATGCAGGGCTCTCACCCCATTTTGGGACTGGGGCCAAGGGTCCGGGGCCCCTAGAATTGGGAATAATAACAGTGTTTTCCTTAGAATTGGGAAAAAAGATACTATTTTGCATTGGGAATTGGGTCAAATATCTGCCCCAAATCTGGCAGATCGAGAGCCCTGACATGACTCAATAGCCAATAAAATATTGTATAATATTCATTTCTCTTATCTAACTTTGTGTTAAAATGACAATCTACATCACTGACTTTGTTCTCCATTGACTGCACTTTATAGTCATTGGGACCATTCAGTGCAAATATCTCAGGTGAGTGTGTATTTACCTGTGTTCTTTTTTTTTAGACACATTATAAGCAATGGAGGTGATCAAGTTTGTTGTTTTTACAAAAAATAAGTCAACGGAATTGTTTGTTTTTTGTGTAAAAATGTATGATGTTGCATATATTTTTTGGCTGTGATGAATTTTTGATGCAGATGTTTGAAAGCTCTTAGTGTCTCTATTTCAAATTACCTCACACTTGAGTATCAAATTTTATTACTCAAATTGGTAAGTGTTACTTAAATGTTGGAATATTACCCATATGTGGGAGTGTGCCCAATTTGTTAAAGGCTGAACTTAAAACAAGAATATTTTTTGCTACAACATTTTACAGGTTGGGCACATATGGTAATATCATAGTCCTACATTTAAGTAACATTTACTGCTAAATGGTTTCTCAAATAGGAAATGATTTGAAATAGAAACACATAAAGTTCATTCAGAACATTGTAACAAAAATGACTTTTATATGATTTTTAACATTTCCCAATTTAGCATTGAACATTTCATGAATTTGTTTTTTGGTTATTAAAGAGAGGTTATTTAAAGGGAAATGTTGATGATGGAGGATTAAAAATCTGGACCCCATGACCATCAGTTCACTTGTCTACCAGACGAGCAAGATTAAAATCACATATTTTCAGTATTTATAACTTATATACAAACTTTACCTATATGTTGTCACACTCTGGTCAATCTCTCCTATATTACTTCATAAGCACATATACCTTGCTTTGCATTCATCTGATTATCAGTCAAGTCATTGGAGAAAAAGTGCCACCAACCAATTACTATGTTACACAATCCAGTGACCAATAAGGTATATTTTTCCTCGACATAATGTGACCCAGTGATTGAAATTCATTTGGTAAGCATGGTCCAATACTGAAATTTGTTTTTATATCAGCATTTTGACATAGCAAAATGACTTCCTCTTCTCCATATCACTTGACTTTCTCAGCAACAAGTCATTTGACTGTCACTTTATCAGAAAGCAACACAAGAAATATGACGTAACTTCTTTCAGCATCAATCTACTACTAGTCATCAGTATTTAGCCCTCTATTCCTTTTGTGCATAATGTATGTACAAGTTGATGTCAGGTTTTATTTTATTTGTATGAAATATTAAATGTATTACATGTATTTAAGTTTAGTCAGACCACCTCACATCTTCTATGTTAAGACTCTGTAATATTCTGCTAATTGTGAGTTTTTGTTTATTTCAGAGCCTACTCTTACATATGAAGAAATGGTAGCATATAAAATACCAGAAGAATTTCGGGATTACTGCGCCCATCATTATGCTGAATTACAAAAATGTTTTCGGAAGCATATGCCATTCGGTTACAGATGTTCTCATGAAAAGCACCATTGGGATGATTGCCAGTTTGATGAGTACGTAAAATTATAAGAATTTGAGATTGATGAATATTAAAGCTGTAAGAAAATGAAGACCATATACAAAATACTTATCTCTTTAAATCTCCTTCCACACACTGTTTTCTACTTTAGTGTACATAGGATTACAGTACAGCTGAAAAAGTTGGTTGCTTCCATCTCATACGCTACATACGTCAGTGTTAGTACGCTCCACACTGGTCATTTGTCTGATGGTGACTGTGCAGTCATCAAAAGTCACACTCTAATCTTCTTCTGGTTGCGTTATAAGAACTTCTGTTCTATTGACATTACCAACCTGAAGAAAATGTTTAAAAAAATGTTCCTGTTGTTCAAATTTTTATCAAAAGACTGTGAGGGAATACCACATTGCAATTGTATAGAATGGACCTGTGACAATTTATGAAATACAAAGATGTATTTACACAAAAAAGCATTCAGTATCACCATATTCACATAACCTGAATATCATATGCTGTATTGATTCCTGTAGTCTCTCCATTTCTTATTGTATCTTCATCAACCTGATTTCAAATGTTCCTCACAAGGATGTGATATATTTTAACCTTAAAATGTTTCATATTGCAGGAACCAGTGTCTCAGTCAGCATTTGTTCATATCTGCATATGAAAACTTTAATATAACTATATCTTTAATTATTTTACGATAACTGCTAAACAAGCTATCAGCTCATATCAATCACATTTGTTGGTCCAACTGGAGATGTGTAAGGGGTCTTGCTGTGAGAGGAAACTTATTCAAGGTCAATTCTCTAACAGCTGTTCCTAAATTTAAGTACCTTAATAAAACCTCCTTCAAATATCAAGTATACAAAAAAATTACAAAGTAATTGTTGTATTTCAGGATTCAATGTCAAGGTTAAAGTATTGATAAAAAGTCAATTATAATTCTTATATATTTACTCAGATTTCTCATTCATGAAATTTTAAAGATCTTTTATTGGTTTAAACTTTCTTTTCTTTCAGATTTGTGATTAGGATGAAAGAATATGAACGTGAAAAAAGATTATTACAACGGGCTGCAAGAAAGAAAATTAATTCACCAACAGACACTGAGACATTGGAAGACTAGATATTGTTTTAAAAGAATTCAATTTGTAAATATGAAGGCTACATGTGCACCCTGAAAAGGGTAATAAAACAAGACAACTTGAAAAAATATTATACAAAGTTGCAGCATTTGTATGTTTGAAATTAATTAATAAAATTTGATGTATGTGAAATTTTGTATTTGCTGGTTTTATTTAAACTTTTCGAAGTTAGTATGTACGAGCAGTCACTTTTCCTTTTAGCGACATTTACTTTGTTTTACGTTCTAACACATAATGACCTTGGTCCTGTGAAGAGCACCTTTAAAAAGATACATCTAAAGTTGGTACTAATGAGTGTTCCAAATTCCTTAACACAGACCAACATAATATGCTGTATTGCCTGGGACATTATCATTACAGTGGCAAATACTAAATTAAATCATCTGAATGAAAACACTAGCCTTCTTTTGGTAACACAGTACAGAATCCGTAGATCAAGGGCACCAACTGGATACCCTGTGTGTGTCAGGCCAGTAATGAATAAGGACAAGGGGGCCCATGGACTGTACACATCTATAACCAGGTAATAATCAAATCTACTTACATGGGATAATGCATCCCCTTACATTCTGTCATTTATTAATCCATCAATAATACTTGGTATTTCAAGAATTACTGGATGGATCTTCCTCAAATTTCACATGTAGCTCCCCTTTGACCCCTAGTCTGCCTTGTGATTTTAGGATTGATTAGAAAGACCAAATGGTTGACAGAGGGCCATCTTGGATTTTGACAATGAAAGTTTGATATTGCTACATCTTAATAAGTTCTCTATTGATCTCCTTGGTTCATAGTTGTGTGGTTTGATTTTGGGACGATTAGAAAAACATTTTGATTTTGACAATAAAAGTTTGTTATCACTTTTTCTTGAGAAGTATTGCATGAATCTTTCTCAAATTTCCTACGTAGGTTCCCCTTGGTCCCTAGTTGTGCTCTTTTGATTTTGGGACTGATGAAATGTCTAACTTGGCAGACAGGCCAATTTCAGATTTTTACTATGAAAGTTTGTTATTTATTTTCTTGAGAACTGGAGGAATCTTTATCAAATGTAGGTTTCCCTAAGTCACTATTTGTGCCAAAAACAAAGAAAAGAATGTAAGATATGACACTTATAGAAAATAAAGATCAAATGTTGGTGGGCTTCTGGGTTCTCTTGTACAGTTGAATGTACCTATGAAAGACCATTTCACCCTGTTTCCCCTTGAATCTTATTACCACAAATCACATCACATTATTTTCACCTTTAGTGAACATTACCATCTCATACCCTGTATACTTCAAAGACATGTTTCTCAATGGCCATTCATCTCATGTGCATGACCATGCAGGCATCAATAATCTCACAAATTTGTTATTGATTGTGATATTTGGTGTCAAACACACATTTCAATTCCCACATTTTATTATAATTTCACTTACACTTGTAAAATTCCAAGGATTAACTTCTGGCAAGTTTTTTTTTATACTTGTTTACATTGTGACCCTCTTTTGGACCCCATCTTCTAACTTCTTGGGAATCAACCACTGGTAGATCCAGAGGGGATGCACCCAGTGTGCACCCCCTTCTAAAATTACCCAAGTGACCATATTTATTTTTTGTGAAAACAATAAACTGAAATTTCATGATCATACATGCTTATAGGTCTACTGTACTTAAATTACATACGGACTGGGGATTTTTGTTCATATTCATGAAAAAAAATTCAGAGCTATACCCCAAATTAGACTCTGAAAAAATGTTATTATAATTAAAAGGACCTATGCTTTCATTGACAAGTTCTTTCCTTTTCGTATTTGGAGAATTACCTATCTCTATATATCATTAATGATCTCAAGTTTTCATTCTATTATTTTACCTGCCAGGTATGCAAGAATGGACCTGAAGGGCGGAGTATTGCATCATTGATGGTCATTTAAGATTTTACTATAATGCAAAATTTGAATTAAGTTACTTTTCCGCGTAGTCTCAAGACTTAACATAGATAAGCATGAACAAAAACCCTAGATATGAAATTTGGTCAGATAATTTGTCAGAAATCCAAGATACATGAGTACATTTGTAGACCATTTTTTTGCAATTGAACCGAAACTGATAATTAAATACTAGCGACCAATAAAAACCTGACACATGCACATGCAAAATTTGCGAAAAAGATCCTTCCATTTCTTTTCAAGAAATAGCATTAAGAAGCATTTTCAGTCAAAATGCAAGAGGTCATTTTTATTTTCCTGATGTTGCAGTCCTAAAATTCAACTTGTACAGCTGCAAATAATGGGAAATCTGTATATGAAAGAGAACACTAGAGCTCTTCCCTACAAATAGTAAATGGAGACTTTGAAGGATATTATAAGTGGAGAGTGGCCTCTAGGGATGTAGCTGCCTTTAAACAAATACATCTGCGGTATACATGTAATTTTGATAGTGCAAATTAAATGCCAAACATCCAAATTTCTTTCCAGGTTTTCCCTCCAAATCCCTACTGGGGCTTCATCCCTGGATGCTTCTACCCCTGCATCCCTGATTGGCTACTTGTCAGGCCTTAGATGAAGGCCAATTATTTATTCTGCAAAACACAAACGTCTTTATCATTTGGATCAATTTAATATAGAAATAATGTAACTACATGTGTAACAGTTTTCAAGTGTGAAAAAAGCAAACAAAGAATTATGTCAATGAAAGTTTCACAACTTCTTTCTAGATCTTCTTCCTTTGTTCTATATATTATATATCATAATCTTTGTGCAATATATTATATAGTAATATATGAAATAAAATAGAATTTATACTAAAGCAAACCTAATGTGATAGCCATCACAAAATATGTGAATTATAAACAGATAATTATACTGTGATAAAAATTATTGGACTAACCAGCTGTGATGCAAAACTAAAATAACTGCACATGCAAATCAATATAATCATGAACATGTCTTAAAATCACTTTTGTTCATACGCCAGAGAATGTATGTATTGCACCTGAAGATATGTATCAGAGGCTGTGTAAGAAGCACCTAAGGATATGTTACATAGAGAATGTATCTAAAGCACCAAGAAGTCAATGTGCTGTATATACACATATTTAACCCATCATAAACATCTTATTTTAATCAACAATATATAGATGAGTAAGATATTTATCAGAATGTTTGCACATTTACTTCTCTTGGTTGACAAAGCATAAAAAAACACTACTGTTTATTTTCAATTATAAAAGTAAATATGCTACATGCACCGGGATACTGGCCATCCATCCAAGAGATAACTGTGCTTGATGCTGCTTAACTTTGTCAAGACATGACACTTTATCACACAGCCACAAAAGCTCTACAACACTGTGCAGATGAAATGCCCATATCCCTGAACTTCCACAAAAACTCGTATTCAAGAGGATACCTTAAAACCAACTAATTTTGTTTCCAAATCTTAAACTTATAATGACAAAATGTTTTAGCAATGCCAACAAAAATAGTGTGAATTAAGAAAAATTATATTTGGTGTATATAATGAATAATGAAGTTGTGACTACTAGTATTTATACAATGTTAGTGAATCAGACATGCAATTCTTTGGCAAGCTTTCCATATGAAATTGATTGTTCATGTTAAGTAAATACCATTTAACAAAGATAAAAAATGAATTTTCATGTTCACTGAATTAAAAATCTGAAATGTTGGAAGCAATGAATTAGTGACAGTACTATATCAGTCAATACTGGCAAAAATGTCTTTCACACAATAACAGATACTATTTTTAATATCAGTGTGAAAGACATCAAAACAATACAATGCAAATTTTTACTTAAAAATAAATTCAATGTATTAAATGATTGAATTCTCTATATTCTCTTAACATAAAAAGATGATTTGGATGGTTTCAAAATACATCTGCATAATAATATCTTACAGGCAAGAGTCTATTACACCAATAATCTTGTATCCAAGTTAGGAAAAACGACACAATAAATATCAAAACAATCTTTCAGAAACACAGAACATCATAGAGAACTTTCTTTGTATATATAAACCATGTTGTTTTAATGAAAAAAACACCCTAAACAACTAAAATTAAAAAATGTTTATAATCATAACGCAATAACAATGGATAAGAATGGGATTGATATTCAATATGACTCCCAAAAAATAAATCCATTAATAAGACAAGTGTTCAAAGATTTTGTGAATAAAAATTGTGATCAACCTACGATAAATATATAGATATTGAAAAAAAAGGACCTTTATCATAGAAATAAAACCTACATTATTGATACATAATGTGTAAGTCTAGCAAGACCTTAAAAGATAATCTTTGATTAACAATAAAGAAAATCCCAACCCTTTTGATCTGCTATGACTTGGAACCTGATTATTTTGGTCAAGACCTCTGATCAGTTCATAAAGGAACACACCCAACCTGACATCATTCTTTGCTCTGAATCGCCTATCAATATGTAGAAGAAACATACCCTCCCTTTCAAAGACAGGATCAGTTATTGATGTTTAGCTCAAGCATACCCTCCCTTCAAGGACAGGATTACCTATTGATGTGTAGATCAAACATACCCTCCCTTTCAAGGACAGGATCAGCTATTGATGTGTAGATCAACCATACCCTCCCTTTCAAGGACAGGATCAGCTATTGATGTGTAGATCAAACATACCCTCCCTTTCAAGGACAGGATCAGCTATTGATGTGTAGATCAAACATACCCTCCCTTTCAAGGACAGGATCAGCTATTGATGTGTAGATCAAACATACCCTCCCTTTCAAGGACAGGATCAGCTATTGATGTGTAGATCAACCATACCCTCCCTTTCAAGGACAGGATCAGCTATTGATGTGTAACCATACCCTCCCTTTCAAGGACAGGATCAGCTATACCCTCCCTTTCAAGGACAGGATCAGCTATTGATGTGTAGATCAAACATACCCTCCCTTTCAAGGACAGGATCAGCTATTGATGTGTAGATCAAACATACCCTCCCTTTCAAGGACAGGATCAGCTATTGATGTGTAGATCAAACATACCCTCCCTTTCAAGGAAAGGATCAGCTATTGATGTGTAGATCAAACATACCCTCCCTTTCAAGGACAGGATCAGCTATTGATGTGTACATCAACCATACCCTCCCTTTCAAGGACAGGATCAGCTATTGATGTGTAGATCAAAAATACCCTCCCTTTCAAGGACAGGATCAACAATTGATGTGTGGATCAAACATGCCCTACCTTTCACAGACAGGATCAACAATTGATGTGTAGATCAAACATTCCCTTCCTTTCATGTACAGGATTACCTATTGATGTGTAGATCAAACATACACTCCCTTCAAGGACAGGACACCTATTGATGTGTAGATCAAACATTTCCTTCCTTCAAGGACAGGACACCCATTGATTTGTAGATCAAACATTCCCTTCCTTCAAGGACAGGACACCTATTGATGTGTAGATCAAACAATCCCTTCCTTCAAGGACAGGACACCTATTGATGTGTAGATCAAAAATTCCCTTCCTTCAAGGACAGGACATCTATTGATGTGTAGATCAACCATACCCTCCCTTCAAGGACAGGACTCCTATCGATGTGTAGATCAAACATACCCTTCCTTCAAGGACAGGATCAACAACTGATGTGTAGATCAAACATTCCTTCCCTTTCAAGGACAGGATCAGCTATTGATGTGTAGATCAAACATTCCCACCCTTTCAAGGACAGGATCAGCTATTGATGTGTAGATCAAACGTTCCCTTCCTTCAAGGACAGGACACATATTGATGTGTAGATCAAACATTTCATCCATTCTCGGGACAGAATCACCTGCCAATATGTAGATCACTTTTACCAACCATTCTCTAATGGGAATAATAGTGTTATATCACACTCACCTATCAATGTGTAAATCATTTGTCAAGCTTAATTTTCTTTCTATTCTATTACATGTAAAAGAGATACATTGAATTCATAAACTGTATGTAATTAATTATAGACAGACTGTAAATAAATGATTGATCAACAATAGAATTTTTCTAAACATCTTAATCACACAAAATAATATGACATCGTCAATGGTTCAGAACTACCAATGTAACCACAACTACCTGGTATTTTGCATTCTGATCAAGTTCGGCTGTAACCTTTTTATCAATAGGGCATTTGACTGCAAACATTTCAAATTGTAATGACCCTATTGTTGGCATCAACTTTCAGTATATCCAGTCAGGACTGTCTGAAGTTAGAATGCACTTTTCTCCCCCAAGTCACTGAATTTTCCTTCATTTAAGCCATCACCCACAAATAAGTCCCTCTCCACTTTTTTGTGTCTTCGAGGAACTAGGTCTAAGTAAGGTATGAAAATTAACAAAGATGGTAGACCCTAATGAATGATGGGATGCTCACAAATAAGCCCATCCTCTAGTTGGAGGTATAAAGGTAATAACTAAACAAAAATTGTTAAGATAGTATGATATTCTCATAATGAATCAAAATTGAACAAAAATAGTATGCCAATAAAAAACGGGTTCACACGAGGACGGATATATGTGCACCAGGATGGGTCATTGTTTTACCACATGTATATATCCCTATGTAGTGAGGATACGGAATAATTTACAACTGTTACATACAACACACTTTAACAAGATTTCTGCAGAAGCCAATGTAACTGAAATAATAACATTAATAATCTGAAAATATGCCGTAGCATCCCTTTAGGAGTTCTTAAAATCAAAACACTGATAGTGAAAAAAATCAAGATACTGTTAGTCGTTGGTAGCCATATTGGATTTCAGAAGCAGCTCAATAAAAATTCCTAGTTAAAACTTTCAGCACTTCATGGTGTATTGCTAGTCAAAGAGGAATATTTTTATTATGCTTTAATCCTTTTTCTTTTTGTTATCATCATCAGTAACCAATTGTCCTGACACAGGACAACAGATGACGATAGGAAGTCACAATTACCCAATCATAGACCTGAATTGCCATTCCAAGCATTCAAATAAAGAAACTGACATGAAGAAGTCTGAACAAGATAATCCCAAGGGAAGTAACAAACAATATACTGATCTTAGATTTCACACAAGAAATCTGAGGTCTTTGGGATTCACAGAATAATGCATGAAACAACCACTATAGCTGCCAACATCATGATCCAGACATACAGTACTACTTTTTAAGGGGACACGCAAAGATATCATTTTTTCAGACATCACCTGATATGCAAATTATTTGAAACATTTTGGTCTGTTGGTTTTTGTATCAAATTTAGTCGTGTTGAATTTTCTGATATAAACCATACAATGTATTACATAGTCCTGTAAGTCACACATATAATTGATGTTGTAAATCACATATATAATTGATGTTGTATACCATTTAACAGTCATTCAAGGACCAAAAATGTTCAAATAAATCTGATGAGGTCATGTTTGTTCTACAGCATTACAGTGCACCACAAATAATCATCACCTCAGCAATATCACGAATATCTTCTTCAGTTTATCTACAGTTTGAAATGTTGAACATATTCCTCAAAAAACCAAGCAAATAACATGACATTCCCTATATATAGCATGTTGATTTCTCTATATTAATGGGACAATTTAGAAATGTATGGGTCATTTGTGCCTGGACTCGTAGGTAGATTAATAACTGGATTGTTTAGTAATGTATCTACGCAATGCCAAACAGACCACTACCTTAATCAAAACATGTAGTTCTACCAGTGTATACATAAAACAAGGAAATGTCTAGTGAAAAACCAGAATCACAAACTTTGGATAGAGCTAACAGGTTAATTGCAGCAATTAAGTGACTTTTACAAATTTCTAAATATAATATATGTCAATATCTAAGTAATACGACAACAATCAGATCAAACTCAGTAGTACAACATAATTATTTCATATATATTTTGACAATGGAGGCACCTACCAAAGTGTTGTTAGTACTATTATATAAATAGTGTAAAAAAGGCACAAAGTAAAAGCATTTCAGTAAAAAAATAAATCAGATCTCTAACAATCGTGCAAATAACTAATGAACTAATCAACCAGGAACATCAATTAGTTTTCTCCTTGACACCATTCTGTGCAGCACCATTGCTCTGTGGCTTTGACCTGCGGGACATATATGCCTTGTAGTAGAAGTCCGCAAACAGCACAAGAAATATTCCTGCATACAGTGCAATCCAGTAGGCAAACAGTGTTGGATAATTACATTCCATGTACAATAATTGTGTGGCATGAATCAGGCAGAGTATGAACTGGGTCTGAAAAGTCAAACATACACCATAAACCATACCCTATAATCCACATTTAACTCTGTAACAAATGAAACTATATACACACTTACATCTTTCATGTTAAAAAAATATAACAGTGTAAGAAACAAAAACAAAACAAAAAAGATAACTCAGTGCCACTGACTGGCACAACTTTTAAATTCTTATGTATTTTCAAAACACTTTGTATCCAAACTGATTAACTCTCCGTGCCCATATCTCAAATAAAGAAAACATTTTTATTACTTGTAACCAAATATGCCAATACATGTTTTTAAATTATCTTTTCCTTTTCATCAAAATCAATTCATATCTTATTAAAATATCAAACTCTCAACTAAAGCCTATAAACAGAATATATTTCAAAAATTTGCAAAACTTTGAGTTTAACCATCGTGTTGATATAGTAATTGTACCTAGTAATATTATATATGCTTATAGCAAACTTTGGTGATGTTGAAGCTCTGCCCACTTCCCAAAGCTTCTTTGCCAAGCTGTCAATAGATTTGGATTTGGGTATATGTAAAGGTTTTAAAGTCTTTCTCTGTTAGGACTATCTATCATTCTTTAGATGAATTCCTGATCAGTACATACATGAAATCCATCATGTCTTTTTTTCTGAGTGTCACATAACCAAGATAAAAGCAAACATCAAGAAAATACTTTAGAGATTTCAATGTAGAAAATTGACAGCCTATGTACAAATCACAAATTCTAACAAAGATCAAAATAACCCCATTTGTCTTATTGTATTTAAGAGTTAGTACACTAATGCTAACAACTAATCTGTTGTGGTGCGATAGAGGATAGAGGTAAATGAGAGGACACCTTGTTTCTTTTTATGTGGTTCTTCACTTCATACATCTGATTTACTTAACAATGTAGCTTTAATCAAGCATTATTCTTTCATTTGCTTTGTTTTATATGATATTTTGTTATGTATATCCAGTATGTTGGCAACAAAAAAAAAAATTAACAAAACAAAAGATAATCCCATTTTAATCTAGAAAAAAGGCTCAGGATGTACCTGCATAACGACCAAGCTATGATCCAGGAATCTTTATTTTTATTAACTTATATGCATAGTTCTTGAAATTCTAAGTCAAATAGATGTTTGCAGTGATTGTCAACATTTGCCAATAAAAAGATTCATTATGGAACCATTTTTAAAGAATGAAAGTCAAATAGTAAATTTGGGGTCTTATTGGGTCCTTTTTTTATATAACATGCCACCTGACAACTGAAGTATCAACTCTTTTCTCAATGTGTGAAATATCAGCTAAAATAACAGGACACAGCATCCTTGAATTAACGGACCAGGCAAATACTCTTTATCTGTTACTGTATTTAAGTGAAGGTAGCGTGTAGTGTTGCCCTCTATATTTGATATTGAAGTGAAATGGGTGACATTTTACAGGTAATTAACATGTCTTACATGCTGCACTTACCAGCTGCATTTTTGTCATATACTTTTTCCACCAAAGATATTTTTGATATTGAGGTCCCAAAGCTGCCAGTCCATAGTAGGTATACATCATTAGATGGATAAAGGAATTCAACAGTGCATGGAAGGTACCAAATCCACCTGTAGCAGTAAACAGTGAAAATCCTCTGTCATATCTATTTTGCTTGTGACATTCTGGAAACAACTGCTAGAAGTTTTGTTATGAATTGAAACAAATCATTTGAAAAGTATTTCAATGTAGGTCAGGGAAATTTATTTTACAGAAATAGTCTCAAGTCTTGAAAAATGTAAATATTATGTCAATCTTGGGGCCTGTTTGTTTCTTTTATGCAACATGTCAGGAATTATCAGGACATACCTGCAAATTTTAACACTGGCCTTGAACGGTTTAGTAGAAGATCACCAGAAAGCAAAATACTTTTGTAGTATTTGTTTTATAAATGAAAAAATGTGGTCCCATTGTTCACGGTGATAAATGAAAACCGGGCTGGTAATAGTGTCTCTGCAGAGGGGAGACAACTCCTGTTTTACTGAAGTTTTCAGGTAGACAATCTTTCTACAGATTATATTACTACTTTTTCACATAAACAATATCACTACATGTGATAGAGAGAAACCATACCTGGCACAAACTTGACTCCAAACCACCAGGAAAACGGCATAATCCCATGATGGAATACATGCAGGAATGAAACCTGGCTAAACTTTTTTCTCATTATGAAGAAAATCTGAAATAAAATCAAATATTGCTCCAATTAACATCATGTTTAGTGTTTGAATTACATGCAAAAGAAAATATCTAGATCATCCACAGCTTCATCTACCATAACAAAATTTAAATTCAAATTAGATTTACAATCTGCTAATTGCAAAATTTGCCAATATCAATGTAAATATAATTGGAAAGTACATTTTGTATTGTCTAATTTTACCTATGGTCATATCATATGTTCTGTAAGAGAAGTATTAAAAAATAAAAAAGAATACTGCAGAACATGACTGGCCATGTCATGAAATTCTCTTATTGGTATAAAGATCATCAGTTCATGCATGACATATCACAAAAAGTTAATATAACTTGTAGTTAAGATTAAACAGTACATGCCACTTTATATTCCATAATACAATAATGTACTTACGGTGTCAAAAAGTTCAATGAACTTGGATATGTAAAACCACCAGCAAGTACTTGCCATCTGCAAAATCATAAAAGAAACATGTAATTAAACATACATAATCATCATGTTGGGCTGATGTCTTTCATATGAAACCATATATTAAATATTACTAGTGAAAGACTCAGTGAAGACAAATTATAATGTATGCATTTTCCAGCCATAACAAGTAAAAATTAATGTTTTGTTCACATCAATCTAACTAAAAAAGCTACGTTGATCTTGTAGAGAATCAAACTATACAACTTCAGATGAAGATCCAGTGTTCATAGGTTTGATCCCTGTACAGGTTGGTCTGAAGCCAAGATCATGACCATTCTGTTTTCTTGCATTTATGAAGCTTTCTTTCATTTGCTCTGGATGGTATGTGAGGGTAGCCTACATTTGCTATAAAAAAACCTCACCTCAAAATGACCTTGACTGGTAATGGGCCAATAAAATGAGAAGATAAACAAGTAACAATCTATCTAATCAAGGAGTATGGTGTAGTAATAGTTAGATAAGACATTACAATGAAGTAGTTTATTCTATCATTGTATTGGGAAATCAAACTTAATTTTGTTGGACATTTCTATACAGTTCACATATTTATAGCATTCTTTGAGCTTGTCAATGTTTCTTACCCTCACAGCAGCCTTAGAGTTGGAGTAATCTACTGGCTGACAATGTAAGCTGTAACCAGTGGCCCAGCCCGACAACAGGAACTGTTGGGAAAATATACACAGTACATAGTATGTGGGACATATATGAAAGAAGGGTAATATAAGACTTATAATTTGTCCATATCCCACAGAAACAAATTATTTGCCATCTTCATACATAAATCTTAAACCTGCACCTCTTGAAAACACTCACTTTTCACTAATGTGTAGTATACAGTGTATTAATTTTTAACACACACACCAAAATGAATTTGCAAGTCCCAGCAAGTGATATAAGTGGTTTAACAGAAAAGTTTTTTTCAGTCATTAAATAAGAAGTTTTACACCTGCTATTAAGGCCATTTGGACTTCCAGTAGGTAAACATTACATACAGTTCAGATATTATCCTTATAGTATTAACTGTTGCATGGATTGACTCCAAAATCAGCCATTATACTCAGTGCCATTTTCATATCTGACTGACAGATACTTTCACATATTTCATTCAATTGTAATTGTACTGCCATTGGGTTTTTAGTTACAATTAAATTTTCACAACTACATCAAATAAATGATATCATGGTAATACAAAACATTTCAGTGAAAAAAAAATAACATACCTCCACAAAAATATATGTAGAGAGAGCTACCATTCCCAAGTTATACACCAACAAGATATTTTTGATCTCCATTGGTTTCCGGTTTGCCATCAGCGTGGGGCCAAGTAACACAATTGTTATGTACAACACACAGATAATGAGGCTAGGGACAAAACTGGACATCATAAACCAATCCTCTACACGTGGATCTGAAAAAAAAATATGCAAACTTTAAGTAATATAGTCTGTATTTTTATGTCAATAGTTCCACTTTAAAGCAATTTAGGACTCAAGAGGTCCTGATCCACTGATTTATTGTGATAAAGTTTGGATTTAAAATTCTCAATGAAATAAAGAACTGAGAATGTGTTCACACGTTTGAGTCAAAGCAGCACCATTCTTTTAACAATACAATAAAGATATTCAAAGATTTTTGAATTATGACTCAGATTTGATATCACTAGTTTATTTCAACAGCTTAAGATAACCAGGTAGAGTAGATTTTCTGTCAGAACTATAAAATTTTACATTAACTACAAAAAAAAATCTGTTGTGCAGTACTCAAAACATGAAAATGTACATTCCTAAAGGAAATTGTGTTCATAGTTTTGATTATTCTAATTCACGAATGTGTCTAACAGTTGCGATGAAAAGGTATTTACCTGCATTGACAAGAACCTCATCCCACATTTTCTGGGCATCTACTATGAATCCTGCCATTTCTAAAGCTTTCTACCAGATCTTGCCTACTTTTATCTGAAAACAAAAACAATTATTTACAGACGTTATCAAAAGTATGGAAACCTAACATGGGTGGTCGGAATACACTCGCCTTTCACCTAGCCGTCCTGGGTTTGACTACTAGAACAAATGTGAAAAGGCAGTGGTCACCTACCTGACCACGTGGGTTTTCCCCGGGTACTCCGATTTCCTCTCACAATAAGACCTCTCATACACTTCCATCCGGGCCAACAAGAGTAATTAGCATAAGTTCAAATAACTTGTTTCACAATTGTTGTAAAATATATAAAGTTTATAAACCCAGCATATCTATCCTGCAAGGGAACCAAAGAAACATTTTCTGACTCTTAGGAGGAGGGCAGACATATTATTACAGTGATGTAGCATTTGTTCACATTTTTATGAAGATACAATAGATGTAGGTGGGATTATCATCAGGCATGGGTTTATAGCTATATAAATACGGTAACTAAAGTTTAAATTTTTTTTCCTAAATTAATTTTCATTAACACAGTACTCCAAGAGATGACACAACAATCAACCAAAGACAACAGCTAAATTCATACCACATGTTTAGGCAGCTATTTTTCATTTTACTGTGAACATTGGTATGACAATCATTCTAATTTGCTGCAGTAAATCAGTCATGTGAATAATTTGTCTTTTTGAATCAGCATATCAACCAATATGGGAATAACAGGTGACCATAGAAAATCCAAACAAGAATATTATACTGTGACTTTTATCCTTACAGGATTAATTTCCATAATGCGATTCATAGTCAATGATCCAGATAGAAAAAAGATTAAGCCTAATTTTTCCCCTTTAAAAATGTCTATAAAAATTCTTGTTAGATATAGTGAACTGCGATAACTGATTACTTTGCCATATTATAGTTGAAAGCATGTGTGCCAAATCATGTGTCAAATTTGATGATATCAAACTGGAAGATAGCTGAGTGCAAATTACTTTTAACCCTCCTTTATAATAGTCTCATTGAAATGTTTTGTCATGCTTGGATGAATTCAATTTTCTGGTGGTCATGTTTATTGATCACTGTATAAATTATCTTATAGCTCTATGATGCTGTGTACATAGTCTGCTTTGTAAGCAATTTATCGTTTTATTACATATCCAAGCAAGAGAAGGCAATCCCAAAGACAATTAGAAAACAGGTAATGAAATTTTAAAACACTATAGCATTTAATATTATGATTAAGCAATCATAACAAATGAAAATTAAAAATGAAAAAATGAAATTATTGATAGATCCATACAGTGCTTTTCATGATTAATTAAGACTTCAAATTTTTTCTTCCAAATTTCACAAATATTACATAAAACTTTTTTATGTCACTATACTTGGTAGTCATATTTTTGTTGTGCTTTTCTTAACACATTGTGCTTTACTATTATTACATTAATTATAAATGCAATTATCAAATATACAAGTATGATTTCAAGATACAGGACTAATTAATTAATCAGCAAATCTGCAAGTGTGTAATTTCATTATCACACAGTGGCATGACAATAGGTATAGCAAAATTCAACAAGGACAAAGGAAAATGATTTTCCAGTTATAACATACTCTCTTCCAAAATTGATGAAATATTATTAGATCTATACTTTAGCAAGAAGCTGATATGTTACCATTTATAAACATGGGACTTCTCAAAATTTGTTACTGTAATAATTATAAGTTTTAAAGCTATTCGACAACAGGGGAAAGTTCCCAAGAAGTAAAAGAGATGAAAGAATGAGATATTTATTAAAATGTATGGGTTAAACTATGTGTGACATTGACTAGGCCTAATGCCTGTACATTCCATGTTACGTCACTTTATTTATGCCGTTTCTATCGGATACCGCCATACTAATAACTGGGACATCTGACCGGTTGTTGTTTTCCTAAGTTCTATGCGGTATGAAATGAGGGCTATTTTGAAGTAGATAAGTTTTTCGACATAGAGAAGTCTTATTCTACCGTAAAAAGTCATTCATCCATCATGCCGACATTTTAGACAGTAAGAACAAATGTAAACAAGACCCTGCCCTCACATGAAAAAGCATGCGTCATATGCGGCGTGAAATACACTTCCTAGTTCTAATAGTCTGTGTCTATTGTAAAGATATCTCGATAGTTTCTTAAAATTGTTAAGTATAGTAAGTATATAAAATCCGATTAGTAAAGTATCAGGCATAGGCCTACCCTGTGTATCGGTGAGCACGCTGTATGCTGCCGGGTGTCTGCGAGGTAGATGAAACCGTGCGCATGTGCAAAAGGAAGATGGAGCCGACAACGTTCGTAAACTTGTAGCCCACTCTAATCTCTACCCAGCTTTGTAATGTAAGTCCCGTGACATTTATCTTGAAAATGACAAATATTTCCAATAAAAAACACAATCTGTTAATTATAGATTGCTTTTTTTTCATGCAAGACAGCGTTGATTTGTAAAAGAGAAAGTAGAGCTAAAAATAGACCAAACAGAGGTGTTCAATGTTTTGTATGAACAAAACTTCCGATTTTTAAAAATAATTCAAGCCGATATTTTTCTTTTTGTAAAATAATGTTTTACTGAAAAATTGTGTTGAAAATTAGGCAGGTCTGACTCCCTTCTAGCTGTCTAGACAGGCCACACATCCTTGTCTCTAACCGGGAATCTAGACATCACACTAATCAGTCCTTTACTTATTTAGTTACAGGTTTTGCGTCTCTCCGCGATCCTCTTGTTGCCGGGTATCGTCTCACCGACGAACGTAAGTGTTCTGGCAACGTGAGGGTCGGTTTGCATTCCCGGAGAATGATGAAACCGTCTTCAGCGGCGTGTGTCTGATTATGCTAGTTTAGAAGACGGCTCCAGACCCTAATAATGCCTTATCTTAGCTGTAGCAGTCTGAAACATGTCTAGAAGTGGAAAGGAGGGATAAGGGACCTACGCAGATTAGGTTTAAGTTACGGATAATTCTAAAGTCCGTGCAATGTCTTTTAAGTATTGTATGGCATAACACTATACAGTGAAACCTCACCTAACGACCAACCCAAAAATTACGACAACCCCGCTATATTACGGGCACTTTTTTCAGTCCCGTTTTTTACGACCACCTAGCTATTCCGTATTACGACCACTTCTTACAGCCCAACGACCACTAATTAACGATAACTGACCTCACAATTACGACCAAGTTATGACCAGTGATTAAAGTTTTGCTGGTGATCAGTGAACCGCGAGTATGGGTGTCGTTCACGACAGTTGTTTTTGTCACGGGTTACCGACCCTGTCACCCCCTCACCACAACCAGCGAAATAGTATCCATTGTTGAGTGTCCTTTTCTAAACTCTGTAAACGAATATATCGAAAAAAGGAAATATACGTCACCGCAATGTTTGTTTCTCATTTTACATCACCATAAGAAAAGATACTCAGTGAGCGTTATTTGACTCCAACTATTTTGTCTTTTTTTTGCGTAAAATAAGGTAATATTTTAGATTTTAGCATATATATATATAGGTGTGTAGAAAATTCGGTGATATTTTACAAAGAAAATCATTTTATCGAATTAAAAATTGGTTCAACTTGATAGAGTTTGTCACGCTTTGAAAATGTGTGGTCAAATTATTTTAGAACAGTTTCTTTTCCACATAATGATGTGGTACACTTGACGAAATATTAGAGTTTGAAATATCAGTAATACGTGAAATGTACGTTACATTTTGAACACAATTTTGAAATGTTCACCAATAATTGGCTCTTATCTTGAAGTTCATTGTTCTTGTTTTGCATATAAAACAACATTTAACTTGTTAAAAACTTTGCTTGATTTTATTTTTACATTCTGTGTTTTACGACAGTTCAGTAGAAAGCTTTGGTATTCAGAAAAGTTTCCGGTCTCGGAAAATTAGATTTCGGAACTTATTTTCAATTTTGATTAGATACAGTTTCCAAATTGATTCCGTAGTTTGAAATTGATCACAAATAATCAATATCCATCACAAAGATTGTCGATACTGTTCCTTTTCTACCCGTGGCAGCTGGTTTTGTCTTAACAATGGTAACGGACATTTCACACGACAAATTTCTTGATTTTTTCCGTTTCTTTCTAATAAAATTTTCTCGAAATCTATTGCTTTGGTGATAAAGAAATTTTGGGAATAAGTTTGATTGGGTCACAATGTATGTTTAAATAAAAATGTGAAAAAAATAGCATTATCTTGCTGTAAGAATTTGCAATATTTATTTTCCCAATTGCTTCTCATTACTGAGAATGGTAAAGGATTAAATGAAGACAAACGCAACACATCATTCTTTAAAACTATTATTATTTTTTTTAGAGATCAGCATTTTATTGATGATATACAATGTATTGAATTTTCAAAATCTGTTTTAATCACCACAGTACTAGCGCAACATTACACTATATACAGGTATGACCGTTTCAACTAGGACCGTTATTGCAGTGAGGTCGTTTTGACCATATACCAAATAAATCATGAAATATCATTGTAGCAGTGTAGATCTTTGCCAGTTTAAACACCAACAAACACACTTGTAAAGGGTTCCCCGATTTATTGATAAAACTACATTTATCACCCTGTAACAATATATAACAATCATTAGCGATGGCTTTACCATAAATTACTTTGTAGATATCGCACATATACAGCACAATATGAATATTTTGATAACAAGCTGTTCGCTTATACATGTAGGTATAGAACTATTAAAATTACAAATACTTTAACTAGATTTACAGTTTCAAATATAATAGTTACATGCTATATTGAGCATAATAATATATAAAGAATATTGCAAATCTTATCATCCATGTACATACAGAACAGATCGTTAAAAACGCAATAAATTGAATATACATCAGACTTTTAAGAGCGTACCCATTTGTGGAATAGGGCGGTGGGATCACTGTACAGCCGACGATATAGTACTAATAAGTAACAGTAATCTGCATAAAAAACAAACAC